CTGTAACGAATTCCATGATTGTTTGCTGTACGACAGATATGTGCGTTTACCTCCAGCCACCGACATGTGGGCCTTGCCGAGGATTTCATTTTCTCTACACCTAAATATCCACTTTGAAAATCTTCAAGGACAGATTTATGCAATGAAGGAGAAATAAAAACACGATCACTTCAGCATAAATTACCATCAGGAACATTGAACAACGCATATCGCTTTGAAAAACAGACAGGAAATCTACGTTTCAAATTAGCATTTCAACCTTTTCTTAAATCACTGAGCACACATCCAAAGTTTCGACTAGTTTCTCTTATGAGATCTGTACGTCTTAACGGTAAATGTCGCACTAACAATCAGTTTGCAGTATTAAAAAGTTTATCTTGTAATAATTGTCGAGACATATATTCAACATGGTAATAAGCACTCAACTCAATACTCCATTGTTAAACCTTAGCGGCCGAGGCACATGCTGAGGATTTTTCAGGATGATCAATGAACTTTAGAGCTTTATAATCAATAACCATAGTGATTTTCTTTCCGAATAAATATTTATGAGGTCTTTTAACACTCCGAAACACGGTTGAATTTGTGATTAACCTTTTTTAGCAACAGTAAGTTTGCTTGAAAAACAAATAACTGGTCTACCTTCCTGCTTCAAACCTGCACCAAAACCCAGAGGTGATGCGTAGGCGATAAGTAAGGAGTGTACACAGGGTAAGTTCGAAGAACAACATCACTTTGAAGAAAGTTTAGTAGACTTCGCAAGCATGACTCTTGTTCCTCACCTCTGAACTGGTCTGAAACAATATCTACCATCAACTAGGTATCCAGGCCATTTAAATCTGGATGCACAAAATAAACATTTAGTTGGATTCACCGTAATATTCTTCTCAATCAAACGACACAATAAAGCAATAAGTCTCTGGTCATGAAAAACGAGATCATCTTAATAAATCTCAACACCTTTAAGGTCACTGGTTATATTATTCATCACTCCCTGAAATATGGCTGGAGAATATTTTAGACCAAATGCAATATCTATTTGAACAGACCAAGAGCAGTGTTAATGGTCGTCAAGATAGATAAAGATTGATCTTAACGGATTTGAAGATAAGCATCTTTTGGGTCAACTTTCGAGAACACTCTAGATCTATGAAGTCGATTTGGAATATCTTCAGCCTCCACCGCCGTGTACTCTTGATTTAACAAACGAGAGTTCAGTGCCAATCTATAATCATCACATGTTCTAAGCGTCTTGCCATCAGATATCAAAGGAGTAACAGTAGGAGTGCCCCAAACAAAAGATTGGAGCGGTTCAATTAAACATTCTATACACAAATCATTCTAATCTTTCCACTGCACGTAGCACATACAGCTACCAAATATTTAAGTAAATCCTTTTGGAAGCTAATAAAGACGACCCCACCTTAAGCCTTCACAAACTTTTGAAACTCAGTATTGACGGTCCAACGTCACTAACTAAAAACTCACCAGGTATATATGGAGAATTCTATTCTGTCATCAACAATTCACAGCGTTCTTGTATGGGCAGCCTGTGTCCGGTAATCCATAATACAAAGAATTCAGTGGGTCATACTGTAGTTTCATTGGTTCCCAATCACACGATCTCTGTAGCCGAGCATATGAGTAATGAGAAGAATTACATCCAATATGTGACACTTGAAGGTCAACAAATGGTGAGTGAGGGAACAATTGATTGCTATAGCATGACTCAGCGCTGCAGACATGGTCATTCTATGTAACTCATACCTTTTCACATGAAATACATTATTTTATCTTCAGCTGAAATATATCATTCAGAAGTACTGGATATTATATAGCTCATTATTGCGATAGGACTAGTCAGTATAGACGGTGATGACATATGTGATCTAGTAGCATTTCCTTTACTTCACGGTTTGTCGCGTCTGACTGGGATCTGAGGTCTCCTAACCTATGATCTCCTGCATGTCTAGAAAATTTATAAAACTACTTTTAACGAGCGGGGTTATCTTCCGCTACATTTTCACCATTATACAGGCAGAACAGTTTTGCTGAAGTAGTACCCATTCTAAACATTGTGCTGCATTTCTCCCATTGTTCTTTATCAAAGCTGTTCTAAAATCAGGTGAGCTACGCTTCGGCAATGGGATGTCATATACAGTCGGTTGATTTTGGATGGCGTCTTCATCCTCAATGTGAGGACCGCGCTACTACAATTTCCATTCCTAACACCCACACACTGCTTCTTACTGTTGACAGAAACTGGAGCATAGCTTCGGGTTGTGGCTACCACACACAACTATCAAATTCCGCGGTTTTATTTGCCACTGAAAGTGTTTTTACTTAAATTTTTATGTAAACGTATGAATTGATGTCAGTTACTTTGTTTCCATGACGAAATTGTATGTCATGAAATGTTAACTGAATTGAATAGTTCCGTACAGAAACCCCCATAAAACTGCGTATATCAGCTGGATTTTAACAGTAGCTTGTTCCACTGGCATATCTTTCTCAGAAAACCCAGTAATTTCTCTTTATATTTGATCACAATCTTCATTACTCAATATGCTTGTGAAAATGATGTTTGACTTTTTGACGTGGAATATTTGTCAGTTTTTCTTAACATATTCAAAATATGCTAACAACTAATGTCAGAATCTAGTTTCTTTGGCACAGTGTTTACATTTGTGTAATCACTAGCCTTAATGTAAGTTGAATGCAGAATTATAATCACACGTCACGTATTCAGGCAAAGCCTCAATCTACTTTCCAGTCACACAAAAATAATACAACAGATAGGAACAGCTACACGCTTGAACGTTGTTTGTTATCCTGGAGATACAAGACATAATTAGATACTCCTAGAAGACATATCACAATTTCATGAGGTTAAATCACTCACTCAAACAGTACAGCCTAGGCTATGCAATCAAGGGTCTCTCAAACACAAATTAACATGATAAGCAACAAGACGACCAGTTAACAAACAAGAATCTGATACCTGAGAATCAGTAAAAATATCCTCAACAAGATGAAACCAGATATCTATCTACAAGGGTTCGAGCAACCTTTCCAGGCAGACAGTCAAAGGTTAACAATCAGCACTGGACGACGCCTTGACCTAGGGTTTAGTCAAACACGATCTTATTGTCCGTGATCTGGCAAAATACAACAGTAAATTAAGTAATAAGAGGTAAAAATTTTAACCAGGATAAAATTGCAAAAGCCCCAACAAAGGAGACTGAAGAACATAAAATGTGGTTAAAAAAGGCCTAAATAAACGTTGAAATACAAGAGAGGGAGACGAAACAAATAAATCATAATACTGTCTAATGAAATTTTGTGCAAAGGTTTTCAGATTTTTCTTTACGTTACGTCTCTGACAATGCTTGAGTGCATATCAGATGCTGACTTTCTGGTGGGTTCTCCCAGTTTTAGATCAGCGTTGTGACTTCTAGATATCAGGTATATGGTGTATCAAACGCTCAATCACCGGTAACATAATTTCGCACTAGCACCATGTTGAGAGTGAACTACAACTGAAAATACTATTTCACTTGATATATGATCCAAAATATCTGGGTTGGAACCTTGACAGATCTATGGATTGGAAAACGTCGTAGCACAAATGAAATAGATAAACTGTCGTTTTCTATTAAGCGTGGACGTACTGCTAACCAGTTATCAACGAGCGTGAGATGATAAATGTCAGTTTCTCAGAGGTAGTAGGATCATTTTCCTATTAGTAAACTTAGGGACCAGTATGTTTGGTAGCTTGTCCCAATTTATTAATAATACATTTCTTTTTCTCAGCTTCGTTTAGTAACTGTGGCCGATAATTTGGTACTCATTCGTAAATTTAGGAGTAGAGGCACACAAGATTGATCATTAAGCTTGGATGAGCCAGACACGGGAGTCAGTAGGTCTCGAGAGTTTCAAGTAGGTATATAAATGTTAAGCAACCACAAGACTTTACTTGCGTCGATCATTTGTTGTGGTTGTTGCTTACATATTCTTCACCAACAGTTGTTATCTAAATTGAGCTCAGTTCCTCTTAATCTTTGATGGTATTCCGGTTTAGTACACGAAGAAGGCCATCTCTAAATCTTCAAGCGTAGGATCGCTTATCATTACTTGAGTATGAAGAAAAAAACTTGATCATACCACACCTTATCTTTGAGTTTAGTCAAACGAGACCTTACTGTCAATGGTCCGGGATTACGAAACGCAAAAGTACAATGATGAAAGCGAATCAAATAATGAAAGTTTACACAAAGATTGTGAAGCATAAAAGTGTGGTTAAGTGGGTCTTGGATAAAGGTTAGAGAATACAGTAGAGAGAAAAGCTAGGAAAATAACCACTGTAAGAAATAACATTTTGGTGGAGATATTCGAGCTCTTACTATTTTAAAAACCCTGATAATGTTTCTCTCGGACTACTTCCTGATTACACAATATAGATCCATGATCACCGAAACGATTCGGGATTATCGGTTCTAAAGACTCGGAGATGACAGGTTATGTTCCAGAGAAAGTAGCCCGTATATCTACGCAAAGTACCGTCCGTAGTAAAACAAACGAAATGCGAATCTTTATCAGCTGTTCCTCCTAAATATAAAATGCAATATGATTAAACTTGTTCTAAGGATTTTCTATATGTGGAAAAATGAGTGTCTATAGGTTCGTCGAAAAGCTACATCATTCGACAATCTTATCTAATTCAACAGGACTTTACCCACATTTTTAATCCAGTAGGCTATTGTTAAAAACCCGAAGTCGACAAAACAGGCCACTTCGTCCATAAGCTATCAAAATAAGCACAGTACCTCAATGTAGAAGGGCTACAGACGGAGTTTATTTGGTTTTATGGAACACGATTACTCAGTATACCAGCTCACCGAAAGTTTGTTGTTTATTCTGTTTATTTTTCAAAATAATCCATCTGTAAACACGTCAGAAAGTATAGTTTATGCTTGTTTAAATGCACTAATGTTATATCCACTACGTTGAAGAATTCTGAAGTGCTCACTAGGTGTTATCGCTCACACCGAAAACTTTACGCCACATTGGCTTTAAAATGAATTAGTGACCCTAAAAATTGAGAAAAATTTACAAAACCTAAAAACTGCTTTCGAATATGTCCTCATTACCAGTTGAGGAGGAGACCTCTTTTCTCAGGACTGTATGGTTCCTCATATTATTCATTTCGTTTTCTTGTTAAGGAAGACTTCATTTGCCTCAGCTGCTTTTCCCATGGAAGCTCGGAGCGACTTTGTTTGGCTGCAGAGGGATTTGGGAACAGAATGTGTTCTTTAGAAATAATTTCAAGAGAGGTGAGTTTTTGTATATGCGATATTTAATGTAACATTTTGGAGTTTCCCCCAAAATCGTAGGAAGTCTGGTAGTCTTCAATGAAGTTACCTAAAGTTCTGGGGAAGTTTGGTGAAAAATCACAAAGTGTTATAAGATTCTGGGGAAATATTGTGGAAATCCCTTAATTTTGAGGATTTCCACAAAACTTTGGGGATTTTCCCCTAACCTGTGGAAATTTTGTAGATTTTTTGCTGTCTCCCCGAGATATTCTTAAGAGTTTCTATAGCGGCGATTGGGTAGTTTTATACATAGTCTTCAAGTTATTGTATGCTAAGCTCTGGTTATATTTGTTTACGGAGAAGCAATTTAAATATTCACAAATGTGAATACAAACATTCTTCCAACTTAGCACAACACCTTTGTAGGATTGAAGATGTGCCATTCTGTAGGAATTTCTATATTGTACTCAATGTATTTATATATTTCTTTCAATTGCAATGGAACCACGGCCAAGCCGTTCAGTGTAGTGGTCCAATTTTTTTAACCAAATACCTTCAAAAACCATCATCTATCTCTAGTATTCAGCTGGAATATTTCACAATTTTTCTTACTTTAAATGCCTGTTTGATAGTTGGCAGAATTAAACTTTATTTTTGTAGAAGATAAAAAGATTCCCGCTATCTGAGTTTAAAAAAATGATCCAATATCAACGTAGTTCACGAAATTAATTTTGACGGATCAGTATTAGAACTTGATAAAAATTCGAAGCAAGAGTGGTAGAATGTTCACTGAATCTGTTGAACTATACTTCAATATTATGGCCTTTTAATGTTTTCGATGGATTGCTGATATCAAACGCATTCTATCTGTTTCCTAGGCAACATCGTTTCAAGGGTAAACGCGACTATCACTGGTGATAATAGTAGTTTTATTCAGAAGTTTGCGGAGTGAAGTATAGATCAAGCCAGCGACGTCAACCATTCACACTATCAACATGTAATACCATTGTAGGGTGGAGTGGGATATTTAAATTAGACAGTGGATTGTTTATAGAATTTATTCTATATAATATTTCGTTACAAAAATTCAAATGTTCCTTCGTTTATAAGATATATAGCAGTTATTAATATTGATTTTTTAACATTCCGAAAAGTGAGACAGTCTGAACAATGTAACAATAGTTAGATTTGCATCATATTATAAAATGGATCTGATTTTTATTTCCGATTTTGTCGTCTTTACTTCAATCAAGTTTATAAAGCGAAAAAAGTGTATAAAGTATGCGATTCGTACCTCACCTTGTAGTTTGCAAGATTTATGCCAACTACCGTTCACCTTCATTACTGTTTGCTGAGTCCCTATTAATACGTAGTTTGTATACTGTTGTATATAACGAATCAGATAGCTAAACACGATTCCATTACGAAAATAATACCCCATGATTATTCTTTTTTCTGTCGACCTTTGTGTTACAGTCACCTCCTCCAAATATGCCCCCATGTGTTTTTGTTCTGGACCAAGCCCTTTCTGTACGAGCCCTTCAAGAAATGCTTTCCATTCAACATCAAAGCTCAGATGTAAGTTACCAACGAAGCAAATGTTCTTAAAATTACCAAATGACGCGATAAGTTACGCTATTATCACAATGCAAAGAGTTTAATACTGTGGAAAATCTACTTGCACAACTTTAAGTTCAGTCTTGAAATGTTTACTGTGGTCATTTTTTCACTTATGTGACAAAAGGACGAACCTTGTTTCGTACCATGGGCAAAAATGCAGCATTATTCTATTTTCTCAATGTGCTGGGTTAACTACAAGTAGATGACTAGATATAATTAACATCGTAATTGGGTGTCAAAAATATAGGTACGTTCAGGCAATGTGGTAAGATGAGTTTAACATAGAGATTATTTTAGTGGATTTAAGATATTACACGAGAATTATTTAAGCCAAGCCCGTTTAGTCGTCTATCATCTTACGATCGTAGAGCAATATGTTGTATGGTTTAAGCCACTTTACATTTAAAACGTCAGTCAAACATTTTTGAGAAAATTTGGGAACGTCTGTTAAAATCCATTAAGTAATAAAGGTTTACAAAAATATATATGAACTAACAAGCTATAAACGTGTTATCATTTTTGAAATTTTGAGTTTAGAAATATACGTGGAATTTGGGAGTCTTAATAAAGTTCATCTTTGAAGTAAAATACACTGTTTGTCATGCAGAGACATGACTAACAATTTCAGCAACTTTTTGAGTCTGAGCTAGCAAGAACGTAAACAAAATGAAATAAGTAAGAAATTTTTATTGACATATTTTTTGCACCAAAAATGTTGTTAACATGAAAGAAACAACAATTAAATGATAGTTTATTTAATTTTAATAGGGAAGCGGTCAGTCTGGTCATAGAACTTTGCTCTATGGACATGCTATTCGGCTAAAACATAGAGAAAGTAACATGGTAAGTACTGTTCATTATCTGTGTCAATTTTTATACTAAAATAAATGATATACTTCGAAAGTGAAACGCCTTTCACAATTTAATTTAACTGTAAAGTTTAATCGTATAAATCAACAATCCACCAAGCTACAGTAAGCTCAGTAGTATTTCCTCTCCTGTATCTATAATTTTCCAACTGGGTTCAACTCTTTTTTCAGTATGGTGTCATAACTCAGAACGAGTGATGTAGTTCGATTCAAGGAAGAAACGAAAAAGTACACTGGGTTGCATTTGTTTAAATTTTACCAATCACTGGTCAAATTTTAATAATTTGAGCTGAATACTACCAGGCAATAATTAGGTAGTGACAAGTTGTAAAACACAACTTCCAGTGTTATTACATTAAACCAAGAAATGTGATTAATTTACTTAGTTATATGATTAATCCTTCCTAATATACAGGTTTTAAGAAATGACAGTTGGAGTTTTTGAAAGTTACCTTTTCTTAAGGGTACCGTACCTTAAGATTTCTTACTTTAAACTGTATAGGTGTACAATTGTTTTTGTTATATTAATAGTTGTGGCTTTTGAGTCATGTTACCTGCGTTTCTTAACTTGACTATTAAATTTAAAATGTTTGACATGTCAAATATATCCACAGATGGTTTTAAATTAAACTAAAAGTATATCTTTAGGTACATATAATCTGTTGACTATTTTTATAGACACATGGGATACAACTACCCCATAAAAGATCCGCTTAATTTTATTGGTTGTCAAAAATTATTTTGTCTTCAGACATATCACTGTCGGGATATCTATTGTGCTCTAATTTATCAGCATCGAACGACCTCAATTAAATCCACTTACTTTAACTAACCACATCGTCGACAGTTGCCCGTTTCTGACGTTAAAATGCAGCTTCAAGGCTTTTTATATATTATGGGTAGAAGGCTACTGAATTTTATTACGTTTGCAATCGTATTTCTTAAAACTATAGTAAAAATCCCAGTTTTTATTATTTCTGTTTCCGTAAACTAAAATTTAGTATCTCATATCACTATTAGAGATTAGTTTTAAACTCGAGAAGTAATATTTTATTGTGCTATGACCTTCATTTTTTTAAGAATAAATTTTTGTAGCCTCATATTGCTTTAAATAGTACATCATTTTGGTCATATTCTAATAATTTTCCTAGTACCTATCGTGTCTTTCGACAAGTACATCACAAGATAAACTAGCTTTTGATGTTGGTCTTCAACAGAATGCTGAGAGTAAGTCATTAATTTAAGTATATGAATGTTTTCATATTTTAAGAAATTAATCCAATATATTTGTTATAAGAAATCACACAACAAGAAGAATGTATTCTTAGTTATTTAAATGAGCTGTTGTTTCTCAGACAAACATACGATCATTTTTATCTTGGGGTATGTTATCGTGAAGTTAATAAAACTTAAAAGGTAGGGAGGCCTTGATTCTGACAATAAACCCTACTCCAGTGATTCGTTGTTTCCATAAAATTTTTTAATATGTTCGTCTGTGATAGAAACTTTGTTAAAACTGGATGGGGGATATTTCACGAATGTCATAGAGTCTTTCTAAACATGGACTTCAGATAAATCACTATTCAATAAACACATTGACATACACCTGATCTATGAATACATACGGAAGGGATAACTCACTCTCATCGGTTTAAAGATCAATTGACAAAGACAGTAAATGTGTACGAAAGGACAAACAAAGGAGGAGAAGCTTACCAAGAAAACCAATCATGAATAGTACCTCTATGACTAGCCTTTATACGACTTACAGAATAAACAAAAGTTCACTTCTACGTAAGACAAGAGCTAAAGATATTGTTTAGAATCGAGATGAAGGCTCTCCAAACGAATTATTTAATTCAATGAGCTCAACACCACTAAAACCATTTGCAAGACTTAAAAGTATTTTTCAGCATCTCAAAACCTTGGCTATCTATGCCCATATTCATGATTAGCTACACTATCTAGTTGAAGTTAGAGAGATTATCATGATTGTTATTCGAAGACTATGGGTGATAAGGCTTGGATTTTAACTTCTTTTACTGTGTAATTTTATTCATACTCATAGTTTATTCACAGGTAAACAGGAACATCTGAATCCACCTAACTATAACATTCTGCTCGTTGACATAAGAGTCTATAGATCCAAGTCAGAACGCTTTTAAGGATGAAAAAATTAGTTAAGCAAGTGATAAAACTATTCGGAATTAAAAATCCGTGCGATGATAAAATGCCATAACTTTATATCGAACAGTTATGGCAAACATTTGAACAAACCCGATTTAAAATTTAACTACCGCAAAAACGAACCAAAACTTAGCGCGATAAATTAGTCTTTAGAAGCTCTCTAAATTGTTACTTTTGCGCCCAGTACTGACTGGTTTCCATAGATCGGGAAATAGGGCCTGGCAAGTGAATTAAGTAATGTTATAAACCATATTCGACAATGAATGCCCCGGGATAATTTAACGATTGGCCCTGAAACTTAGCTTGATGTTTTTACTTATTGTCAATAAAGAATACCCACAACATTCATAATGATTCACAGATGTAAAAAACAAGAACTCCGTCCAGAATGCTATGTAGACTGTTACAAACTGTGCATATTAAGATTAAAACTCAATTTAATCAATCACTAGTGACATGTAGAAAATGTAAGTATAAAAATTATCGTTTTTATTAGCATTTCAATGCCAATCCAGTTGCACAGTATATCTCTCCATAAGATATATTATGACGATGATATTTAATAGATATCTCCTGGTGCTAAACCAGGACGCACAGGTTTATATCTCGAGAGCAAACTAAATCATCCTAAGATTAGGAACAGGCTCAACTCTTAACAAGTATCGACCATGGATATAAAATCTATGTATTCTTACTGAAGACCTTAAAAAATATAGTATGCTTTTCGTACGGTGACTGACTTCTTGAAACTGAATAGTTTGTTAGTACACATTCAAACTACAAACTTGTCATTTGTTGAATTATCAAACACTCAAATTCGTTGTACTTCCACTTTTAAGCTGAAGCTTGCTGGTGGACAATACATCCAGCGTCAAAACAGCGTTCTGTTGGAGAAAAGGTCCGGATAGGAGATGATCTTATCTTGGTCAGTGTTTCATCAGAGCGTTATTTAGTAAGTGTTTTGTAATTGTAACTATGAATGTGATATAAATACCGTTAAACAAATAACTCCTAGCAAAATATTATTTTTATTGATAGTCACCGGTATAATGGCTCAGGTTAATTCTCAAGACTAAAAGTTGAATTAGTATAAGTAGTGAATGTACAGTTGCATTTGAGATTACAAATATTTCTAATAACTCTCTTTACACTCAAATCCCATCAATGACATGCTGTTTTTTATTAATTCAGCCTATGAAAATACATATTTTGTTGAGATTTTGTTCCTGTATTTCTTCCCCGTACTGTCGATAATGGGTTTTTAAACAGATTATGAATTATTTTAAACTACTGCTTATTAGATTACTTGAGTTAGTTGACATTGTAAAATATGATTTGATGGAAGACGTCACAAACGGTTTAGAGATTCAGACTATAGAAGAACATTATTTAAAACAAGTCGTAGTGAATATAAATGTTTAAGCTTTGTCTGTAACACTTAATCAGTATTTGTAAATCAAATAGCGGTTGTAAGACATTATAGAGAAGAAAGCTGACTACTGGAAAATCGAACAAACTGGAAGTCATCATATTAAAACAGATATATGAACGAGGAATAATCTTTACAATAAATTATCAACAAATCATACAGTTATTAATACAAGTTAAGATACTGAAAGAACAACCAAGTTTAAAACAGATACATCGTCTAAAACTGTCTCATATGAATTTGTAAAATAAAATAAAATCGCCATTTCGTAAATCCTGAACCCTTGATAAATTTAAGTAAGGTGAGAAGAACAAGATCCACAGAATAACATGGATTCATCTTATTTCAAGACTTTTTATCAGCTAAATGCGGCTGATATTTGCATTAATAGTATCAAAAAAACGTTTTACGTATCATAGTCAATGAAGTTTAGTTCGAAACTGCATAATAAGAAGCGGAAACAACATATTTAACATAATAGTTGAAATTGACTAGTATTTATGGGTTGAAGATGGAGTCATATGAAGAAGGGGTTGACGTTACAACTGATTATAAAAAGATAATGAATATTAGTTGAACACTTGTCCATCTTATTATGTCTTGATTTTGCCTTAAGATTTAAGAGTTTAAAACAATCCATTGATATCCACTCATGATATTAACTTTAATTTTATGTTAACTAGATGCCGTCTTTATCATCCATTTGTTAACGGATTTTTTATTCATCGTCTCATTATAATCTTTATAACCCCTTCTTCATATGACTCCATCTTCAACCCATAAATACTAGTCAATTTCAACTATTATGTTAAATATGTTGTTTCCGCTTCTTATTATGCAGTTTCGAACTAAACTTCATTGACTATGATACGTAAAACTTTTTTTTGATACTATTAATGCAAATATCAGCCGCATTTAGCTGATAAAAAGTCTTGAAATAAAATGAATCCAGGTTATTCTGCAGATTTTGTTCTTCTCGCCATATTTAGAATTTTTATTGTTGAAATGACTAGTGTACAATATCAGTTTGAATGAAACTGTGAAAGCAATGATCGAATATAAATATTGACAGTAAGGATGGACAAAGTAATAATGTAATTACAGATCAAGTCAGATGTTTTGTGAAAGATTATTAAGTATATAAAATCATATGAACTCAGTAAGAATGAGCAAAATGGTTTGGTGAATATTAATTAAATCATTCACGTGTTTGAAAGATTAATAATAAAAGTAAGATTGATAGTAATAATGATGATAATAAGTATGAAAACCATGTATATTTGAATAAGATTAATATTGATCGATGCAAATACAAAAGGGGAAGGTTGTATGCACATCAGTAAAATTAGGTTATCCTACACTTAAGATGACCATTGATATATTGAATCTGAGGTTACTCAAGGCAAGATAATGAGTCGAACATATTTATTTTGTACTCATACCGCCAGTATTTTAATCGGAATAGGTATTCATCCTACTATTCGGAGTTCTTTGAGTCTACTAGACTTTAGTAGAAAATTACTAGTCTTATAAACAATTGGAAACGACTGATTTTTCCTAGAACTACAATTATTTTGAACTAATTGGACTGGTACTGAGTTGTTTACTGCCTTGACTACACCTCTGCTTAGTTATGCCGGAAGGTGTTCATGAGCACACAAATGTATATTCCTGGAACTTTAACCTGCTTAACTTGTTCCTTAAGAACAATCGAACTAATAACCTCAAAACGAGATGGCTAGCCTATGTATTTTATCTTTTAATCTCTGTGTTACAAACTGACTCACGAGAAAAAACTAGCCGCAGTTTTCGAGCATTGAGCGTCCTCCGGAGTGTTCTGAGTAGTCTTTGGATTAACATTTCACTAGTTGCCTCGCCTTTAAACTTTAGATGCATGAGTAATTATTTCTTCTTGAGGGTTTGTATTTCTTTTATTTTGACTTTTGTGGCCATATATTTGTTTATAAACTTTTCAGGCCATCTGTTTTCCGAAGAGTATTGTACAAGGCTTTCAGCTCTTTTTCAATAGTATTAATAGAAAATTTGACTCTCCATAATGGCTTTTTTTTATTAAGTTTCGTACTTCAGAGGTACAAAGCAAAGGAAATGTATGTACTAATTTATTCAATTACTTTTCAGTTTGAGTTCTTTCTAATTAATTCATCTGGACTTTTCGTTTGTAGAATATTTAAAGAGACTATTCTACCTTCGTGTTTCTCCGCATTTTGTGAGCTTGATAACAATTAATTCTTCTTTACTATCTTTATAAAGATGAATGTATTATCTATATTTCGACAGCAAATGTGAACTTTTGAATAAACTTTTAAGTGGGCCATTTTCTAGTTTTGCTAAGACAGCATTTTCATTTTCACAATATATGATCAAAAATCATTCATATCCCCTAATGGCTAATACTTGCTTTTTCTGAATCAGATGTTTTTAGAAAGCTACAATACAATAAACTAACAACCAATCAATAAATTCTGTGGGCTGTTACTAAATTTGACCAAATTCAGAGATAGTTTTACTTTTTGTTCAATTAAAATAAGTTCTGTAAATCAGTGATTGGTGCATAAATCAATAACTAACATTTTCCTCTCTGTGCCCAAATGTGTGTGGAATTCATTATTTACCATCAGTATACTGAATAATATGTGTATATGCATTTAGGCATAGATATACATACACGTATATATATATATATATATATATATATATATATATATATATATATATATATATATATATATATATATAGTACGCGTAAAGAAACATGCTTTTATGTGTGTCTAGTGTTTCCTGGTGTCCTTTTATGGCATGAACAACTTAGATCATTAAATCACCACAAGTACGACTAAACAACTTTAGTAAACGATTTTATGGAAAGGAATATTTTTTCACTGATTTACTTTTATTCTCTATATCATAAGTTGATGACATAACTTGATCGTAGTGTTCGAAATAGAAATGTAGTAGTGAAACTTGAGTGATATACTTTAAGCATCATATTGCTATTAATTAAAGTTTGTTTAAATCATACAATCGGTGGTTTGAAAAAATATTATTTACCTTTTTATGACTTCTTCTTTAAATTTACTGATGATTATCAGTCAAAATAATTCATATTAACTAAATATTGTTTGATTTTCCATAATTTTGCGTAAAAATAAATAACTCAAAGAAAATCACACCCATAGTTAGTAATTATTTAATTTGAAGAAAGCTTTAGATATTCTCCTGGAAAATATCAGTGAAATCGCAGATGCATATTTCATCTTGCTTACTTAAAATAGGATAACTGAAAGCATTTATAATAGCTCTAGTGTATCTAGTGAAATCGAATCGAAGTATCTATCCCTTTAAACACAAGAATCATATACTGTGATTTATTCGATTATGATATGAATTCACTGAAAAGTTTACTCTAAACGGAATGTCAAGCTATAAGTAACAGGTCAAATGTCATATATGTAGTTACATTACCATTCAGAAGGTTAAACAGTAGACTAAACAGTAGAGTTTAGTAGCTTAAACTGAATTATCTAAGCATACATAAGCAAAATCTAATTTCGTCCAGCTATTTTAGATACCTCACTTATTTCAGCCTACTCATGAAAAGTTAACTAAATTATTCGACGGTCTAACAAAGTAAAACCATAATTTTTTGGTTTGTTACTCGACTTTAACTTATGGTCAACTTCAGGATGTAATTGAAAGGAATATAAGTTCAAAAATGAGCTAATGACATGATGTTAAAATTCTTAGAGTGCACAAAACCCTTTCATTTACAACTGCAATACAATAGAGATACATACCATAATTACTAGTATAGGGGTTGTGGAGATTATTAAGTTTTTGATTGAGATCTTGAACCAATTGATGTTAGACCATCACGATTGAAAACCTGGAGGCACTGGACGGCCGTTTCGTCCTATTGTGGGACTCCTCAGCAGTGCGCACCCACGATCCCGCAAGCGGGATCCGAACCCAGGGCCTTCGGCCTCGCGCGCGAACGCTTAACCAACTGGACCACTGAGCCGGCATCCAATGGTGATAGTTTCTAACATCAACCAATCCACGAAGTTGCGCGACCAACTTCCATTGTACTTAAGTAGATAACTGTCTCTACCCGACAAGGATTAGCTCCACTGGTCACGGCTTCTCACTAGAACTCCGAGAATTCCCTCACGAAGCTAGTCACTAGCGAGCAAATGTTGATTACTAGTATAGGGGTTGTGGAGATTATTAAGTTTTTGATTGAGATCTTGAACCAATTGATGTTAGACCATCACATTCATTTTGTAATTTCTATTTACTCACGAATTTATTCATTGTAATTAGCTGTACGAAACAATTTTGTGCATTATTCTAGAAATTTATGAAGAATTTTATGAAAGTCACCATATCTCCATAGCTAATACTGACTAAGAATAACATGTATTCACTTTGGGACACTCTTAGGTTAACTTAGATGTTAGCAAACCTTGTTAAAGGTGTAAATTCATTTATATACGGCATCAGGACGATCACATATACAAAATGCCAGAATAAGCAGAGATGGATGGTGGCTACCAGTGAAACCCAGGACACGCGTTTCGTCCTATCTGAGACTTGTTAGCCAGATATACCTGGATCCCAGAGTTGTTGTTCACTCCGGAACTTGAAACTAGTACTGTTCACCTCAAACGCCATCATGTTATCTACTTAGCTACTGAGCCCAGTTATCCACTAGCTTGTGTAATGAAGTGACGTTTGTATTGGTTGTTTGAGATTCAGGTACATCCAACTGACGGGTTCAAAGTGGGAAGAAACACACATCCACCGCTAGCCACCATCTATTTCTGCTTATGCAGCTTGTGACTTCAGGTAGTATCGAGACGATCCACACGAGATTCACATATGTCAATATCCAACTGATCACTTGCAGTCCTCGACATCAATGGGAAGACTCAAACAACCAACACAAAAATGAATTAAAATGCCAGAACGTTTTTATTTAAGATACTGATATGTGTGGAGATTATTAAGTTTTTGATTGAGATCTTGAACCAATTGATGTTAGACCATCACATTCATTTTGTAATTTCTATTTACTCACGAATTTATTCATTGTAATTAGCTGTACGAAACAATTTTGTGCATTATTCTAGAAATTTATGAAGAATTTTATGAAAGTCACCATATCTCCATAGCTAATACTGACTAAGAATAACATGTATTCACTTTGGGACACTCTTAGGTTAACTTAGATGTTAGCAAACCTTGTTAAAGGTGTAAATTCATTTATATACGGCATCAGGACGATCACATATACAAAATGCCAGAATAAGCAGAGATGGATGGTGGCTACCAGTGAAACCCAGGACACGCGTTTCGTCCTATCTGAGACTTGTTAGCCAGATATACCTGGATCCCAGAGTTGTTGTTCACTCCGGAACTTGAAACTAGTACTGTTCACCTCAAACGCCATCATGTTATCTACTTAGCTACTGAGCCCAGTTATCCACTAGCTTGTGTAATGAAGTGACGTTTGTATTGGTTGTTTGAGATTCAGGTACATCCAACTGACGGGTTCAAAGTGGGAAGAAACACACATCCACCGCTAGCCACCATCTATTTCTGCTTATGCAGCTTGTGACTTCAGGTAGTATCGAGACGATCCACACGAGATTCACATATGTCAATATCCAACTGATCACTTGCAGTCCTCGACATCAATGGGAAGACTCAAACAACCAACACAAAAATGAATTAAAATGCCAGAACGTTTTTATTTAAGATACTGATATGTATTATTTATTAATAGAACTTATATTTGCCAACATGATCCTTATTCCTAACCGTGTCATTTTATCAAACATATGAATACAAATATATGGTTTCTCACTAGTGTATATTAATCAGAATTCGTTTTGCTAATAATAATCCACATTTCCGACTCCAGATTTTCATTCCTTAGTTAAGATGTGAATTTGAATTTGTTAAAATCTAGACACAAAAACATTTGTTCATTGAAGCAAGTCGACTCAAAAAATGAATTGTTTCAGATTGTGAAACATTTCATCTGTTAATTACGAATAGAATCCAATTGATGTCTCACATTTAAAGCATTTATTAAGGCTGTTATCAGCTTGCAAGTCTGTTAGATCATTGTTTTTTTATTTTAAATACTGTTTTCTAAGGCCTAAACACATAACCCCATGTTTTTCTACAGTAGATATCTTGTGCGCACTTATGTTTCTAACTGGTCTCGTCAGCCACGAACAGGGCTAGGTATTGTAGTTCCTCATCGCTGAATAACGGAAGCTTTAATAATCCTTAAAATAATAGTTTTGTCACCCTACCTTTGTCACACGGAATAGGACTTGCCAAAAGTTGAACTTTCGGAACTTATTTACTTACTTACGCCTGTTACTCCCAATGGAGCATAGGACACCGACCAGCATTCTCCAACCCACTCTGCCCTGGGCCTTTCTTTCTAGTTCTATCCAATTGTTGTTCATTCTTCTCATGTCTGTTTCCATTTCTCGGCGTAATGTGTTCTTTGGTCTTCCTCTTTTCTTTTGGCCTTGAGGATTCCAAGTGAGGGCTTGTCTCGTGATGCAGTTAGGTGCTTTCCTCAATGTGTGTCCTATCCACCTCCTGATTTATTCCTCCGCTGGGACCTGGTTTGTTCTCTCCCACAGTAGGTTGATGCCGAAAGTGTCTGGCCAACGGATCCGAAGTATTTTGTGTAGACAGCTGTTAATAGACACTTGTGTGTTCTGGATGATGGCTTTCGTAGTTTTCCAGGTTTCTACCCCATACAGTAGAACTGTCTTGACATTTGCATTGAAAATTCTGACTTTGGTGTTGGTTGACGGTTGTTTTGAGTTCCAGATGTTCTTCAGTTGTAGATATGCTGCTTGTGCTTGGCCGATCCGCGCCTTCACATTTCAGAACTATTATTATTAACTTTATTTTTATTGCATAATTGTTGGACGTTTTAGTGACTAAATTTTTAAGTCCTCCTATTCGTTGACCTTAGTTGAACCCGTAAAGGAACTTTTTATGTCAAGTCATTCCAGATTTATCATCAGTTAACTAGTTCCCTATTATTCTTTTTTGGTGTCACTTGTAACTGAGTTGTTTATACATCGCAATTTTCTACTTTGTGTTACTATGCAGTCAGATGTTGGAGGGATATTATTTTTTGAGTTCTAGGTCATGATTGAATAATGTAATAGGGGATTGATTTACTTGATATCTTTGTCTTTTGGTTCAACACTGGGCTGGAAGGAGCTCGAGGATCAATAATTTTATGGGTTTTGATTGTTGGTAATTGATTGCTGTGTCATTTGGTAAGTAGGTCATCGGTTCTACAAGGAATATTGGGGAACTAATTAATGACTGGATAATACGAATGCTCCTATAAAAACTGGCCAAACATAGGGGCTTTGGCACAACTCAAGAACCTATTTTTCTTGAGGTTCTAACCACGTTTGAACCATATCAGACTCCATCTGAAATAGTTCAACGCAGATATTTACAATTAACTGTTTCCTAAATATATTTGGTTCTTCTTAGCATGTTTATGGGGAAGTCATTTCAAGCAATGGCGTAATTGCGAGTTTCCAGCAAACTCTGTGGACAGTACTTCCCGTTTCCAGTGGTGCAATAAGGCAAAAGTCTATGCGTAAGTTTTCTGTCCATTTTTTGTGTATATCTAATATCACTTCAATCATGAAAGTGTAGTTCTCTACGAAGACACTGATTATCCAGAGTCTTGAAAATCATGAGTAGGAAAATATAAGCCCCCGCAAATGACGCAATACCAGCTAAACAAGTCGACTACCTTTCGAACTTAGTTTAGTGAATAATGTGTCAACTTCAAAAGTGGCAGGTATCGGGTTCGAATCTAAGTATGAACATCAATGGGACGAAGGCACACTCTAGTGACGAGTCCCAAATTGAATGGAACGTGTGTTATGGTTTCCAATGCTTATCACAATCGAAACATAAAACAAAACATAACCATGGATAGTGTCAAGGCATCTGTTTATAATCCATATATTTCGAAAAACTGATAAAATGTAGTTTTTAATATCAACAACGGGAAAGTAAATTGCTTCACAAAAAAATAAGTAAAAAGGTCACTCTGTATCGGAAAGTTCCAGTTTATGTATGTATCAAATAAAGCTAATGATAATAGACCATTATTTACTAAATGACATAAACAAATAATTCATAGGTGTTACTATGATGGAGCTCTGTTTTGTGTCATATCTACTGAAAAATCAGGAGCCAGTGTATCCTATTATTTCGTTATGTAAGGACCTAACCACTGTCTATGATCAAACTATTTACGGTTTCTTTTCAACCAAAGGAGCTTAGTGATATTTACTCAGGGTTTATAAGTGACCGCAGTTTAGGCCTTAAAAAGACCATAAACCATTTAAAATCATTTTAGTAAAGACAAAACTTATCTACATGGGATTTTATCAGCTGTTATTCATAATGGACGATTTAAATGCTAAATAAACTTCTATCAGAAATTCGCACAGATGATCTACTTAGTAGCTTACATATTATTTCTGATCTTTTATAGTACAGTAAATTGCATGCAGATTAGATATCTTATCGCCTTGTAAGTAATTGTGATTATTAAGCATTACTGTGCAAATATTTTAGTGGAACAAAAAATACCTAAACCCGATTAGCTTCTTAACAAAATAAATGAAGGAAGGGGGATTTTGATAACTTTTGAAATAAATGAAAATTAATTGTTTGGCTTAACGATCAATTTTTGTGATGTTTACATTGTACGTATTAAATAGATATGGTATTAGGTGGTGATGTTGTTCGCCTCTTTCATGGTGATGAATCTTTGACAGCAGCGTGTGCCACTGAGTCAGAGGAATTTTCATCGTCGGTTGCAATGACAATGAACGGATCAGCTCCCGGAAGTCCCCCTAATAAAATACAACGTTCAAGTATAGTGAATTCTGATTTATTGTCTGGGTAAGTAAAATAGAAGCTCTTTCTCAATAATTCATAAATTTTAATACTCTTCTTTGGAAAACAAAACTGAAGGAATAAGGACGAATTTAGCTATTTAGGAAACATTATTTTATGGTTTCCATAATTATACGTTGGTTAATGTGATCACTGAAAATCAATTATTATTGCAAAGATGAAGAATAATGGTTGATCTAATTTTCTGTAAACAACTGTTCTTTCACGATCAGGAGCGTCAAAATTCAATTAGTAGAATTGTAATTTAAACTGTTTGTTTAGATTTATTTACGCGATGCTTTGTGACGAAATAATTAATGGTTAAACAGGATGTAGGATTTTTTATAATCTGTAGAATTTTACTAATGAAGACATAAAAAGCATTCATTAAAGTCAATTTTTTTCTCTATGATACCGCTTACTGATGATGTACACATGTATTTGTAGCTATTTAACTCGCAGTCGTCTCGAAAAAAAGTAATCAAATAGGAGTTTTATAACCAGTGTAAAAACATACTTGTGACAGTTTCCTCTAGAAAAATAACTCTTATTTCCAGGGTCCATTAAAAAAAGTCTTAAGGAATTTCAGAAGACTAGGGCTCGGCTGTCCATTCAGCACTGTGAAAGATTTCATGGCTCTCTATTGATGATCTGAGTCCAGGAGGAAATGAAGTGTCTTGAGGGAACACTTTACGGAGAATGTTCAGAAAACCTAGGGTGGACACTTTATCCTATTCTGCCAATGCAATTTCCTTGAGGCGATCGGGGCCTTATGAGTAAATTCTGACTAAATGAAGAAGTTACACCCAAAAATCCGGAATCCTAAACAAAAATGTTTGTTCATGAAGTGGTATTACTATTACGAAATGGATCCAGTTAATCAACACACCTTAATCCATTAGTTATCTGCGATGTTGTATGCCTCAACGCGTACAGTCTAAAAAAATGATTTCTGAAATAATTACGGGAAGATTATTTACAAAAATCTGTTGGTTCAAATGGAATCTAGTAGCTGTGACTAAGAGTATAATAACTGGTAACTATTGAAATTGGGACTGGACACAGAAAATAAAGACCTTCACAGTTAAACAAAAGTTCAGTGAACGTACGCTAATGGAGGTAAATGTTACAGATATAATCAGTTGGAGTTACTGTCAGAAATAAATTGAATATTACGAATTCGTATAAATACAACGAACAGTATGGTAGACTTTGTGCTCAAAATGATTGAGAATGAAATTAATTATTGAATATTAACAAGTAGTATAACTTAGTAAGAAAAAATTATTCGATTAAAAGGAATCAATGAGGCGCAGGCCGGATTAACAATGTGATCACACTAACTTCCAGACAAACTCATTTCTACAAGTATTTTCGGCTTGCTTTGTAATTCTGGTTTGAAAAAACCATAGGTTTTAATTGTCTGATTAAGATGGTATGAAGTAAAATCAATCCATGTTATTGCTCTCAAACGTTATTTTCGATTTTACCAATTAATAAGGGGAACCCAGTGCATAATAGTCTAAAAATCATTCATCAAGTCATTAAACCTTAGTCCACAAGAGAGCTTCAATACCAAATTAACTACTGACTGGTAATTTTGAGAAATCAAAAGGAGATAACAGCAACTGATCATTAGAAATGATGAGTTGCAGAAGTGTTAGAATCATGATAGATTAAAATAATGAATATGCTCCTTCGCACACCAAGTTCACCTTAGAACCAGTAGATTACTAAGGTCTTAGAAGCGTGGAAGTTTTTGGTTCGTATTACTTTTGGTCTCTGTGGTTGATTTTGGAAGAAGATTCTGAAGGGGCAGAGCAACGACAATTGAGATAGTGTTTTAAATTTCACCTACTGATTAGTTTAGACAACCAAACAGGCTAGCAAGCAAACGCGTAGATAGAGGTTGATATAGCTTAAAATCTATGTTCAGAAAAATTAAACCAATGTTTAACAAGGTTTATGTGACTGGATTTGATTGTTCATATATATTATATGTTCAGTTTATGTACAGTATTTCTATTTGATATAAATGTACATTTTAAAGTGTTGAACTGGTCTGAACTATTAGGAAAATGACACACCAAAACACCAGTGCAGGGCTTATGCATACACAGTCCTTGTGTAAAAAATAATAGAATTTGCTTAAGCAACGGTTCGGACACTTATCACAGTAAAGAATTTTTAACAACCTCAGCGTATTATACCATTTATTGAAAAACTTAAATCACAGGGTTTTCTGTTTAAACGTTATAACAATCACCTAAAAACATTAGTTTATGTATATATGGTTTGTAGCAGATTTAGTATAGTAGTCTCTAGGGCTTTGAGTTTTATGCACTAGGTCATATATTCAAATTTATCCATGCTTAATTTGGTTAATTAACTCAAGAGTCATTGTTGCTAAGTTTTCTAAAACATTTGTGTTTCAACACCTAAAACACGAAATCTCGAAAATTATTACTGGTGGTCAGAAGTAGAGTTAGTTATGTATCGTGTATGATTTCATTTGTTTTGAGAATGTTCACCTTGTATAGTTGCTGGTGTTGAATGTACTCTTACCTCATTGGTAGTCATTGTTTGTAACCAACCAATATTATTCCCCTATTTTAATATGATTTCTGATAGTTCACGTCATGCGGTTATGTATGAAATTGGCGCTGTTTCAACAAGTGCTCGCTCATTATGGCGGATTGAACATAAGAAAACTAAATGGAGTGCTGGTTTCTTCTCATGGGGTTCTGAAATTCGTTTACGTCATGTAACTACTGGTCGTTATTTGGGTGTATTGCCTAGTGAAGCCAATGGAAGTGGACACTGTGATGTCGTCACTTTGTCAGCACATGAAGCAACAAATGCAGCTTCAATCTTTTTGATAAGACCTAGTAAAGTATGTTTTTATTTTGAGTAGTACATTCAGTTTCTTCCTTTATATAAAATATCTGAGTTGAATTAATTTACTATCTATTTGAAGCAATAATAGTATGTGTCCTGTCTAGTTATACACTTGATTAATTCATAAAATTGTTTATATGGATAATCTCCGTAACAGAATTCAAAAGAATTTTCAGCTTCGTAGTAATTATTAGTTACGCTAACTACTGTTTTCAAACAGTTAACAAGTGATGTGATGCAATATATCATAATTGCTTACGTCAATAAACCCTTGCATATTTGATTGATCGTAATTTTTTGTGATATTTATCTTGTACTATTTGTAAGAGAGCGACTGGCAACCACTATTCATATTAATTGACAAGGACTAGAAAAACAGACTAAGAACCAAAACATTGATATTTATGGCACGTAGGCTTTGGTAATTTGAGATTGAAGATTAGGAAGTGAACTAGTTGTGGACCAATTACAGCTATTATCGCCTTTGTTTTTCTTAATAAAACAAAATGTTGTGCATACAAATATCATTTTGATGGAATCAGAATATTAATAAATTATACTAGATTATATTTTAGACTAAAAATTCATTGTCTTCTTACATCTTCATAAAAAGTGAACGTTTATTTATTGCAACTCTAAATTTTTTTATTTGCAGGATGATAAAAAACGTTCAGAAGAACATGAAACTGAAGGTATGGGTGAACCAGATCTTAGATTAGGTGAAACATTAGCTTACCTTCAACATGCGGCATCTGGTCGATGGTTGTCATATGAGGCATACGAAACACGTAAACGTGGTGTTGGCCGTGTGGAAGAGAAAAAAGCTGTCCTATTAATTGAAGGTCATATGGATGATTTGTTTAGTTTAGTAAGAGCACAAGATGAAGAAATCAGGTCAGCATCAGCAATACGTCGATGCACATCTGTATTTAATAACTTTATACATACATTAAATTATATATCATCACCGCAAAACATAACTTTACCATCACAACAGAGTCAGTGTAATTTAAGCAGTGGACATTTATTAGGTGAAGTAACTCAATGTTTAGAGGATTTGATTGAATTTTTCGCTCAACCGCATCCACATGAAGAACACGAAATTCAACAATCTAAATTAACTGCATTAAGAAATCGTCAAAATTTGTTTCAGGTAAATAATTGTGTTTTTTATCATTAAGCCATTTAACTGTATAAAGTGAGATACTGCATGAATGATTGATAATCGGTTTTCATGATAATTGAATTAACTAAAACTGACAAAAAATTTCTGATCATTGAAACGATAGTAAACTGTATGCAATGTTGATTTCTTATAACACACAGAAAATATGTAATATATTAATGTCACTTTCTGTATTAACCTGTCGAAAATGAATACAAATATAATACTTGCTATTACACTACTTGGTAATTGTAAGTAATGTATTGTATTTGTTCTAATTATCAAAGTTTCCTAAGGTGGTTAATGGACTTTCATCTGGTGAAATTATGATAAGCCTACCAGACATATCAAATATTAGTGACTTTGGACTGCTATTTAAATTGTATTAAAAAATGGATGGAAATTTCCTAGAATGATAATTCCAAGTCATTTGCAATTCGTGGCTAGTTGCTATCATATAGAGATCGTTGACTAGATATGTCTTGTGTTTGACACCGAACTGTCAAAACAAATAAATCTCATAGTTCGACATTACTTTTGGCTTTATTTTCACCTCTTATTATTTGTCTACTCCAGAATGAAGGTATGATTGGGCACGTATTGAGCACTATAGAAAAATTCACTGGAACATTCCAAACGCGTCGAGAATTTTCACAAGCTGTTGGTGAGGATAAAGCTGATCAGTTTGATGAATTGGGTAATTATCTATACTTACTACTAGCTGCACTTATTCGTGGCAATCGTGAAAATTGTGCACAGTTCGCTACACCTACCCGATTAGATTGGCTTTTCAATAGGCTGGAATTACAACAGGGTTTCGCTGAAGGTGTATTGGATGCTTTACATTGTGTTCTAACTGACAGTGACGAAGCTTTGTATTTGATAACAGAGCGTCACATACGCACACTGATTGGGTTACTGGACAAACAAGGTCGTGATCCAAGGGTTAGTACTGTATTTCTTGAAGTCTTGTTTAAATAATCTAAAGTTTGAGTTGACTTCTGATTCTATTTGTGCATGACTGATTTCTTCATATGGACTTACGTGGTTTGAGCGGAATACTATTACATTGTGAATAATAAAAAAACATTTCCTTTTCAAAATACAACGAAGATGATACGGATGCATGTTATGGGAAGACAGTTAACTTATATGAAATATTCTAAGATAAGGTTATTAATTTTCCATGAAAGTTGATGAGAACGGTCATTCAATAAAGTAAAAGATTTAAAAAAAGCTTCATGATTGACACTCAAAATTACTTACAGGCATGAACTACTTGTAGGAGTTTCTGGATCTAATGTCAAGGTTCTACTCTTGGTAGAATACTAGTTTCGAAGATGGGCTTTTAACCTACTGGATTATGATTTTCGAATCCGGTATAAATTTACTAATGTCTTTGGTCATATCAATGCATTGTCAAGACTAATTGGTAACCAGAAGTTTCCGGGTGAAAACACAATGATTGCTTCTATTTCAGGAGATAACAATGTTTATCTTATTTCGGTAAACGCTATTGAACTCGTCAATATATCATTTAAAATGCTGGGAGTTCAAGCAAAGATGATTCAAGACGTTTCTTCAAAAATGAGGAAGAACATCTAGTTTGATGCCTTATAGAAAATTTTGTAAATATTAACTCAGAGAGGACGAGGCATTTAGTTACCTTTGTTGGTTGAAACAGTTCATTTTATTGATATTGTAAACTGTAATTTACTGATGTATCAATCTCAAGTACTTTTAAGTTCGATGCATTCACGTCTGGTTATTGACCAAAAAAGTAAATCATATAAAGCTCAGTGTTTTTAGGTGAAGTTTTGATTTATCTTTGGTGCTTAATAAACCTTCATCCGTAATATTCGCCTTTTCACATGAGTCGTGTGATTTGCAGTATTCAATGTTCTAAGTCGCCGGTCTTCCACAGTTATGAAAAATGGCCATATTAGTGTTCTGCTGAGTTATAACAGTATCGGTGTGCCAGTGGGTTGACGAACTGTTGCTGAAAACTAGTGTTTACAGGTTCAATAGTAAGTTTTATTGTTCTCAGACTAGAACAGCTTTAATGAGTAACTGGGTGAAATACAATGTTATTCAAAGCGTTAGTGTTAAGAAACATAATACCATTATCCACTTATTGAAAAAGTTTATTTTTACACATACCTAACAAAGTATATTTTCATGAAAAAAACCCAGAGAATTCTTAATCACTACCTTGCAAATTTATTAAATATTTATTTAAAAAGCTGTGTTAAATGTATTTGTACGATATGGCATGTTGTACTCCTTTGTAAACAAGTAATAATTCAACTAATTTTTAATCAGATTACTTGTTTAGTTGTAGGTAGTTCTGTCAGGTGAATTACTGAAAGCAGGAGGGGAAATTGAGTTATTGCTTCATTCTACTTTATAACTTAAAATAAGTGGTATTCATTCACGATTTTACATAGAATGGAGCCGTCGATACTTGGGTCTATCAGAGAGTATGACTACTTGTTTGGGATCTAAAGTCTCACATTTTCACCTTCACTCAATTTATAGAATAGTAGAGAATTCAATTAGATTGAGATGACTCAGCTGTGTGCCGCTACCTTGTTTTCTATGGTTCGTTAACTACTACTAATTCGTGATAAAAATTATCTATAGTCTGAGTTATCGTTCATTTTAATTTTAAAATTTGATTGTTTTCTTTTTTTGGCTACTTAATGTGATGATATAACAAATCTATGACTTTTCTAGAAATAAAAGTTTCCTAATATATGGTACAGATATTTTACGAATAACAGAGTGCATAAATGTTTTTACAATTCTTATTTTAGGTTCTACAAGCATTATGTTCATTATGTCTAGGACGTCAAGGTGGAGCTGTACGATTAAATCAGGAGCTGATATATGAAACCTTACTACCACAAAAAGATTTATTATTACAAACAAAATTAGTTGATCAATGTGGATCAGTTCGACCAAATATATTTGTCGGTTATAAAGATGTGAGCCTTATACTTGTTGATGATTATATATAATTATTACTGATCATCCTTTATCTGATTTTACTTAATATGTATAGGAAACAAAACGCCAATGGTTATTAAAACAAATTTAAGTTGTTCACATGATTTTTCTATATTCACTCTAACCGACCCACTTTTAATTTCACACTGACTCATCTTTTTCATGAAAGATGTCACTAATAATCATACTTAGCCTCCGTTAGTTGTTGATGGTAGCTTTACGAACAAGATGTTGCACTTAAACACTTATATAAAGGGATTTGTGGAGCATATAAAATTTTGCAATTTGAATCATAAACTGATTTTAGCTAGACCACCAGTGAGAACCTGGAAGCACTGGACAGCTGTTTCATCCTATTGCGGAACTCCTTAACAGTTAGGATCCGCACTCATATGACCGGGACTCCTATCCAGGAGCTTCGGCCTCAGGCGTGGAAGCATAACCTCTAGGCCACTGGGCTGGCAATCGATGTGAATCGTATGAGGTTAGACATTAGCACCATTAGACACCCGTTCAGTGACCTGAAGGTCCTGAGTTTGATTCTCGGTTAAAAGAGGGGTTCCACACTAGGATGAAACAGCTTTCCAGTGCCTGAAAGTTCCTAATGGTGGCCTAGATAAAATCAGTTCATGATTTTGACCATGAATGGAAAATTTTCTTGAATGAACAAAAGTGAAGGTTGATGAGAATCATATACCATGCTATTGGCGAAAGGTTATTGATAAATTCATGTACCATGTTATACCGGATTAAAATATTTTCGGAATCTTCAATAGTTCTTTATGTTTGCTCTTATTGAACTAATTAGAAAGTCAAAATTATCATATAAACGATTTTCAAACTTTTGATAGATAATCTAGTTACTAATACACACTTTTTGTCATAAATTAATATCGCTTAAAAAGATACTAGTGCCAAAATGGTTTCTCATCGGTTTCTTATTGTCATTTAGAACTGATCATTGAAGTATGTACAAAATTCACTTCTTTCATGATTAATTGAAAAATTGGAAACATTTGAGTTGTTAGTGTTACAAATATATCCCTAAACTAGAAGCTTATTCGGGGATACATGTCACAATTTCTAGTAGTAATTAAAAAGATGTTCGTAAGTGCACACAGAAAGCGAAATTGATAATGATGATGATGATGATGATGATGAGGGATTGATAAATTCCAAAAGTTCTAGGTGCAGTCTTGCGTACTTTATTTCTTCAGCTTTTTCTGTTTTATAGATTACGGAGACATAGCTTTCTAAAATCGATCCCGCATAGAAGATTGATTCAAGATCTATACAGCAAGTGTTGAGTTCTTACTCATAACCTCAGATCGATCGACTATCATTGGGCATGTGGAGGATCAAACTATTATGACTCGAATCATCACAGTACGAGAGGAAATTTATGAAATTAGAAACTAAGTAAAGGAATTAATATCAATTACACCAAAAATCTAGACATTTAAGATATAGTTTAAAAATTAAAAAATGAAAATATAGATTCAGAGGAAGTTAGAAAATCGATGGAACTATAGCACTGCGAATGATTTCGCGCCATACTGTCCAACACTTATAGCCATAAATTACGACTCAAGCGTCAACCAAAAAGTTTTCACTTCCTATCAAGGCTTGAGTATGGTTGAACACAAGTCGATAGACTGTACTTAGTAATGACTCATCTATTAAAAGGTAAAAGCCAAGACAGTTGAGTCGTAACCTAAAATAATCCTTTTCGATATTCATACATGCATTTTTTAAAGTAATAACATTTCCCTCATCAACATTGCTTCTTATTTTCACTCGGAATCTCTCAGATGTTCTTTATAAACATGAAACTCAAAATTTACCTTTCTGATATATTACTTTAGTAATGAGACGAAATTCCTTGACACTCCAGTGATTATTATCCCAGATACAATAGTATAAATGTCGGTCACAATAAACTTATAAAATGTGATTATTTCTTCCAGAAAATTGTTTACACTTACTATTTCCTCCATTTCAAGGGTGGAGCTATGTATCCGAAGTGGTATTTTGAAGTAATTATTGATTCACTTGAGACAGTTACACATCAACCAGCAAAAATTCGGGTTGGTTGGGCTAATACAGAAGGTTACAATGCACATCCCTGTGGTGGACCTGGTTGGGGTGCTGCAGGATTGGGTGATGACCTGTTTAGTTATGCATTTGATGGAAGTTGTTTATGGGCTGGTGGTAAGCCGAAACGGGCTACGATCGGAACAGATGAAGCAACAAATGAGGAAGCAACATCTAATGTACCATTGAAACGTGGTGATATTATTGGATGCTTGTTGGATTTAACTGGACCTGTTATTCAATTTAATGTGAACGGGCGTCTAGTAAGGGGATATTTTCAGGTGAGCGTTTTTCAGTCAATTTCCATGATCACATTGTAATTTATGTTTAACTTTCATCTGGTCATTTTTTCATTTTTTGTCGACAATGTATTGCCGTTTTCCAGATAAGTTATTCCAACTGGTTTTCGTCTTCATCTATTGTAAAACAAGAGAACTGATAAACTGATACATTATTACATAGTGTGGCTTGACTTTGCGAAAAGTGCCTAAGTGAATCAGCTGAAGAACTTATAATTACTATGTGAACCGTACCGTTTATGGTTACCAATATGGACGTCAAAAGTTTAGGATACTGGTCACTTAAGTACGTACATATATATCATAACAGAAATCTTTGATTTGATAAATATTTCTGTTTAAACAAAATTTCATGTAGTTAGCTTATGCAAAACGTGAACGTGTACATTTTTAATGAAAGTGACAATCCACCTTTGCTGTGATTAGAGTGACTAAATTTTATTGAATATTATTTTTCATGCATTATTATTTCAGTGTCATTTATTCTGAATTTATCTATAACGCACATACACCATAGTGAGATACTTATTATCATTGAATATATTTTCACTAGTTTAATCTTTCATTTTGATGTTCTCACAAATATTCTGTTACTATTTATCAATGTTTCTAGGATTTCAATATAAGCGGTTTGTTCTATCCATGTATGAGTATGAATGCAAAAGCAAGTGCCAGATTTCTCTTAGGATCAAATCAAGGTCGTTTACATCATGGTCCTCCACCCGGTTACTCACCTATATATTATGCTAGACAACCGGGGCAAAAACTTCGTCTTGAACCTGTATTTACATTCGGTCAACTTGATAAATACGTATTCACCGGTCCACTGAATTCACCAACACCACAACAATATGTATTTGTACCACGTACAGTGCGTACTTCTCATGTAAGTATTACAATAAATAGCTTATCCATTTTTCTATTATTTAGTTTTTATTTGATAATCATCACTAACGTCAGAATTTATTATACAATGTAGTTCGATTAAAAAACCTTCCGTCATGCACTGGCATATACAAAAGAACGGCTGACTGCCAGTGTTCATTAAACTTTTCTTGTCTAAGATTGGGGATTAATAGCAATATACACCCACTTCCATATATAGAAGGATCTTAAGTTAGAACAAAATAGCGGTCCACTGCTCCTGGATTTTCAATGGTTCTCCTTCTGATGTTATCCAGGGACAAAATTCATCTTCAACTGAACTTGATTTTACAAACCAACCAACTAAACAAATAACCATACACATCAATCCACCAGACAAATGTAACATATTATAAACACATTTGAGAAGGCCTCGTTCGTTTACTATAATCTTATAATTCTGTTTATTCGTTTAAATTTTTCAGAATACATCATATCTTTTAACAATCACCGCTAAAGTCTGTGCAATTAAATCCTATTATTGTCTTTAAATTCTGTTACACGATTGAAAATGATTACAATATTGATGAGTCTACAGATTTCCCATCTTTTTTTTTCCAAAAGATCCAATTACCAAACTATGTTGAAATGGTTCGTGATAGATTAGCTGAGAATCTGCATGAAATGTGGTCTATGCGTAAAATTGATCAGGGCTGGAAATATGGTGAAGTAAGTTTTACTCTTTTAAACTGATTAGAATTAAAAAAATATAATGAGATGAAACATGAATTTTAGTTGGAACAAACTAATCCTCTCTGTGTTTGACGTCTGAAAAAAGTATTTACTCAGTTGCATTTAGGTGCATAGTGTGGAAACTACTGGATGTTTATCACCGGGTATAAATAATATGGATTAACTGAATTGATAATCTGGTATAAATGAAAGTTGTTGGCGTCTGATGTAAGGCTTAAGGTAAAGTAATTTAATTCATTTACTCACTCTGATATACTATTACGGCAGTCTAACATTCAGTAATAGTTTACATAATCATTTCAATAAAGTGAGTAGTTGATGAGAACATATTTCCTAATATCTTAAGACATTTTATAAATATCTTTGACAATTCACATCAGTTGTAGAATGAGTTATCATCCAAGGCGTAACAACTGGTTAGGCCTCAAAAATTAAGACATAGAGATACTTATTTGTTAAGTTTTCATACAATAGTTGGTGTGGTTGAATTTCAGTTACAGTCTCAGTATGTAAAACATCAAATCTGTAACCTGAAACCCACTAGTTCTAATTCAGTTGTTATCGAATTCTTCTTCTTTGCTTAATTATTAACTTCATGTCATTAATTGAGTGTATGTTACTTAGACTATTTACCAACGTTTTACAATTAACTTTTGTGGATTACGTTCATTGCTATTATTTTTCTGTATTTAACTAAGATAAAGTGAACCATTATTAACAGATAATACTTGGTTTTTCATTACAGTTGATCAGGTTTTGCTGTGTACAGCTGAAAAGTACTACTGTTTCTTCTTTATTTGTGAGCCATACCAGTCCCAAGGGAATAATTTCTTCATTTCTTAATCTGTCAAGAACTAAATGAGGCTGGCCGGTGTTTCAGACAATAGTCGTTAGGTTCGAATCTTAAAATGAACGCAAATACAGTTGAAAAGTCTCACACAGAACAAACTATTAATTCTAAACTTCCCTGCCAGTCAGGGAAATAGAATTTCTATTTAATTACTCTTTTTAGCCAATTAGCTATTTTGGAGATACACTCCATAAAACAAGGCACAACTACCGGGCAGCAAAAGCTGTTTTGTTCTTCCTTGGTCTTATTTCCTGTCTAGTTATTGGCGACCATTTATGTATCACGTAACAATGGTTTATTATACCCTTTTTTATCAGTAAAGATTTGTATTGCCTGTGCATGGGCATTTATGCATCATTGAGTTTTCTGGTCGTTTGTGAGCCGTATACCAGGTATTTGATTGGTTCTGCCGGACTTTGATGGTATGTTTGCGAGACTAATCTAGTTCCACCGTCGTCAGATCTTTTTGGTTGTTGATTCCGAAAATCAATTATTCTACTGTATTGAGAACAGCTTCTAGTAATTAGTTCTTAATATTTTAGTCTCTGGACCGTAGACTAAGGCCAGTATTATGGTAGATTCTATCATCTTCCTTTTGGTCGGTAGACTGATGTTATTCCATTTTAATACTGGTTAGATTTCGACTATTGCGTGACGATCTTTAGTGACGTTTTGGTTAACTACATCATCAGGCAGCCCGTTTGCTCGGTTTATGGGTCTCGGATAGTTAAAAGAAGGTTACTTCTTCAATGATTATTTTGTCAATGAAGATTTACCGGTTGTTCCATTGTTTACTTACGGTCAGTCTTTTTTCTGTCTATTGTGTTCAACATTCCCAAGGTTTTGAGTTTTTTTTAAGTTTAGTCAGCGTTTTGGAGGAATCATTGGTATTTGTCATGATAAGGCAGAGATCATCCTCGTATTCGATGCGATAGTCTTTATTCTGTCTTTTCAATTAGTTGTAGTCATATATTCTCCCCATTATTAGCAGTTTTGGGGATTTCTTGCAAGAATAGTCTGAAAAAAGAAGAACCCTCTTTGCTCCATTCTCTTACTAATCTGTACATTGTGAAGTTTACATTTTGTCCTTTTATATATCCTTTAGATTCATCATGAAGGCACATGATGCCCTAGTCGATGTTTTGAGAGACACAGGTGTTGTTTGACCTGTTCAGTAGCAGTTGTTTCGGGATAGTATCGAAAGTTTTATTTAGGTCTACGAAAGTCAGTATTATCTGAGTATCATTGTCTAGTGAAGTTTGAATGATCTGTCGAAGAGATGTGACTTCCTGAGCCGTTGACAGATGGTGTCTAAATCCAAATTGAGTTGATTGTATGAGATGATTTGTCGATGTGATGAGTCGTGCGCATATTGTCGTCGCAAAGATTTTCGGATAGTGTCCAGCAAGAATATTCTCTAATAAATGTCTAAGAATGCCTTCACGTCTTTACGATTGTAGAATTCCGATAACGTCCGAACAAATCCACTGTTTCGGGAGTTCGTCTGTTCTATACGAGAATTGGTTCATTAGTTCTAAAAGAATATTTTTAGTTTGTTTTATCGATACTTTATTTTTTCCTTTGTGACGTTGCTTCTAGGAGCTTTATTATTTTCCGACTTTTTTACTCTACGCTGTAGCATATGCAGTCTGAGTGTCTTTTTGGTGGTTTGATTCAAGGTGTTTGTTGAACCTATCAAAGCGTATAATTACGCGATTGAGATGTACGCGAAACCGAAGTTCATAAAGTAGCGATTTGTCTAAAAGGAGGTTCTTTATTGAGTAATATATATAAAATTAGTTACAAACTTTAACTTGTGAGGTATCTGTGGCCCTTAAAGCAGCTGTAAGTCTGAAATAAAAATGACTTCCCGAAATAATAATATAAAGATTAGTTATGACACAAGAGTGCAAATGACAGTTGATAGCAGTGTCTAATCTTGATAACAGTTTTTCAACATGCGAAAAACGGAAATAAAAGCAAATAAACACGGAAATCGTTGTGTTTAACAAGGATTAGACGACCATGCGGAACTGTGAATAACCGCTACAGTGATTGAGTTAGAGTAATTATAATGATGAACACAATAAATGCCATAAGTACATGTAATTATTTTAAAATATTACACGAAAAACGTGCGTTATTGGTCATAACTTTGACACCTTGTACCTGGTTCACTACGAATCCTACTACAGTGTTTTTATAATTATTAGGAGCAGGGTTACAGTTTTACATTGTGATGTTTTCGTCTATTTCGATTACCTTAGATCAGTTTGTTTACTATCTCATATTTTCGGTTTTGCTATGAGAGCCGGACTTTCTATGGGACAAATTTGAATTTTTTAGTCACACTTATTTTGCTGACCGGGATGGTCGATTTATTTTTTGATAAAGATATATATATGAGGAAATTTAATTAGGGCTACAAGTATACTGCAGCGATCATAATCCTTTATAGTAGTTTATTACTACGAATCCTGAATAACATTATTCGTAGTTCGTATTTACCGAATAGATGGCTAAAATGTGTTGTAATAAGTTTTGATGGACAAATGAAATAATTTCGTTTACTGATTATCGTGATTGTTTATCTTCAATGTTTTGATAATATTGAAATATCCTACTCATTTTTTTGTGAAAAAATAGCGTCGAGATGATGAAAATAATCTTCATCCTTGTTTGACTACATTTGACAAGCTGCCGCCGTCAGATAAGCAGTATAATGTAACACTTGCCTACGAAACATTAAGAACAATAATTAGCTTAGGTTATAATATTACTTATGAACCATTACCTGAGGGTACAAGGATGAGAACAATGAAGCTGTCAAATAGGTAAGCATTTCTATGAGTATGATTAAGTAATATTATTGATTACCTTATCCAATCTCGTCTCTACTACACTTTTCAAACCTATGAGTGATTGGTATATTTGACTCACAGACTGACTAAATGAAGCACTATTCACAGTAATACAATAGTTTATGGTCGTAATGTTACTGTATTTTTAACGTTTGCAATTGCATATTAACTGTAGAGTGGATATGAATAATGAAAAAGAATTGATAAGAAGACAGACTAAAAAACACAAATAAGTGATGAGTCACACAGTAAAGCATTATCTCATGTTGTCATAGGTTACAACATTGGGAAAAAGACAACCAATGAAAACCTATTAAAACGCTAAGAGTGAAGTAGATAAATAAACAGTAATGGTTGAGATCATGAATCAATTGATGTTAGACCACCATTGGAAACCCGGGAGTACTGGACGGCCGTTTCGCCCTGGTATGGTACTCCTCAGCAGCGCGTCCACGACCCCGCTCTTAGGACTCGAACCCAGGACCTACGGTCTCGCACACGAACGCTTAACTCCTAGACCACCGAGCCAGCATCTAGTGGCGCGACCGTCTTAGAGTGTCTCTACCTGACATGGACTAGTTCCACTGGTCACGGCTTCTCACTAGAACTTCGAGAATTCCCTCACAAAGCAAGTCACTGGTGAGCACATGGTAATTATCGGTATGAGGGTGTGGAGATTGGTACGTTTTTGGCTGAGATCTACTGAGGAGTCCCATACTAGGACGAAACGGCCGTCCAGTCCTTTCAGGTTTTCAATAGTGGTCTAACATCAATTGATTCACGACCTCAATCCATAACCTAAAAATCCCCTCAACCCCATACTGAAAACAATAATGGTTTAGATTTACGAAATAAAAAGCAGATGCCCATGCTGCATAACATTCGGTTTTCAGTAGTGATGCTATCAACTACACAATCATACCGAAGAAGCTCACGCCTCCCTAGACATCTCAGGCTAACTGACACTGACTTTAAAGATCGTTCCCTTGTTTTGTTCGTTTGTTTTATGTCAGATTGTAATATCGTTGACCTATTTGAAACCAACCCCATCAATTCTTAGTCAGTTCACTGAGATATGGAATACTATCTAAAAACGGGTGTGATTTACCTTGATGTGTCTTTGATGACATTGTTAGTATCATAAAGCAGATTATAAATGACTTCAGTCTCTTTTGGATATCTACACATTGAGCTAATCAAAAGTAGCCAAACGAGATGGTCACTTGACGACAGTCATAAATGTCCTGAACGACAAATGCATTCCATTAGCTAAGAAATGGACTGATTTTCTAAGGGGTATAAATGTATAAGTACAAATAAGTATTACATTCATGTTATTTGGTAGTCCAATAGACTTTCTCCTTTACTCTTGTCTTCTCGCTCAAGTAGTCTCATGTTGTGTAACCATATCAGATCTTGGACACCGCCCATCGCAACAGATATTCAACTGATTATTTTGCTTACACTATTTGTAGTAATGACTGTATATTGTAAATAATCTATATCAACCAGAATTAAGCATGTCAATAGCTAGTTACAAGAAAAAATATATAACAACGAAAGAGTGTCTATAATATAAAGGCATTCATTCGACCAACCTAAATTTCAACAGAAGCTCAGTAATTTAGTCCCAGAAGCCAACAAGGATTTACAGCAAATGAAAATCAATTAACAAACATAGCTATGGCATTTCAGTAGCCTACTAGTAAATGTTTTGCTGTTTAAAGCGATGCGGAGTTAGGTCCAAGTAAGCGAATCAGTAGAAGCAAGTTTACTTAATCAACTTTTACCTGCATTTGTAACCATTGACAGAAGTACGTTAACATTCTTTGCATGTGTTAACACTAAAGGTTTTTTATAGATGAAAAGAATCCTTTGGACTGAGTAAATTCTTATTCAGTTCGTAATAATTTGGGTTATTCCATTGTTGATAGTTCAGTGGATAAATGGAAAACCTGTTTAACGTTTAAAGCTAAGGATACTAGGTTTTAATTCCGAAGTGAATATCAACTAAGAGACCCAAGTACAGCCACCTGATATATTAGTTATATTTAGACAATGCACACAGGATACACATTTGAGAACTAAAGCTGATACAAATTCAGTCAAAATATCAGCAAAGAATAATCCATATCATTACAAATTGACTTCAAATAAACTCTGCTTCATTCGTTCTCAATGGGACCACTCTAGTATGTAAACATAAGGAAGTTCAATACTGAGCAACACTGGAAATGGCTACAGATAACTTTTTATTTCATCTTGTTTTTCTCTTTACAATCGTAACAAAATAGTTTTACTCAAGTGAATGGTTATAAACCTCAGCCATTGGATTTAACACAAATTCGTTTGTCTGTGCGCATAGAAGCATTAGTTGATCAATTAGCTGAAAACACACATAATATGTGGGCACGTGATCGCATTGCACTAGGATGGACTTATGGTTTTGTTGAAGTAAGTAGTTTTTAGGATGATTATTTAATTATATAATGCATGAATTATTCGGCTTTTGTCATCCACACATACGCCAATACCAAATTACAAAGATCATGTTCATGGTTCTTTACTTAATTTAGAAAATTGACTTAAAAGTCACCTCCATCAACGTTAGACTATTCGTTTAATTAAGGATGATTCTATCAACAATATGCTTAAACTCAGTGAATTAAATTGCGTGTATTCTCAAGTATAACGTGGCTATGTTAAAAAGTGTTATTATTTCAATATTTTTGATCAAAAAATTATTATTTCTTTTCACCTTATTACTATTCAACTGAACTTATTTCAGTAAAACCACTTGTGTAAATACTCTCTATGTACTTATTGTAGCCTCTAGTTAATAGCAAAAGCAATGGATTAGCTTATGGTTTAGCACGATATTTATGCAATGTTTTTTTCACAATCACGGATTGTGGTGAAGTGTACACTCACGAGTCAAATTTGATTGATCTAAGATCTTTAGGTAACACAATGAGAACTACACTTTCAGACCATTAAATAGTGGCTCAATCTCGAAAGGCTAGAAAGTAAATGATAGTGCCATGGCGGGTTCGTGGAAACTTGCTGTCCCAACAAGAATAATGAATGATAACTTTTGGGATCCATTTGTGGACCAATACTATACGTATATTTTTATCGTATAATTGTTAATTAACTAAACTATCCATATTCATGTCTCTCTTATCATAAGCTTTATTTTAACCTATGAACTGTTATTATATGATTTTCCATTCTTGAACTATTTCCTGTCCATTAGTCACTGCCTCCCTCATTCACAGTCACATCTGGTTAATTCTTGTACGAATGTTGTTTCATATTTTATTGGTACGTTGTGGTTTGTTTGATTTGTATATAAACTCAGTATGTTTGAAATAAATTGATTCATATTGCAGAGGCTTGGATTGGTGTTCTGGACTTAACAGGCTGGGCTAGGCGGAAAGCAGGACCAGTCAAGACTCTAGACTGTCCGCACGTGTTTTACGCGTCATTGGTATGATTGATATACTTCGTTTATTTACTAAGTAATTTCACTCATGACAAACAACGTTTATGGACGGATAATAAGTTCGTTTGATCCTGTACTAACAGAGGTTCTGATTGACTGATGTGAGGCTTACTTTTTTAACTCACTGTCTGTCATTAAATGCTGTTGACAGCAGTAATGATGAAAGGTAATTCCTCCCTATGGATTACGCTTATTCCAAATAGACTTGATTTACAACTCACTTTTTAAACAGTTTCCATCAAATCAAAACTGTGTAAACACTTCGAAACGTTTAAGATGATCTGTGATTATGGAAACGATAGAACATCTTTTGAAATTTTTCAGCAATGGGTGAGGGAAGTGAAAGTGGAAACATGATATAATTGTACAGGTATATATACATAGCTACTTTTTGTAAGTTATTGTTCAGCTTATAATAATTAACATATGAATAAATTATTTAAATGAACTATTTTCTGATCAGTTAAATATTCAATCATACTAGTCGTAATGCACTTTAAAAGTTTGAGAATGCTCCTTTATCTTATTCACATAATGTATTTTTATTCAAATCACATTTTCTGAGCATATTTTTTTATCAGAGGTAAAATGTGACTTTTGTTTAATATTTTTCAAGGATCATTCACAGAAACGAAGTCCACATTTAGTTCCATACAGTGAAGTTGATCCTATTATCCAACAGTCAAACAAGTAAGCTTCTGATGATAAATTCTTATATTGTTTAGATTTTAATTTGTTTTAATTTTAAGTTTTCTGTTGAATGACGATTCACCAGTTCGACTTCAGTTTATCAAGTTTTTTTATATCATTAAAAAACGGTTAAACATTCCAGTTGATGAGCAAATAAATATTTCGATGAAACTAAACAGATAATTTATATGAGATTTATAGGAATGATAAACTTGTGTTACAACTGTCTTTTCATTTAAAGAATTATATATATATATATATATATATATATATATATATATATATATATATATATATAATTAGTCGATATAAGCTTGACCATCATTGAAAACCAGGAAGCACTGGACGGCCGTCCTGTCCTAGTATGAGACTAAGATTTGAAATCCAGTCACATACAATGTAGAAACATTGCAGGTATAAACAGAGGTTCAAGTTGCCATAGGGCATTAGCACAAAAATATGAAACTATCATGATAAATCCCAGAGTAGTAATAGTATCAGTTGTGGTAGAAAAAATCAACTATAGAAAGAAAAAAGCACTGGAGTTTGAGGTTTAAGACTGTTTCTAATCCATCCATTTAACGTTCCTAGCTTCTGATTATGATTGTCGCGCGGACCCCAACCGGGTAGTCTGTATAGACCTACATGGCTCAGTCTAATAAAGTTATTATGTTTACTTATTTCAACATGTGCTTGGGTTAGTAAATACTGCTTGAAAGATTTTCTTAGTCATAAACAGTCATTGAAAGGTTTTATTGAACGTATAATCAGTTCTAAGTTTTTCTTTCAGACTCCGCTGTACTATGTTTTCTCTCCGACAAGGTCCCATAAAAAGAAGAAATATTTGTCTAGTGCTCCCTATTTTTTAATGGTTGTGTAAACAAGTGATTTTCTGATGTATACTGTCTATAAATATTGATAACCAAGATATTCAAAATGTCATATGAAATGTACACCGGATCTAATAAATTGAATCATAATAATGTGGATGACATTAACTATGTTTAACAATATCGTTCAACTTCAAGGAAGCTAAATATATTTATTAGAGTCATTATTATCGTAATTATTTCACTTATTGTGAAACTAATAATGCAACTGATATTATCATTTAGTTTTTACATTTACGTATATATTTCATTTTATCAAGGGACACAGCGATTGAAACAGTGAAAACACTTATAGCCTATGGATATTCACTGGAACCCATTAGTTCAGACTCTTCCGATCCAGGTTTGTTTAACATTTTTTATTAAAAAGTTATTTATATTTCGGAAGGTAGCGTATATCATAAACGTTGATATCACTTGGAAAACCATTGTAGATCAATGAGAACTTGACAAATTTACCTTTCTAGTCAAACCCTCAGCAGAGTACGATCACAACCTTTTGATCTTATATCTAATAAGGTACTCTTAAACCAGTGAACCGAAATCGTTTACTATCATTTTCGGTCAACGTAATCATTTGTTTAATGTTATCATCTGAAATTTTCTAAATTCATTTTTAAATGACTTCCTATTAAAACCTAAAAATAATCCATTTTTTAACACAATCACTAGTGAGCTCATTCATAATTCGAGAGATTTCAATTATTTCGGAGATAGTCGTGTGTCTAGCTGATATGAATTAATGAAAATATTTCTTAGCTTCTTCAATATTTTTCACTGAAAAAAATATTGATAATAGTAAATACTATAGAATGTAAAGTAACTAAATTATGTATGTCTATATTCCCCTTGTTATAAGTTTTATTTCGACCTATATATTATCATTGTACGATTTACTGTTTTTAAGCTATGTTCAGTTTACTGTCTACTGCCTTCCACGTTCACAACCACCTTTTGGCTTTATTGTGTATGAATGTTATTTCCTATTTTATGCTGCGTTGAGGTCTGTTTGATTGGTATATAAATCCAGCATCTTTGAAATATATGATCCGCATAGTGGAGGCTGTTATTGGTATTCTGGACTCAGATGGACGGGCTAGGCGAGCAACGGACCAATGGGACGCTAGGTTGATCAGACCGGTCGAACATCATTGGTTTAGTACAGTATAAGAGCGAATAAGTCGTATTTTGATTGGCGAATAGGTTACGTGATCACAAGCGGCTCATAAATTCACAACACACATGAAATACATAAACAGTTCAAAACTCAGAAAATTGTTTAAAAAAAAATTGACAACTAAGTAAATCTTGTAATCAATTCACATAAAACGGACTTTTTTAGTAGTTATTTTGTTTTAATATTTCTACTGACAAACATTATTTCATATCAAATGACCCTTGAAATAATGAAGTCACAAAATTATTTGTACAATTTATAACTTGTTTCTGCATAGTGTTCTATATTCATTTGTATACTAATTAGGTAATACATAAACAATTTTATATAATTAGTCAATCAATTATCCACTCTGAATTAAAGTGGATTGAAAACAAATTCACTACATTCTAAAAATAACAAACAGTTAAACATGTTCAGCTTTATATAAACCCAGTGGGGTAACGTGAGAAAATTTCAGAAACTAATCAAAAGGAAACAATATGTATTTCGGTCAAATCATGAGAGACAACAAGACTGTTTCAAAGAATACAGAGATATAATTCTTTCGAAATAAATACACTTAGAAGGATTAATAAATAACTTTCAATTATGGTACTTTTGATTGAGAAGTTTCCGAACTATAAATTCAAGATAAAGCATAAAAAGTCAGAGCGAACACTAGAATAAGATAAATGATACAGATATTGAGAGTTTTTCATAGATGATGGAACAAATGAATGTGGCTAAATCTCATGACTAGTTAGGTTATTAATTTGCTATTCCAGTAATTATTCATAAGACAAGGTTAAACGCAATAACAAATTTGAGGTTTTGGAATAAATTTGATCATTCATGGAGAACAAGATATGTTGGATACAATATATTTACATGAAAATAAATAGTGCTGAGACAGAGAAAATTAAACATATACACCTTGATGGGTGAATTTTCAAACCAAGCTATGGTTGTTGTCAAGATAGGTTTCAACTCAAATTAACATCCACTGGAAAGCCATTGGAAGTGTAGATTGACTAAGCAAACATATAACCCTAGTTTGAGAATCCATATCGGTGTTGAACAACCAATGCTGACAAGGTAAGATCTAGGACCTCCAAGTCATATAATAGTCACGAAACTGCTGATGCGTCGAATCAGAATCTGACAGCCCATACTTTTCAAATTTCGGTTGATTTGCAATTTAGAATTAACCACCGTCCTAAGCTATCGGTGGTTATTGATCGTTTCACTAATGACAAGGCTAACTAATGACAACGCCTTCTCGTCGAAACATTTAAAAACCAAACTAATTACGTATTGATTACAGTGCAAATTCCACTTCATAATACATATAACCTGTGGTTTCAGGTCGTGGTAATTCTAATATGGATTATTCAGGACCAACCAGGACTTATCGTGGCCAAACTACTAGAGCAGTAACACGTGGTAAATGGTGAGTAAATTACCGCCTCTATAATAAATGCATGAAAGGTCGTCATCTCTGCATCTGCATGCTACTTTTTTATAGTATTTTCTCAAAACAAGACTAAGAAAGGAATAAGAAAGTCATATTTTTCACTCTTTTCTGAATTATTCACTTTTCAATTGCTAAGTATGAAATATCAAATTTCAATGATAGGTACTATGAAGCAGAAATACTAACATCTGGTTTTATTCGAATTGGATGGGCTAAGAAAAGTGCACCGCCTGACTTAATAATTGGTTCAAATAGCAGTTCGTATGCTTTTGCTGCACATCAGGTAACTATTAATTTTGATAACTATTTTGTGAATTGATTTGAGTTATGGGGAAGCGTTTATAATAATCTTATGTAACCTTGTTTTTAGATGGATTAAAACAACTATTATGTTATCCAGAATTCTATACTTGTAGTTTAATAAAATAGCTAACGATTTTAACTAAACTAAGATCTGATTGATAGTAAGTTCCTTTAGCAGAGTTTGTTGATGTACTCTCATCTTTATTCCCTTAGCTGAATACAAAAACCAGACTTATTTTTTAGGAAAGAAAGACGATACACTGGGGAGACTGGACTTATCAGTTCAAAGCTTAATGACGTGTGAGAGATGTTAGCATACGCAAAGGAGAAAATATGTATCCGTGAAAGAGTTTGTGCACATGTTTCGATTCGATTATCCAACAAAACCTTTCTACTCACTTTCGGCTTTATAACTCAAGTGGCTGAATGAGGGAGCAGATAGAAGGCCTATGTATTAGTATTAGACTCGGACGGCCACGCAACGTAACACTTGTACAATCGTTAACCACTTATACGGAAAGCTGTTAGTTTGGATTTGGACTTCCTCTATACTTTAGTCATCACCATATCAAAATATTAAGACTGTCCAAATTTTTTAAATACGTTTTTATGGTTAATTGTCATTGATTAACAATCGGGAGGAGATGGCAAATGAAGGCTGTCTGATTATGGCCTAATGAGTTTAAGTTATCGTACTCATGGCAACACTTTGAAGTTTGTACTTCAAGCTTAAGTGATGTCGTGGATGCAGATTCATTAACAGCATAGTTAGCATCATGGAAAGATCTTGATTAAATAATCATTCTAAAATTTATTTTCCCAATAAATGCTGACATAATTTTAGTCATTTATCGTAAAATATTTGTCAGCTATTTTCTAGCTTAAGTATTGTAAATACTTACATTTCTACCCACATATGTTATCACCTGATTCAAACATCTGAAGCAAATTTTAGTGATCTATAAAATCATAACATTTTATACTTTTCTAGCCTTCTTTTCAGATTATCGAAACAAGCACCGACTAAGATGTTGAACGAAGGGAGATTTAAGAGTACTTTTTCTCATTTTACATTTTATGCGATTTGTAACGTATTTATCTACTTAAAAAATGGCAGCGATTGTCATAAGTATATTCAAAACGATTATGTTGTAAATAAGGTAATGCGAAAGTCTACTTCAGCAATTAGTATACCTTCTTTCTTCAATGATATTTGCATTAGACAGGACACATAAAGCCGAAAACTAAATATCACACTTTTTATTGATAAATAAATTGTTTTAAAAAGATATACATGTAGACATTAATTGTAAAATGTACATTGATGATATAATCCTGAATAACACTGAAAGTATCGCAATAAAATTATCCAGCTCGGAAAACTTGACAACATCAAAATGCTCGGCCTGGGCAATAAATCTCTAACATCGTCTCAAAGGATATGAAGATATTTCTTTAATCTATTAAACAATATTTCTCCTTTTATAAAAGTTTCAGAGAAATCACATTATTCCTATGGTTATCGACAAACATGCTTTTTCCTTAACCGAAAGTGGCTTGAATGATTTGTAAGATATTGACAACAAGTAGTCGATGTGGAGAATCATTTTATGAAGTAATTATATAAAATTGATCTATAGTTATTAAAATCCTACACAGTTACAAATTGATAAGTTATAACATTATTTCAACCGAATTTACTTAGAAGAAAAAGTGAATTGTAACGGCTTGGTTAGTTATTGTTTATTTTCCTTTAACAGGCTCGTAAGTGGAATCGAAATGGTTCTGTTTATGGTACAATCTGTCGACCAGGCGATGTAGTTGGTTGCATGATGGATTTAGTAGACAAAACTATATGTAAGTAATTTATATATGGAATGTTTTTCGATAATGTCATACTTCGGAAACGAAACTGAGTTACTACAGTTCAAGTGTATCATATTTACCACGTGCAAAACAATAATTAAAAAAATTCCATTTTAGACCTATACGAACATCTGTCCAGAATTCATGATAGAATGTATTGGATCTAATTTTGATGGAACGCGAAGTAATCACTAGATTATCGCTCTTTCATCAAAAATATATATAATTACATGTAAAATTCAAATCTTAAATCTTTTTAAACGTCTAAATTCTTAATTCTTCATCTATTAAATGCCAATTTTATTTGGTCATTTTCCTGGAAATATAATCAAATGTTGACTGTTACGCGACCAGTTCATGAGGGTAAAATAATTTATCGAAGGAAAAATACACCCGTAATCAGATTATGTGAATTTTTACTTTCAATATTCAGTCTAAAATTAATACAGTGGTATATTCAGTGCTAGTTTATCCTGAAATGCTTTTCTCAACATAATGACTCGGGGACATTAAAATTAAGATATAGGATTTAGAAATAAATATATCAATATAGTTATCAGTCTCTGAACGTGCATATCAGCAATTCATATGAAACATCATTCAAAAAACTTAGATGAAGCTGTGAATGTATTCTGTTATTTATAAACCAACCTGCGGATAACATTAAAAAATTAATAACTAGTCGAAAGAAACACAACTTTTCATGTTATTATAGTTGACTCATCCTCGTTGTCTTACTAACTTTAAATGATACTTGTTTATATTTTCCATAAATATCCCTTCTGCAGTACATGAAAATATATCATTTTTTTATTTGTTCAGCATTTTCATTAAATGGAGAGTTGATGATGGATCCTCTTGGACTGGAAATCGCCTTTAAACATATAAAAGTGGAAGAAGGTAAATCAAGTGTTTTTTTGTATGCTTGTAGTTTATAAGATTATTCTGAACGAACCGACTTAAATAAGACATGAATGTTTCATCAGACTATCAGGTCGAAATTGTCATACTAAATAAAAAATTTAAAATTAACTAGGATATATAAGAACTTTCGTCTAAATTTGAACGAATAGTTCCACAATATTTGGGCGCCGAGTTAATGTGAGTCATTAACGAGGAATAATATATATTTTCCTTGAAAAAGCTTGGACCAGATTGCCAGGCGAAACGTTGGAATTACTTCAAATTCTTTCGCTGAGATTTTAAAAATGTATATTATTCCTCTTTAACTAGGATATATGTTATACAGACCAAGTCACTATATTTCCCAACTTCTGTTAAAGAACATTGATGGGCTAGACTAAAATAAAACAAAGAACATTTACAAAGTGACATAGTATGTTGTTGAATTAGTTGTATATCCATATGAGCTATGTATAAAAGTGTTGAGCTTATTCATCTAACGAAATGAACTACTGGGAGCCAGTGGTCAAACATCCTTGGTGACGGTTGAAAACTATTCTTGGATGTCTTACTGTGGGATTATTTTTGTATTATTGTTATATATTTCACTTTCTTTGATCTGACATTTTTTTCGACTCTAAATGCAACATGGATTCTATACACTGGTAAAGTAACACTTTATATTGTTGTTTACCTGTTTTCATGATGAGTTTATTTGAACTGCTATACTACTATACTGTATGTAAAATAAAATGAGGAAAGGTATTATCGTTTTTTATCCACTCATTTCTTCCTTTACCGCTAAATTCATATGGTTCGCCCTTGTAATTATACCACGTGTATTATGTCCTCACTGACGTCCTTCTTATATTACGTATATAGACCCGTACTTGGAAAATCAGTGACATAATTACCATTATTATCATTGTGAAATGCTTGAAAAACCTAAAATCCTACTTTATAAACCATACCTAACCGACAGCATATATCCAAGTCGGATAATAGTAGTTTTAATGCATATTTAGACTGTATTTTCACTAAGAATAAAATTTGTTTTGAAATACATCTCCATTAATTATAAGCTAGCAAATATTTTCTCCAAAATTGATTTTTTCAAGGTTATGTGCCAGCATTTTCTCTTGGATCTGGACAGCAAGTTAAGATCAATTATGGAAATGATGTTCAATCACTGAAATTCTTTACTTATTGTGGACTACAAGAAGGATATAAACCATTAGGAGTGTAATTCAACTTTTTTAATTTACTTACTTCGCTGAATTTTGTGGTTAATGTTTCTATTCTTTAATTATGAAAGCTGAATCAGCTGTTATTTATTGATCGTAAATTACACAATTGACCAGACAAACATTTGACAACCATACGATCAGATTACTCCATTGAAGTCTTCAACTTTATATAAACAGAAATATCCTGATTTATAAAAACTGTCCAGTCAAGGGTCCAGCACTTAAGCGAAACATGCTCTGGTTTATTACTGAGCTTATTACGTTTTCTCTGTTAAGCACTTAAAAGTTACTAAACCATGAAACAAAAATCCACAATGATCACTTTCGTTCACCTAACACTGAAGTACATGAAGCCGTACTATACTTTAATTAGGTCGTTGTTCATCCAGCTCCGAATGATGAGTAATTTATTACATGAGTTTAAATGTCTTATAATAAGTGTTCGTACATATGAGTAAAGAAGCTGACAAATTATAATATATTAAAAAAGAGAAGTGGGTCAATGGAATAAATGATGGTTATAAAAGGGTTTTCGTTCTTTGCTTAATGGTTTGACTTTAGTCGTTACACGATTCGGGGTTTTCAACAAACTTATTTGAATTCGTGATGACAGTTATCTTCTAACAAAAGATATATGATCACAAAAATGTAACCGCTTAGACATAGCTTCTTACACTGTATCGATGAAAAGTAAATGTACGGAAGAAAATAAGCTTTTCTCAGTCATCAACATTAAGTTTTTAGGTTTTAGAATCTTTACGATTTACCACGACAATTTACTCACTCTTATATTCGTGACAAAATTTCATTGTTGAGTTGCGAGTTTCTTGCGAACCAAACTTTAGTCAAAGTTATCAATCCAATAAATCCATCTTGGTCTGTAATCTGCCTAACTTTTCTGAGTTATATATGGGTATGAAAATATTTAAGACGTTTTGAATAATTTGTATGATTGATTAGCTTCCGAAAACTGAAGATATCTAATCCAATGACAATCAATTATCAAATCATAATATTTCTTGCACAAGAGATATGATCATTAGCTATTTTCTATTTATAATTTCAGTAATATGTGTAGACCGTTGCCTATGTGGTATTCCAGAGAGGATCCATCTTTATTTGTTGATGTTGATCGGCAGCACCCATCGCTAAAAGTTAACGTATCATCTGGAACGTAAGTTTTCATTCTATTTGCTTCTTTAATTAGCAGTTCTGTAAACGTTTTGAGTATGACCACTATTAAGTGGACTTACGCTACGGAATTGTTGAAAATCATGTTTCATGATTTGTACTGTGCTCACTAGAAGACTTTGTTTTGTGAATAATGGTGTGTTACGTAAATAATTTTACATTACTGAAGCACAATAAACTATGATGAATAAGTCAGTATCATTTCATAATGAAAATTAACTTCAAATATCAAAATCGGAGGCTGATAATGATAATGCTCACACAAATATTTCATTTTATGTGAAATCTATGCTGGGAAACATAATATTGGAATTTTTAATCATCATCAATCATTTCGATCTGATAATAATGTATAAAGAATTAGATTGTTTTCCTTTGTTAATAGTTAATGAATTACATAAGTGATGTATAACTAATTATTAATTATAACTGTTGTGGTTCGGTGAAATTCAGATTGCTGCTATCGGTATGGTTATTTACTATGACTGCGAAAAAATTCCTACTTATTATTATGCAACAGGATTGATATGCCGGACACAAGGAATAGAACAAGATTGTATACATAAACTTATTTATTTTAACAGTTGAATTCATGATTTGATCTAAGCTAGACTACTGTTGAAAACCGTGAAGCACTGTATTGCTGTCTTGTCCCAGTACGGAACTCTTCAGCGGTGAATAACCACGACTCTGCGCGCTAGACTCGGAGCCAAGACCTCTGGTTTCGCGCACGGACGCTTGGCCTCTAAACCACTGAGCTGGCACCCAACAGTGCTAGTCTCTAACTTCAATCGATTGTGCATTCACGATCCTGCACTCTTAAGGAGTCTCGTACAAGGACGAGACAGCTATCCAGTGCTTCCAGCTTTATAATGGTGGCCTAGCTTAAATCAGCTCTAGAATTCAACTGTTAGAATTACTACAATCTCGATAAATCCCCATTGTGGCTTATTTATTGACCAATCATTCACTAAAACGACATCAATTTATCACAATAAAATATATACTCATTTAAATGTTCAGTTAATAAATGAATTTAAGTGTATAGAGTGGGTACTAGTTGACGTGAATTATTTAGTAATTTGATGGACGTAAATATAATTTACGAAGTCAATAAATAAACTTGCTTGACTGAGAAATATAACTTATCACTAAAGTATGTATTTTCTTTCTTTTTAACAATTCCCAATACATTACTGCTGTTCCACCTTTTCTTAATTTTTTTCAGAACACCTACTTTTAAAGTAACAGTTAAACAAGCAGACCATATATCATCAGAAGAAATACAGTTTTTACGATTAAGTTTAGGCACACAGTGTAAAGATCATTTTACATCAAAGTAAGAATTTACTATTTGATTACTTATCTGTCAATTAATTAACAATTTTGGTTTTTGTTTTAAATAAAGAATAGGACACTTTTAGCTTGGGCGTTATGAACATTTTTGTCTGTAGGATATGACTATTAGTTTTAAGTTCTGTTACCAGAAGCATTGTACGATCTTATTGGCTTTTCTTAAAAACTAGTATAAATAGAGTATCATAAGAATTGATGATTGAAAAAGTAAATAGAAATGTTTTTTTATATGAGTAGAATGAACGAATTCTCGATAAGGTTTCAAGATAAAGCCTTGAAATTAATCGATAGGGGAGATAATCATATTTTCGAAGAAGGAGACCTGTGAAGATTTAACAGTGTGTAGATCGACGATTGAATATGAACCCATTGGCTTAGTTAGTAGCCACTCATCTCTAAACCTGTAGATCTTGGATTTCATTCCTGGAGAGGGGGTTAGATGCACACTCGCAAAGAGTCCCATACTAAGAAGAAATATATGTTCTCTGCTTTTCTATTGCATCTTGAATGAAGTCATTCTGTGACGAATACTACAAGCAAATTAAAATAATCTCAAAACTCCTTAATTGAAAATATTCCCTATTGTACAATATCTGAATTTTTATGCACATCAATCTATATCACAATGAACATGTTCCGATGAATTTAACGAAACAGTCATAAAATTTTAAATTGGGCTACTCGAAAATTTTTAAAAACTAATCTGAACAAAATCTTGTTTCATTTGGTTTAACTGCAGCATTATATTCGATAATAAGTGAATGTTTTCTGAATCATAGATTAGGGTATTCTTTTATGTGGTAAATAGTGACCGTTTTTATTTCCATAACTTAAACCACGAAAAAACCAATAACCATTGAAGTTTATAACTGAGGCGTCAAAGCTAACATAAGTTCACCAATGGATTATCCAATGAATTACACAGAATTTACATATCGGTTGAAACAATATCATAATGATGAAGTCATTTTTAAATTGTTTTGGTTTATCTGATGCGATTATCATAATAGTTTTTTTAACAAGTTTTAAAACATTTCACTTTGATTTCTATTTTCATAGAACCTTGAATGAACGTCATGCACATCTTGATGCTTTAAGGCGTCAACTTGAACCAGAACCAATTTACACACAAGGTGTTGGAGTTGGAGATTCTTCTAATCTGATTATGATGGGACAAGTAAGTTTAGTATTGATTACTGATACTTTTGTTGAGAGAATTTGAAATATTTGTGAACGTTGTCTTTGAAATCAACTTGTAGTCTGATTATACACGAGTGCTAACAACTAATAGTTCATGATTGGTGATGTGCTGTAATATCATAGTCTTTATTCTTGTAGTCTGACTAAGTCCCTAAAATGGTGAATAACTTCACGAAGTGATGACAAATATAAAACTGACTTTTAATAACTTATCATGATCCATTTAGATAGCAAATGAATATGTTTGAAACGCATTATTTATGGTTTCTCAATAGAACGGACCGTTTGTAAACTGATGCAAAAAAATTACTGATTATTTCATTCATGAACATAGACAACCACTCTCCTAAAATACACATTCAGGCCAATGAGACCTATTCAATGAAATACCTGTCACATTTCCGCATGGGTTCAAGTTTTCATATCACACTAACAAAGTGATATGAAATTATCAAGAAAATTATCAGATTAGTAGATGAAGTATCAGTGATAGTAGAAGTAGTAAAGTATTTTTATGGAAGAAATGATTGACAAAGAAGGTATGAATTTATGAAGTAAAACAGCGTATAAGGTTACTTTCAAACTTGGGAGTTAAGAGAAGAGAAAAAATGAATTCAAGTGCACCGCTCCGACTGATCCATGCCATTCATCATCAATATCATAATGTGGCTTATTTAATCTGTTTATGTCCATCAGTGTGTTAAGATTGCGGTTGTCATGTCAGATGACGTCTTGCTTTATGCTTAAAGTTGGATTTTTCTTGTAAAGCACTGTTGTTTAATCATCGTTAGAGAGACCTGTGTTGTTATCTATTTGCTGAGTTAGGACAACTTAAGACTCGTATATATGCCTTTAAGACTGGTTTAGACCAATAAGTTTGACGTTAAAACACCTCATACGATTAGTACATTTGAGTTTTAAGATTTTCGGAGGCTGAAAGTTATCAGTAAAAGTCATACTTTACTATACCCGAAGTGCAGTCAATGTGAGCGTAGGCAGATAAACCTAAGAGGCGCGGTCAAGTGTCCTTATCTTTTCGAGTTCTTACTTTCTGTGTCTAAGAATTATGTACTGTGTCAACATGACTATATGCTATGAAATCTTTTGAGGACTGTGCGTCTTAAGCATAGTTCAAACTAATTTGGATCTTGTTATAATGAAGGAATATTTTAAATATGTGAAGGCATGCGAATGGTTGCACGAATTACTGATTACTCATAAAAATGAATTATTGACAGAAAGCTCCCAACGGTCAAAGCAGCTGGTCAGTAGAAAGAGTGGTTATATATGGTCATATGATACATTTATTTGTAGAATATTTGAATTAAATATAGTGATTATTAGACACCATTTAAATATAAATGATTGTTAGATCATGGTTGTCTAGGTTACTCATTAGCCCATGAAATTGATACTGAACTGTTGGATCGACTCATTTTTATTGTTCATATTTTTAATCTATATGGGTACATCAATAACAGGCAGAATCAATGTGTAATGAGAGTGAATAGCCACCAAAGTAGACTAAAGTAATGATAATATTGAATCAACTACAAAATAAGATGCTTCCGAAATTGAGTTGGAGTTGAAATTACACTGGTACTCTAATTGTCAACAATTGTAATAAAATCGTAATGTCTCACAACTGCGTTGTAAAGATTTCTTCTTAATGGAATTGAGTTGTTTTCAAAATGTTTGGTTATACAAAAATAAATAAATAAAGATAGGTAGATGGATGAATAATAGTCAGTTAGTTAGTAATTTAGTTAGCTAATTAGTTGGTTAGCTAGATAGATATATATAGTTTTGGAACTGTTTACAGAAATGAACACTGCAACCAACAGAATTGAACTAATGGATTGAACTTTAACATGCTTTGTATGACCTTGTATTCTGTAACGAGAATGTGGTTGTGTAGATTTGACATGCTATTACGCAAGACTACATTATTGTCCATTCACTGTTTCACAGTTCATGTAAGTGTGTATTTATCAGCAGTTTCTTTTTTTACTTGAATAATCCACTATGGTTCATATACATCTACATATGATTTTCCACAGAATTTTCTAATTATGGAGTTTACAAAATCCTGTGTATCTTAACCACAGAAGTGGTATTATTGTGTTATGGAGGGCTCTATAAAGACAGCTTTTTTGTTCTTTTGTACGTCTAATTTGACTTCAAAGTGCATGCCTGTATTACAGCAGTGTTGATGAGGTATTATCTGTAGCCTAGTCAGTTGTGATAGAGTTTAATTTAATAGGAATATGCATTTGTTAGTAGCTAGTGGTAGTATTTCATCATTGATTCTACTACTTAAAGCTTAGATAGTTAGACAATCGGTTTATTTGACAATTTTTCGTTTTCTCTGCCCTTTAGGATATGTCCGCTTCTACACTAGAAGTTCGAGATAGACGTGGTAAGAAAATTAGACTTGGAAATATGTTTAAGAAAGCTCGATCAAGGGATCCAAGCCCGGAAGTAACATCGACTTTAGGTGGAGGAGGTTAGAAATTAAAAAAAAATTTTTTTTTTCCAAGCAAAAAGGATGTAATTGACCAATTTTAATCTTTCCCTATCTTATTATTTTTATCAAACTGATTTGGTGTAGATCTTGTAACTTTTTCACAAAGATTATTCCAATTATTGACAACATAAGTGTTTGGTTTTCTGTAAAACTCTTAGCTAGTGGGTTAATGATGATACAACTATACGTTTAATTGTATGTACTGTTTTGGCTCAATTTCTTTCTCGACAGAAATTTATTTGCGTATGAATTCTGTTAATACATAAAACAAGTTATTATTAATTATGACCTTAGATCGTTGGGTTGGAGGATGCTAGTCGGCGGCCTATGCTCCGTTGGGAGTAACAGGCGTAAATAAGTAAGTAGGTAGATCGTTCCTCCTATTCAAATCTCTATGCCTTTCACCTGTGTTTACAAATAAAGATGTAGATCTGTCAAATTACTTGACTGGTTTCCACATTTGTGGACACTCATTGTTCTATTTTATTTTCATTTTACTCAAACAAATGTTTTTTAATTGTATCATGATAAATCAATGGAACTTTAGTTGCTCACTGATACCTAGGTGGAATAATCAGTCGTTACTCATTAGTGACATACTAATCTGTTTCAACCAGTTATTCAACAGTAATTACATTACCTGTCATTTTATCTCTGACTTTTGAACACAACTTAGAACACTATACCGTGATTTCTTAAACAAACATCAGGATTTAGTTCATAGAAACTTAATTTTGCCCAAGATAGGATTTATCATTCATATTATAATACTTCCCATTTGTAACAATACATTTTTCCCATCTTTTTTTGTTATTCAAAACATTTCAAGAATTCCTAAGGATCAAAGCTCTTCAGCTGCCTTGTCGACGATAGTCGTACAGCTCCAGTGTTCACGATCCTTACTCAAACAATGCTGAGGTTAGGTATATGTTGTCCAATAGCTAGGTGATGTAAATCTTCACTGGACGAGGTGGTTGGGACGTGTGTCATGCACTTTCAGGCGCTTCCTACCTCGATAGGCAATGTTTTGTTGTGTAGAAATAGACATTACACCGATCCATGACATCACTGATTGTTAGTCTGGGTCACCTTCTAAGATACAATTTTACTGATAGACGTCCGTACAATAACTATGACCAGTGGTTGGTAACGTTATGTGATATGACTTGGAATCGTTCACAGTGGTCTAGATTCATTCATTCATTATCTTCCTCTCAATCTTTTACTTTGATATTTCCTTCCAACATCCATTTCCAATTTGTCTTTTAGAAAGATTTCCACTGTTCTTTCGTTCTCTTTAAACTACTTTTTATTGTGCGATTTTGATGGTCGTCTAGCATTGATTGACTCATGATTTCAACTGTGAAAACACTGCAGTCTCCACAAATCCCCATACTTTAGGTATTATTATTGTTACGATTTGTCGAAGAATTTTCTGTCAATAATGAAAGATATGATTAAGTTTTCTTTATTTATTCGGAGATTTGCACTGGTTCTAGTAAATTCACAATTTGACTAAAATCTACCAATCCACCTATTATTTAGCATCAACAGAAAAAGACAAGGGTAAATGAAGTAACCTACTTTTGTATGTGAATTAATTGTAATCTATCTATCCACCTATTATCGAATAGTAAATTGATGTACATTTGACATTCATTGGATCAACTTATACATTTGTATCCCACCGTAGCCAAAATACTTTATAAGAAACATTTCCTTGCAAGAATTTTGTATCATCTTATCAAGCAACTTGTTTTCAGTGTGCTTAATGCTTTAGAACTGATTTACTAGAGTTTGGAGATTAGTAATGTGATCTCTTTTCATTATTGATTTGGAGCTATTTAGATGCAGTAATCGTTTTATTCCTCATTTAACATAAAGGTGGTGGGTCGTTGCTAAGTGGTGGTGGTAGTAGCCTTACTGGTGGCAAACGTGGTGGTGCACATGCTACAACTGGTTCGTTGGGTCCTGGTGGTGGTGGTGGTCAGGGAAGTGCCGGATCTGGTAGTCTTCTTTCTGCAACAGCTGGGGGTTTTTCCACTGGGATCACGGGGCCACAAGTTACAACAACCCAAATGTCTCAACTTGATCAAAATCCTCCTGGTGCTATCAGTGGTCAGAGGCAGGTGCAACAGGCAGGAATGCCGGCACCAGGGGCTCTCGGTGATATAAAAAATACTAGAGCAGGTGCAACTGGTTTAGATGATATGGACTTATTTCTTGTACGTTAAAAGTTGTTATTATTCTGCTTTATTTCATGATAGAATCATTGTTCGCTTAATCGCCAAAAATACTTAAGTATAATGATCACTTCATCATATTTTTTTATAAACAACACGGGGATTATGATACAACACAGGTTTATTTGCACATTTTCACTATTCAGATCAAAGTGATGTGAGCATGAAATGGTCATTTCTTATACTTTGGAAAGATAAACTTACAGTAATATTTAAGTTAGATTAAATGTTTCTACTAACCAGTGACGCGTTTTTGCTCGTTAATGATCCGAGTATATCAAGGGTAGTGTTGATGTTATTTGTGATGAAAAACTAATCAACTGTTAGAATGATGTACTGTTATTATAATGCCTAGATTGATATTTTACTTCTTAAAATGCGCTATAAATCCATTCATGAGAGTTTATATTTCCTAACTATTGGTGATATTTCAACATCAGAACGGTAATAGTTAAGTTAGGACTATATTTCTGCGGAAAAACACTAATATTAAGTTTTTGAATTGTGAAATTAACTATTTTTCTAAAACGTATAAGAGTGAGAACTAATCGTCAGCCACTTATTCACAAGACCAAGCATAATCAAAGTAAACAATCAAGTTCACTAAAATTGAATTTATTTATCTTGAAGTATGTAAATTTGAATCACTAACTTCTAGACTGAACTTAGTTTTTTTATTACCACTAGAGATATAAATCACAAATATACAGTGTTGATAGAGTAGTTAATAGATATTGTAAATGAGATAAAATTGGTGAGCACCTTGCATTTCTTATATTAATAATAATTTATAGAAGTATAGCTTCTCTTTTTACTGAAATGAGATCACGAATGGAGATGAAAATCAATTGGTCATGAGTTTGATCTATCCAGTAGGATAAACTTATGAAAGATCTGTATGAAAATACACATTGAAGAGCTTATATTTCTTTTAAAATTCTTATAACTTGCAATTGTGAATTTTTCTCATATAAATAAAAAAGTAGTTATACAAGATCACAGATACTGTTGCAATATCTTTTTTAATATAAGGAAATTTTAAACCATTTGATCACTTATTTGAATGTATTATTTCCTGAAATCTTTCACCTTTTTCAAAAATTTTTTTAGCCAACATCAAGTGGACACACAAGTCCATTAGCTAATCTCGTCGATGAATTTTCATTCACAGTATTAGTGTTACCCGGACAAGATCCTGGCCTAGTTCATATTGGTTGGGTCACAAGTTACTTCAAATTAGCTAAAACAAGTAAACCGGATCATATTAGTGGATTTTTACATAATGTATCATCACAATTACAATTCGACACAACACATGGACAATTACATGGTCACTCTAATCAAAATCCTATGCTTGGTGATACTAGTGGCAGCGGTATGCAACCATACGCTGCCGACTTATTCACTGTTCGTCAAGCAGCTGTTTGTCTCTTGGAGTCAGATTTAACATTAAAGGTAGACAGTGTTTACGGATTGTGATATTTCTTATCTTTAATAAGAAAATGTTTGGTCTATAAAACATTAATAACGAATATTTCACTGATAATGTTAAATATAAACTATCCCAGTTGAAAATTGTAGGTTCTTGAATATCAACTCAATAGTATCGTACTCTCATATATCTGAATTGTAGAACGAGTAATAATAATCATAATATATAAGTGAGAAGCAATATTTTCCACATCTACATAAACTTTTTGACTAAAAATCATGAATTCTCTTTTTGAGAATCGAACTTACAACTTAAGTTTTTATTGTGAGTGTACACTGTCTTTTAAAATAAAGACTTCTAGTTAGTTTATAATTTAATACAAATTGAACGTTATTGTTATTATCTCTGCTACATAACTTTTGATATTATTAAGTGTTTACATAAAACATTAAAAATGTCTCATACAGTGAGTTGATCCAAGTTAGCAAAGGAACGTTTTGAACGATAGAAGCGTAAATACATAATTTTATATAGAATTTAAAATAGGTATTCAAATAACTAATGGCTTATAATTGCATGATCCAAAGTTTTATCTGATTCATAACAATAACGATAAGTGTAATATTTTATTTTACATCATAGTCTGCTGTTGCTGAACGTGCATCTTTCATGGTTAACTTGGGGCAATTACTCAATCAGATGGCTACAGCAGAAGACTTAGGTAAACGAATGAGTCAAGGCTTATCGCTAACTTGCTGGGTTGATATAGCCAGTGGAACATTGGGATTTGATTTAAATGGTCGTGATAGTGGGATACGGTTTCAGGTAATTGCTTTTTAGGTTGCTTATGAGATAACAGTTCATCCAGCTTTTGTCAACAAATATTAATTTTCTTCGTTGTAACGGCAGTCACCAATTCAATTTTCCTATTTTGTATTTTCATATAACAATTAATATTTTTTTGAATAGTTGTTGGTATTTTCAGTTTGCTGATTTTTCTATTCATAGAATATATATATTCTCCAGTTTTTCCTTAGTTATTCATTTATTTACTAACGTACTTAGGTGTATGTGTATGTATGTTTCTTCATAGCTATCTGATTGCAAACTTTTTATTTCGAATTGTTCAGGTCGAGCCATCCACACGTTTATTTGCTGCAGTCTTCTATCGACCTACTGTTAAAGAGGCTATCCATTTTGAATTTGGTCGACGAAATCGTTATACTTTACCAATTACGGCGAGTATGCTTCGACCACCAAGATATACATCCACTGTATTGCCACATCGTTTAAGAGTTCAAGCATTGGAGGTATTTTTTAAATGATTAATTACATATGCTTAGATTTTTATAGCAGTTATTAACCTACAGATTATGATCGCAATTACTATATTTAATTTTTGTTAGACATTCGAAAAACAATATAATCAAAATGGGGGGTTTATGAAGATCCTAGAAATTTTAATGGTTATATTCATGAGTCGATTTAAGCTAGACCACCATTGGAAACCTGGAAGCACTGGACGACCATTTATTCGTCGTGGATTGGTTGGAGTTAGACACCGTTGGATGATGGCTCAATGGTCTACAGGTTGAGCGTTCGCGCGCGAGACCGAAGGTCCTAGGTTCGTAATCCCGCGTGTGGGATCGTGGGTGAGAAGTCTCATACTAGGACGAGATGACCGTCCAGTTCTCCCAGGTTTTGAATGGTGGTCTAGCTTAAATTGACTCATGAATTCAACCATTAGAGTAGTATAACTTATTAGCTAGGTATCATTCCATTTTCTAAATCTATCCCTAAGTGATGACATTTATACATATCTTACTGTTAGCTACTAAAACATAACTAGTAATATATTCTAACAGTAAGTTATGTACATAGATGATGAATTTTCATATAGAAATAAACCCATTTGTCTGAATTGTCTAGTTTTCAACCTATCAAAAAAATTTATAAAATTAAATTAGTAAATCCACCACCATCATCATCATTATCAGCTGACCTGTTAACTTTATTAGTGTGCAGAAAATCTCGAAATAAATCAATAGATAAATTGGATATTGTTTTTACAATTTTCAGCTTTGAAATAACTCATGAAACATAAAAAGGGACTTATTCTTCATTCTTAATACATAGATTTAAGCAGTAAAAGAATATAGTTTTGTCTTCAACTCACCAACTTATGGCGAATTGTCATCTGCTTTTGCAACCTCAAGTGGCGTCCGTCAAGGCTGTCCACTTTCTCCATTTTTATTTAACTTCATCATAGACCGATTACCACGACGTGCAATGCTAACCGGTGTTGGAGATGGTTGGAAGAAAGTTAGGGGCGGCCAAACCAAAACGTGGCATCAGTGCTTAAAGTCACTAACTTCTAGTCTGAGCCAGGTTGGTAGATGCAGACTACTTGGTTGGGGTCCGCGTGACTATCGTAACCAATGGTTGTAGACTCTGGGTGACATGGCTCAGAATCGATCACAATGGCGTCGGTGTATACACTCTCTGTCTTCCCTTAAACTAAGAGATTAAAATCACCTCATATCTATCTTTCTACGAACTAATTCTTTCTTGCTGTACTATATCCTTATTGCAATCTTTCTTTTATATATTACCACCTCTGAATTAACTACTTTTATGAATCCGGTGTTCACCTTGTTGTGTTAATGAGTTATGGCAACTTGGACTGATGCATGTATGTGTCTGGTCCTACGTTGTAGCTGACTGACTGACTGACTTTTTCTTGCCTAGCGTGTTCATTGGGCTCGTGTACCACCGAAAGCTATAAAGATGTTCAGTATGAAGATTAGTGAACTACGCGGATGGGGTACCTCTATTGAATATCCAGTCTCCGAAATTGCTGTTCGTTTACCAGAATCCGACAGATGCTTTATAGCTCTTGAATTAGAGGAAATGCCAGAATTATTAAAGTAAGTGAAATAAAAATTTTATTCTGCTTTGAAGTTGAACCTTTTTTGCAAAAGTGTGCATAGACCATTATTAATGACTGGTCACTCTAAATGATAAACATTTTATCACCGTAGAATTGTATTACTTTTTAGCACAAACTACTAAAACACTTTATTTAGAAATAATCAACAAGAAAAGTGAACAGCATGACGACTACAGTGAACTGATAACCTAATTGCTGTGCACTTACAATATAAGCTTGCCCAAAATTTTGGAATCCTCGATTACCTTAATCTTGTAAATATTGTCAAAAAATACCTACTTGATTCCGATAAAAATTTTATCATCCGATTTCGAGGAAACCTTATTCATATGGATGTTATTTATACTGATTCATTTAACAAAGAGTTAGATTATGGTTAGCCGTTGAAACCATGCTATGTTTGAAGTGATTACGAGTTCACCTAATCTGCGAACGGAACAAGACTCTGTGACCAAAGACCAATAAGCTAGCTGTTCTGATGCGTCTCAGACCCGCTAACTAGAGAAAAGTCCATGTTCGAAACGGGGAAATATATTCCGCGAGCAGCCAGGAACACGAGCAACCACGACAAGTTTAGTTAGAAATGAACTCATTCATATATTGGTTTGTACATCCATTTTTGATTAATAATCAGAATAATTCACATATATGAAAAAATACTTCATACAAGAATATCGTGTTATACAGAATAAAATGTCATAGAGGAAAACGAAACAAATACTACACTGAGTAATCATCAAATGCAATTAAACGGAATTGATGTTGAATAGAAATCATAATGAGTAAATTAATCTAATTTTGACTTCATCCCATCATAACAAACCATGTCACACATTTTGCCCTATCCGGGACTCGTCAGTTAGATGTATCTGAATCTCAATATTCTGTTCATTCACAGTGTTATTATGTTGTATTGAATAAAATTCATAAATGGAATTATTGAGAGAGCTGAAATGTTCATTCATTACCTCAAGTGCTCTATGCTAAAGCTTATTCAGGATTTGTGATTAAACATCATTAAACAGATATGTTGACATTATGTTCATTATCTGTGATGATATGGATCACGCTTCTAGGTCACTTACTGACTTCAGCCACTCTCATCAAGACATAAAGTTTACACTGGAAAATGAAAGAGATAACCAATTCAATTCCGTCACCTCAAATCACATCTATGAAGTTATATGTACCTGTGGTAGTAAGCATGTAAGAAGGATAAAGAGAAGAGCCTGTTTATTTGTACATCCCGACATATAAATACACATCGATCTTAAGTATGTTTATTCATGCACTTCCTATTCTTATTCTCCTGATCACTATGATTTTGATTGCGTTTCGAACATTCACCTAAACTTCATAAACTAAAATATGCTTAACATTTGTCATTAATTATAACAATAACTGTAGCTTCGATTGTATGCAGCTGATGAAAAACTGCGAAATAGAATGCATTCATTTTATTCTCCAAAACTTGTTGCCCTTGCTCTGTTTAAATATATCAAGGGATCTGTTTATATGAAAATTTTATTTGTTGAACTTTGCCAATACGTATTTTTAAAACAGTCATCGTTTTTATTTAAAAATCACAACACAGGTATCATTCTCATACACTGGAATTATATCGTGCTTTATGCTGTCACGATAATCACAATGTTGCACATTATTTAACTAATCATGTGGATGAATATCAATTATTGCATGCTATGACAGCCGCAGGTAAGAGATTTAGCTGAATTGCTCAGTATATATGTATGTAAATATTCAGAAAAGTATCTCCTTTGGTTTTTCTTACTGTTTTCATTGTGGAGTTCTTTGAATTTTATTCATGAAATAAATTTTCAACTAGTTATGTATAAAAATTACAATGAATACATTTTTCCAAAAACAGTTAATTTAATAATTATGGTGTTTTATTATTATAAATAGATATGCCTGGACCTCTACGTTCTGGTTTTATTGATTTAATGTTAGTTATGCATATAAGTAGTCATGTAAAATTGAAACAAGTCACAGGAAAGGAATTCATTGTACCAATGTTTAAAACTGAACCGAAACCGAAAAAATATATATTCGATTTTGATGAACGTACAGGAGAATTAGACGGTAAAAAAATAAACGATGACGGCGGTAAAGAAGTTGATGAATATGATTTCGACCGGATACCAGCTGTTGAAGAACATATCAGTATTCGTCCAGAACTGAAAACTGATCCACATTTACTTATGTAAGTTCATCGATTAAAACGTTTTAGTTTATATATATATATATATATATATATATATATATATATATATATATATATATATATATATATATATATATATATATATATATATATATATATATAAATTTTTTTCATTATTTCCTAAAATATACTCTTATGTCATTAAAAAGTCACTTGCTAAGACTAACCAACTGCCTATTGGTACTCAGTTTTCAATGAGCGCTTAAATGAAGTCGGCATCTGATGCAAGCTAGTATAAAGATTAACTTTAATTGTGCACCAACCATGTCATCAGTTTTCTACAAGTTTCAAGTAAATTTAGTGTTAGTATTGAAGGTTTATGGGGATTAAAATCAATTCATACTCACTTTATAACATCATAGTGAGGAACTAAAATTTAAGAAAATACCCACCCCTGGGAAGGGTGATGAACTTGAAAACTAATTATTTGATAAATCTCAGATTTTATTTTGTTCTAAATCCTAATCTTTCCGCTATTGCAAACTTTTTATTTTTCCATCCTATTCATTACTTTATGAATAATTATTTTTATTTTTAGCTTTCTTTAATTTTCGTCTCTCTGCCTTGATTTTATTAACTGTTTCTCTCCTTCTATCTTGCTATATTTGGATGAATTGTTGCAACTTGAAGCGTTACATATTTGCATTGTCCGAAAGTGATTGATTTTAGATTAGCTTCGTATGGCAGTATAACTAGTTCTATACTTAGAACTATGAGTACTTTCGTTAAGCTAATGTTACATCTACACAGTGAGAACAGCAGTTTTGTATTCAAACTATTTAAATTATTCTCGCATTACGCTATGTTCTAGAGATATTGTTCTTAGAAAGTCTCATCTTTCCTTAAAACAATTTTTCCACTGTTAACGAAAATCACATCTTAAAATGATTTATGAGAATGTTTTTGTCTTAGAAATATAAAGGTCACACAATCGGTAATGGCAACCTATTATCTTCACGTCTCGTTTAATCAAGTAGTCGAATTTCATGCTATGTCTCATCACATAAAAAGTATTTTTATAATAACTCCAGTGAGTTTCAAACCTACAGCACTTAGGTTGATCTTACTGGTAAGAGCTTGAGATAAGAAAGTCCTATTTAGAAAAGTCCATTCAAGTAACAGTGATACTTAAGACAGGGAAGGATATTTGTAATGCAGAGATAAATTTAACAGTAATATGAGTGGGAACATGAGAAATATAATTCATCTAACAGCTTTATAAATTAAAAAATATTGAAAATATCGAAAAAGGCCATATGATTGCTCTTAACTCGGTTTTTGTGGTGTTGTATAAAAGTGTAAAATGGCGTATACTAAGGTTTACTGAAGTCTTAGCCATACGAGAATTCAAACCCCCTTTGTGTATTCAGAAACAATTTGTTCTCACCTTAACCTACCCTGATAATATTGGCTTATTAACCAGAGTGATTAGGTTTCAAATTGTGTTCACATTATTATTATTATTATTATCCTTGTCTCCTCTTACCCCATTTCCAGTCTAGTTGCCCTTTTATTTTTTATACATAAATGTTTTTAACAAGTGTATGTGTGATCAGATTGTTCGAAATGTATTGCGCTAATATATCACATAGTTCTGATAATCTTCGTCTTCTTATTTCAATATCGAAATTTAAGAAATATTCATCGAGACTATAGATTCGATAGGTATATACATGTTTTGTTGAACTTTTGTTATGTTATTCAACCCAAACAAACTTCGTTCTAATTGAGATCTCGTTATCGTTAAACCTTCCACCTTCCTTACCCTTGATTTCATTGTCAGTCATAAGTCTTACATTCAACAAGTATTTTGAAATATTTTGTTGAAGTAAAAGTCATGCCATTCCAAGGAAAGATTCATATCACAAATAGGCCGTTATTTTCCACATTAAATAGACTCCAATGTCAAGAGTGGTAAGTGTTTCGTTTTGCAAAATAAAACTAAGCACCATTTGTTCAGTTGTTTGTTGTTATGAGATTGGCGAAACGTTTTTTTAGCTTATTATCTAGTAAACTATGCACCCTGTTATGTTAAGCTTAACAAGTGAATGATACATTTTATATGGTGAGTTAAGTTATTGTACAAAAGATTTCTTTGCATGATGCTTTCTTATTTTGCCTTGATTTACACAAATAGTAAATCTCTAAAAGTGAAATATCGAGAGCTTCATCTGTGTTTTAATTAATTAGTCGGATGATATTAGAATGCTCAGTCAGAAATGTAACAAGTTGAGTGGAGTTTTTAATTAGTAAAGTGTCCAGATGGACAGGAATGTCTTAAATTATCACTGAAGTATGTTTAAAAGATTGGCTTTCTTAGCATGGCTCCATTTATTTTTTGCTTCATACTGTTTATAATATAAGAAAAATCACACAAAAGTATCCTGCAGATTTTGGTATCAGAATAGCTTCGCACGAGCGAATCAGTATCGAGAAAGCGACTTTTCAAGTTTTGCGAGAAATTCAAATATCATGTATGGTGATCAGTGGAAAAAACTTTTTAGGCTATTCAGAACTTTTAAAATGATAACAAATTGCTTCTCGCAACCATGGGATAGAACTTATAGTATTAATCGTAAGAAATGATTGATTATGTCTTTTTAGATGGTATATAGCGAGTAAATCGACACTATCAAGAAATCTGAACCCCAAACTACTAATCCTGAAACAAACTTTAATCTGGTGATACTACATTTTATGGATGAACTAATAAGATAGCGCCTCTTGTATTTTTTAGTGAATTACATTCACTCTTAAGGCTATAAAACTCTTTTGTTGAATAACCGATACCAGTTCACGAACAAAACTCTGACTGTAAATTTCTAACCGAGAACAATGCGAGGACTCTTGAAAGTCTATTCAGGTCCTTATAATGGTTCAAGGAGATGGATAATATATGTCCCAAAATATGAATATACATTTCGTTATTTTTAATTTGAAGACAGAGTAATCTAAAGAAGACTTTATTAGATCTATCAACTATATGAAATCTTTCCTTCAAATTATCCATTCAAAAAAGCTGTTTCCTGATTGGCTAAGAACTGGCTAAAAATTAGTTGTGGTTTTGTTCTCGTCCCTGCAATATTCTCTTACCAAAATTTCTATCATTCACAATTCAACTATTTTTAAGCAGTTTGATATTGGCTAGTAGTGGAATCCAGAGTGTTCATTTTGCCCTATCTAGAACTCGTCAGCTGAATGCACCTTAACCTTAGTGTTATTGTTCGCAGTGAAACTCAAACCCAATCCCTCTCGCTTGAATTAATTTCTTTCAGTTAATTCATTCTAATATGAATTGATTGGAGGAAAGTAACAGCTTGTATCAAATTCTTATATTCATGTCTGCTTACTGTTTTACAACAGTGAAGTGAACAAAAACATTTTTTTACTTGAAATTAAATATGAAGTAACCTGTTTGTCTGACGATATAATTGTCTGATAATTATTCATAGTTGTAATTTATTTACCTGCTAAACTGTTGCTATGCATTTGACTTTACCTCATCATTATTACCATCGTCAGCATCATTATTGTTTTCATTTATACAAATAGGGCGAATTATACGAAGAACTAGGCCAAACGTCTAATATTCACATTCGATGCCCGAAACAATTAAATATTATTTTTTGGAATTATAAAATAAACCTGGATTTCGTAAAATAATTGAGATTCAATGAAAGATTTATATTCTGGGGAAGTTGCAAAGCTGGGTTAATTGAATATCCAATAATTTGATTTCTAGAAATAAACTTTGTACTATGCTACACGTCAAGCACAATCAGTAGATTAAAATAAAGAATTTTAAGAGCTGAATAGTTATAAAACCAAATAAAGTGAGCAATAAAAGGTGTTTTGTTATCAGAAAAACGATAGGGTAGTGATTTCTCCAGGCTTAAGTGTTTGATGGTCGTGTTTTTTGAAATTTCAAGTAGTTTAGGGCTAGACTACCCGTCGAGAACTTAGAAAAATTTATGTATCTATAAGGAAATAGGTAATTGCATTATTTGCATTATTGAGCCTGGAGCTCAGTCATTTTGGAAGATATTCAAGCAAAAACATTTCTCTTTCAATAGTTTCACAAATTTCATTTTACCCTGGTAAATATATTTAAATTCTTTGAGATAAAATTCTTAACTACCAGATTTAAAAAGAATATCTATACATGAACAAGTTAATAATAATTTTTTGACTTAATTTTTTTATCAATCAACATAATCGATCTTTGAGTGCCATGTTGATGTAGGCAACTATTTTATTTCTTATCAGTTAATGTTCATTATGGGTCTGCACAAACTTTGTACTCAAAAGAAGTTTGCGCTATCCTTCTCTCTCTTTCTTAGCCATAGATAAAGGGAACAATTTTAATTGAACTTCCACTGATACTATTCTTAAAAAAGCCATCAAAGTAATTTTGAGAATTCAACCATTTTTGTTTTTTACATATTCCCAATATACATCATAATAAATATAAAATTGACTCTTTATCGAAATATTTTTTATCTTTCTCACTAAGTGTTATGTAATCTAGCAACCGTATGATTGTTTTTAGCTTTTTTAATAATTACTTTGATTATCATAATCCTATTTTCTATGGTTACTCAGGTAACCATGTGATATTGTCTTTTTAATCATTTTGAAATCCAACAATTATTGTGTTGCACCATTACTCGATTAGTATTATTTTATTGTTGTAAATCATATAATGTATGGGAGAGAGAGAGAAACATAGTGAAAACCTAGTTCTATAGAAATTTTGAGTTCTGTTTGTCTCAAGGTCCTGGATCCGATTACCTGTGGCACGATCGTGGACAATTACTTCTGGAGGGTTCCAAACTAGAAGTCCAGTACATTTTGGTTTTCTCTGGAAGTACAGTTAATATCAGTCTGGGATTTACATTATGAAGTTGTTTATTAAATATTTAAATGGGAATTTTCATTATAGATATTCGATTGACAAAGAAAGACCATCTGATTCGTATTATATCTTCATCTTACAATGTGTGTGTATTGATGTGTTTTTCGCTTAAGGAATAAGTATACAATTTACCTAGAACTTCAGTTTCCAAAATCATAAACCTAAAATCTTGTGTTATGAATTTTATCAAGTTAACTTTGCTTATGTGAGATGCTTTTATTTTTTTAACTTATTGTCATCGTAACGACCTTAGATTGGCTGCTGAACGAACAGACATATATGTCAAGTGTATATAGGGACAAAATTTTCACACCAAATTAGCTTTTTTAAACTTTTACCTTAATGTATTTGCATCGAATAAATCTGGGTCATTCACACAATGTGTACGTAATAACTCAATCAGTCAAGGCTAACTTGTAATAATATGATTGCATGGAGCTCTCATATTCAGTCAATCATTTCTTAATTTTGTATGGATTAGTTAAAAACATATTCTGCTTTACTATAACTTACAATTAAAATAATTCTATCCATGTGAAATATGGTCATATTCTGCATTCATGATTATTCAGATCTGTAATATTCTCAAAGTGATTATTTCTGTATTGGAAACAACTATTTTTAAAGTTTAGGTTAGATCAAAACTGCTTCTTCTTTTTATTTTCATTAGTAGATTTCAAGTATAAAAATTTTATTCCTCATAAATTAATCATCAATTGTCACACCATTTTAATGATAGTAAAGAGCAACACCATGTAAAGTTCAAGAAAGTAAATAGTTCTATTGGATTGAATTACAGCATATATTGATAGAAAAGAGGTGGTTAAAAGTTACAACTATCATTAGTATCATTTATTTCCAATCAACTACTATAATATAATCAATGTTTATAATTTAGTAGGCATTACATCTAAACTTCAATGAGTATTTGAATAAATGTATAATTAAATTTGATTGATTCACTTCAGTTATTGTGATTTTATGTTCAATAAAATGTCACAATGCATGTCTTGATTAATTTCACTTATAACAAAATATATATATATATATTTTTTAATTTTTATTTACGTTCATAAGTTTCTATTCCTTTTAATAAACAAAAAAATTTTTTTTGCCCTAATACAATACAATTCAGTCAATTTATATACGTTAATGTTAGAATATTTATGAGAAAAACGAGTTTATCAACATCTACACCAGTGATTATGGACAATTGAATAGTTCATTAGATCATTTCTATTAAAATTTAAATAGTGTGAATATTTTTAAACTTTAGTATTGTCTATTGAACATCGAATCTATCGATTCATTCATAGTGCAGATAGTCTCATCGTAGATTCACACATCATTATCACCATAATTTTAACCCAGAAAAAATATGGTGACGATCTTAAAGCTCGATAGATAATGATTTGATAGTTCAATCGATTGAATTATATCTTCTTAATTAATAATTTACTCTTAAAAATTTAGTATTATGGTTGTTTCATTATAATTATTACATTTGGCTTACGATCTATAGAAGAAATTCAAAAGAAAATCAACTATTTTGAGTTGATTTCTATGTTGAATTCGGTGTAACACAAATCAAGTAGAACATCATATTACATACTAAAACTAATTTATGCAACTCGTGTACCGAGTATTCATCAATATGCTTGATTTGAAGCCATACTATTTATGTGAGTACTATGAATACTAAGTTAAAGCAGATGGAGCAAGTTTTGAATTTCCATCTATTATATTTACAATAAAATTATTTACATGAAGCTGATTATGTATATATATCCACTTTACTCATATTTTGATTAATTGAGAAACAGTTTACATTTTATCGTTTCTCATTTGATTCCACTTTACAGTCCTGGAGCAGATGGAACTGGCAATTTGCCTGTAACGCCACCAGAAAAAACAAAAGAAGATAGTGCATTGTCAACTGCATTGAATATAGCTGGAACGAATGGTTTATTAAAACTATCCGATTGTCCACCATTTCCATTAGTTAAATTGAAATTAGTCTGTTTAGATTGTTTAGTTGATAGTGTATATAAAGGTGGTAGTATACGTGATCCAGCTGGTGGAAGTTATGAACATTTATTGCTGTAAGTAAAAAGTGGTTTTATGACGTATATTCTTAAAAAGTGTACGATTAAGGTTTTCGTCGCATAACAAATATATTATGTTATTGATATGTACTACAACCAGTGGATCATTTTTCTTAGTTGTTTTTTCTTCTGGTTTTTACTATCTCTAACTAATCCTTTCTCAGTTGATCAGCGATACAACCTTGGTTGAGCCCTTTATTTATAAATGACAAAATTAATTTCTTCATATACCTATTTAAACATTTGATTAGTGGTTGTTTGTACCAACATTAAAAATCTAATCTAGTACACTAATTGCTATTAATCCTGCAATACATTCAAAGTGTAGATTTGTATGGTACTTTTAAAAATAAAAACCGCCTACAAAATTCTGTTTGTCACTTTCTCATAGCAGATCTAATGAATTATTTTATATAATTACCAGCCAGCAATAATAGCTTCTTTTAACCCATCACTTCAAAGCTTATTTACTAAAGTATCAGATCTACATAATTATCAGATGTGAAAAAACCGCAAATATGGCTTCCTTTTTTTCCAATATTAATAAAGAATGAATACAACCTCATGAATGTTAATACAACAGTCAACCTGTTATTTGTCACCTAGATTATGTACTTTGAAATGTTTATTTCCATATTAGATTGAATTCAAACAAAAATTATATAGAGCATCTAATCTAGACTTTACTTTTATAATTTAAATAATGAAATGGTCGAAGCTAGGTCATCATTAAAGACCTGAAAGCACTGGACAGCGGTTTTATCCTAGCATGGGACTCCTCGGTAGTGGGTATCCACGACCTTGCATCTCAGAATCGAACTAGATTTGCTGATTGTAGACTGATTGAATAAATCTTTTGAAAATAGAATGAAGAAATCGATTTGAGGAAAAACTTTTTATAATTGAAAATTTCTTTTCTGTGATTAAAGTAATTGCATGCTTTCTACACAATTTAAGCACACTCATTATGAAGTCAATTATTGAGCTACTGTTTATCAAATGAAATTTCATTATTGCATCACTCGATCATTATTATTACCATTATTGTTATTATTAATGGTTTTATTCAACATTATATGTTTAGTACAATATGGAGTTCTAAGCACTAAGTATTTCAATAAGTTTTTTAAAAAATAAAAAACAACTGACTGCAGACAAATATACATAAATTAAGTTAATAAATCTTTAAGAATTAAGTGGTGCTTGGTATTTAATTTGTCATAATGTGAAATTCACTGTACGTTTTTATATTGTATTTTATATAGAGTTGAACATATGAATTTCACTCATCACAAAATGAACTGATATATTATCATGAATTGAGTCAAAACTGACATCTAACTTGATGGAAAATCTCTTTGTCCTCCTCTTTCAGTAATAAACGCCTGAATATTATATACCCAAATATTCGTAATGATATATGTGTAGTGTTTAATGAGGAATCTCACTCTACGAAACCAGATAAATAGGAGGAGAAGTGAATGTTTACCTAAGATTTTGAATGACAGTTAAAAAATGACTGAAGTTAGCAAATGTTTAAAATTAGTGCGAAATAAATTGTCCTCATAGTGACTTTCTGTATCTGAAGATTATTTACCATACTTGTACGAACTTAGATATTTTTTTCTGATTATACTATGAACTTCAATCGAGTTTTTCTCCTTTTTACAACCTTTCTTTTTCACTTCGTAATCGTTTTAATTGTGGAGATGTAAGTCAATCAGAACTTACAAAAATAGTTTCAGTGTGACAACTAAGATCTTATATAGGTGTAAGTGAACTATTGAAGTCAGTAGCAGTAAATTCAGTGAGTTAATCAACGAAAACAGATCGTGTATATATGTAGTCCAAAGTCACGTAGATTTTGATAACAAATAATCCTATTTGTCCAAGTGTTCTGGACGGCGTTTTAAAGTTAAACAGTTGATAAAGCCGTTTGAAAACTTAAAACATGTAGAATTAGATCGACACTACTTCATGCTTACAAATGTAACTATACTGCCACCACACATCTTCATTTTGCTTGATCGATTCGAGTGATAAATACTGAAACCTTGTAATGATATTAAACAATAGTCTTGTAAATCATTAAACCAGGATTCTTGAATTATGATTAGACCACAATTACGATACATGTTTAGATTTAATAGGACTTGAAGATAGATCACCTTCCCTTCTAGTGATTGGCGGTTAGAATTTAGAAGTTGACATCCGATTAATGTTCACTCTTTACAATGCCTATTGCCAGTCACCACGAAATCTCCGATTGTACCCTTTTGTACTTTGTAAAATGATAAGTTCTAAACTTTTTATGTACGCTCCTGAATAGGTTACGCGATTAATGGACAGATTCATGTGTTAAAACAAACAAAAAAGATAACTTGTTGAAATATCCAGATGGTAGGAAAAGGTAGCCCGGATATTCAAGCAGGGGGCCTAAGTACTGTTTATTACTTTTTGATCAGTTAAACATGTTAGGCAAACACAATCGGTCTTGTTGTATCAATGAGGAGAACGAAATTAATGTATTCTAATCATGAACTATAGTCCTTTGACAAAATATCATTTTTAAATACTTAGATTAATACAAAATCATGCTCAAAGAACAGAACAGAAAACACAGAAGTCAATCATAATTTGATAATCATACAGTGTTTATGCATACTTTGTGGGTTCAGAGGTCCCTTGTTCGGAGTATAAGTGATAAGTGTTTTCCAACATAATCAGCGACGATGGGATACAAAAAGTAGCATTAAAAGAGCCAAGACAATAAGCATTCAAACGACAACTTATAACAGTAGGGACTTCGTTGTGGTAAGTCTTGATCTAAAACAGCCTTAATGAATTAAAAATAGTATCTTACGTGTCAGATAGAAATATGCTGATGACAATAAGGTTAATCCATGGATTTAAATTCTTACAAAGACTAACCAGTATTATAGTCTGGAAATTTTTCTAGTTGATTAATTCTAAACTGATAATGCTATTTTCTTGAAAAAATTCTTTTATGTGTTTTAGACCGTTAGTAAAAACAATCAACTGTTTACTTGTTATGGGTGTGCTCGATCAAAAAGATATTCACACTCTATTGGCTATCTTGGATCCTAAATCATTTAAAGCATCATTGCCATTAAGAGGTTTGTATACATGTAATTTATTTCTGTTTTTTTCTTAGAGTTGTTGATAAGTTATGGGTTAATCGCCAACATGTGAAATAGTCACTGTATAACTGAAATATGATCAATGTAGAAGCCTATTATCATTTTGTTATTCATTTAGCAATATTATTGTAAGTGATGAGACCATAAAGTCATATCACCCAAATTGAGAAGCAACTGTTCATAGTTGTATGAAAAATAAATCAATTTCATTCAGTCAGTTTAAGAACTGTATGAACTTATAAAAATGGCTATTCATATGACAGTAATTAATGTCTATATTTTATAGTATTATGGTTAATATATAATCCAGTCATAGTGAGATATGTATTGAATGAAATTCAAACAACTTATATAATTTTTTATTCATCCTATTGTTTAATTAATTTTTCCAATATTGTATTTACTATAAATTATATTTTGCTATCTAGCTATCAAATACTTATTAAATGTCACAGCATTCAGTGGCTGATTCTTGTAAAATATAAATAGTTATATACATGAATATATATTCTTATTGACTTTTCTGTCTTGTATTGTATATTTATTTAGGAGTAACGCCTATAATTATGAAGTTGAGCTACTTGTGTTTCAATCCTTAAAGGACTAGTTTGCAGGTGTAACTTATTGCTAAATTATAAGGATACGTGCTAATCGACTCTAAAGATTACATCAACAAACATGTATTGTAGTGATATGATCATATTTCATTTCCTGATTAATAAAATTCATTCAGCGCTTATCATTTAAATTTTGTGTCTGACAGTATCTTACAGTTGAATGTTGTATACATTTTATAAGGACCACAATCCTCATTCTTTTTCCTAATCACAGTGATAATGAAACTTCAATATTACAAAGTGGTTCGAGATTTCAAATATTTTATTTATTTTCTTAGTATTATAGACTCACTCTTTATATTACTACGGTTATCATTGTCATGTTAATTGTTTGTTGATATCTTAAGGTGATTCGACGTATGAAAGCCTACTCGAGTTTCACTTGCCAGAAAGTGTCAAACTAGAAATATGCCGTCTGTTACATAATTTATGTGATTTACAATTACGTAACCGAGTAGAACAAGTTGTAAAATTTGCTAGTAAATTTGTACAAGCTTTACAAGAAGTAAGTCAATTAGTATGTTAATTTTAAATAATTTCAAATTGTACTGTAAAAATAATCGCAAAAGAGACACCGGCTTAAAGACGTGATCAGATTGATACCAAAGACATGAAAGTAAGACAAAGTTCGTAAGTTTCTTTGTCACAGGAATTACAACAATACAAACCAGTAGTTAGGAAACATTTTTCTGAGTACCTATATCTGGGTTATCATTTTTTGAGGTAAATAAGATAATAAAGAGCGGTTTCACTGCTATCAAAGAGTAATTATAATAATCTACAATTAGCTAGAAGAAAATGAAAACAGTGACCATGAAACAGCCACAGCAAAAGTACGGTATTAATTCTGTTGTCATATATTTGCTGGATTTTTTATGACCTACTGATTTTGATAAATTTTATGTAGACTAATCAGATTGATCAGAGTTAGTGTCAGATCAAATTATCAACAAGGAGTTAGATGCTACTTCATAATATTTGATGATAATTAAAGTATCTGAGATAAAAGCATTAGTATATAAGTGTCATAATGGACTGAAAATACATTGTTTAGCAGATAAAATTGTGATGCAAGTATTGCTCTAATAACTCTAGTATTTCATGCATAACTTATCCTGATAATTCTTGTTTAGGATCAAAATTTTAGGTATATGGCTATCAAGAAATCCAATCTACCATCATCTGTAGCAGCTAGAAGAACAAGGGAATTTAGATGCCCTGCCTCAGTACAAATGAAAAGTCTTCTGCAAATCCATGGTCCGGGTGGACCAACAGGTCGTTCACAAGAGACACAAATTGAACCATCAACTAATGAGACAGTTTCTGGAAATGAAGAAGAAGATGATGAATTAGAGGATGTTGAAACTAATCCCTGCTCGGAAGAAGTTAAGGTACTAAGATTTTTAAATTTCGGTTATACTGATTTTTTTAATTTTAAAGATGTTTAATCATGTTTTTCTTTGACTAATAGAGGAAAAATAGATTTATCACTGGTTCATATGACAAACTACATGAAAATTAAAACTGTCGTAAGTTGAATTTGATGTCGAAAGAATATTGAGAACAAAGAACTCAGTTTATTTATTGGGTGTCACCAGAACTTTGTATCGGTTAGAAATGTGAAATATTAATTTGGTATGAATACCTTTTTTGAGAGATAAGTATTCTCAATCAGAAGTTTCTGAAATGGTAACCCTAATCTTTCTGTGTTAATTTATATCAAAGAAATGATATAATTCATTTGTATACCAAGTAAATCATTTAGGAATATACATTACAATAAGATAATTGGTGGAATCAAAAATTCCAGGTAAACGAATGATTTCCAGGTAAACCAAATGGAATTCAAAAAATACTTAATTTGTTAAAAATTTGTAATCTTTATAAATAAAACGTTTTATGTGTACTAATTCATTACCCTCAAGAAAACAACCTCTTAATGTTATTTCAGCTTTTGTTTTGTTTTATTAAAAGCAACAAGATTTTAGATTTGCAATTATTTCCTGTATAAAATTTTATTTTTTCAAGTAGAAGAGTACATTGAAGCATGTGAAGATCATTGGTTTGATGACAAATTGTAGAATAATTAGAAATTAATTGAGGTTGGAAATAATTAATTATTAATAATAAATTATTTTAGTTGTAAACTTTCGGATACATTATCGTTTTACCCAGTACATAGATGATAACCAATTATTTGATAGCTTATAGTTTCAGGGGTTATAAGTACACTTTACGGAAGAATACCGAATTAGGACCAAATAAGTATCTAATCCTTCCATAATATGCAACCACAAACTGCACAAATCCTCTTTTTTAATGATCTTACATTGTTTTTATTTTTGCTAGGAAATGCTTCGAAGTTTTCACAAACTACTCTGTAATAAGTTAGGTGTAATGTTACCAGAAAATAATGAAAGCAACTCAGAAAATAAATCAGACTCTGATAAGTCTGCGGACAGTGGGTTCGACGAATCACATTTACATTCACCATTACTAACACATCCATCAGATACCCTTAGTTTAGCATCATTTGGTCCATCTTATCCATCTGATGAATTACAAACAGCTTTAGCTCACCTTCCATTGGTCCCGCCTGATATGGGTCATCCAGAAGAAGGTTCAGGTACACCACCATGGATTTTAAAATTATTATGGAATATAATTATTCGTAATCCATTGACAAATGATTCAACCATTGAAGTGAATGAGAATAATGAGCAGACATCTGTTACTCAGTTTTATCATTCAGGAAAACGTAAGTCTATACATCAAACATGTTATGATAACTACAAATGCGTTGATTAGTAGTAATAGTTGTTATTTAAATCTTCGTTCTTTTCTGACTTTATAAACAAACCTTTCGACAGTAACCAATTTGAGTACTGTACAAGTCAATTAACTTCTTAGTTGATAATGTTTGACTGATAAATTCAAAGTCGTAAATTGACCGACAGTAAGTTATTTCAATGGATTTCACTCATATTTCATACGACACTAGCGAATAGAAGGTTAATAAATAACTGGAGCGAATATTTTTGAAATTAATGATTTATTGTATTTTTTAACTGTTATGTTAAAAATGCTTTTCAGAGCAGAAGAAAATAATACACAACAGAAAAATTTGAAATCCAACTATAAATCTGAATATTGTTAGTATGTCAACTAAATTCTATCAGATGACTAAATACTAATTTGCTTTCAACTGTTACTGTGCTGTCATCTATGGAATCCGTAAAACGCAACTGACAATAAACCATCTTGACCTCTGATAAGAACAGGCAGGGGTGGTAGATGGACTATCCATATTTGTATAAGGAAAATAGTTGATAAACAGGTCATCATTTTTTACGAAGATTTATGAAAGATTTTAACAAATAGACTAACAATCATTAAGTGTAAAGTGTGTATAGGACATTAAAAAGCAAAAATATATTTGTAAAGATTTCTGCGAACGAGATGAGAAGAATGACTCTATTACTTCAATCATTACGTTGAGGCAATCACATATAGGCTGAATAATAAGTGAGACAATGACCATGATAACTGAGTTTTAAGTTAATTTAGGAGAGACTGACAAGTTTACCCTTACTATTTTTCAATCGTCTCATCTATTTATTGTATATAATATTCGGAAATAAACCGTTCACAAAAATGGATCTGTTTTTGTAGACTCAATCAAAGTTCATATTGATATGAAGAATAATGTTAACAGTTCAATATATATATTTATATTTAGGTTCACTGGATGGACTTATCGTTTATACGATAGTTAAATGGGCTAAAGAAGGTTTTATTGAAAGTTTGGAACTGATCCGAGAAATGTTTTCTGCACTTCATCGTCAATACAATGCAACTGAAGAAGTAAGGTTATTTGGAAAATTTTGTTCTCAAGTATTTTTTAAAAAGTAGTTTTATATTCCACCTAAGAGATTTTATAGAAACTAAGCTCATTCGTAAATGAACGGATTTCCGTAGCGATATTATTGAATATTAGGAAGTACTCTTAAACTGTATCATCTTATCATCGGTGTTGAGGATTTCCAGGAGATTCTTCACCGATGGTATTCAATGGACAAGAACTGATTTAAGTAGAAAAGTGAGTTATCGGATTCTAAGTAAATGGTCCAAGTGTCAAGGTTTGGTCGTGAGACCTATATACATTATTATGTTTTAAATGGTTATAGACACAGTTGTAAGGTTTTAATGTACAACACCATTGAGAACCAAGTTTTCTTCTCTGAACTCCTTGATCACAAAGTAAAAACGCTGTTTATTATTATTTATTGGGATACTATAGAAGTATTAACAACTCGGCAAAATCAGTGGTCATTGTAATGATTTGAGTGTAGCTTGATTTCTGGACTATATTTATTTATTTAGTGACTAAAGATGAAGTGTAACCAGTACATTTTTGACAATGCATTGTATGTAAATATAACAATGCTTTAACGAAATGGTTATATCAGATTTTTTTCTTTATTATTAACATTAATATTATCTATGTTAACATGATTGGTATCTAATGGATCATAGCAACGAAAATATAAAAAGAAACACGTAATATTTTAAATTTTAGGGTAACTAAATTTTATATAAAACAGTTTTAATAATTTTATTCCGTTATTGTTCTTTTCTCGCCTTTAAAATTCATTAAAACGTGTTATGTAAAATTAGCTAAAAAATGCACTAGAAAAAACTTATGTCATCAGTGGTTCATCGCAAGATGAAGTATCTCGTCTACTACGTTCACTTGGACGAGTAAGAAGTTTACTTGGTGTTCAATTAGGAACAAATGAAGAAATTCTATTAAAGAATTGTTTATGGTAAATTAGATTTTTTCTTTAATTTATTATATTTTTATTTATCCCGTATTAAGATGTTATATATCTATATAACATCAAACCAGTATTTTTTTCCCGATAAATCCCTCTAGGCTCCTACAGTTATGAGCTTACATTTATGATCAGAATGAATAGGTATGTTTAAAGTACTGTCTGTCAGCGAAGTAAATTTATTTTCATTCTCAAGCGTTAGATAAATAATTTGCACAAAGTGTACATATGTATCTACTGATAGGTCAAATGAATGTATAAAAATGAGAATAATAATGAGTACTTGCCAGGAAACTGCTTTAGTGACTCCAGTTTCTGAGTTGTAGGAAAGATCATGATCCGTTTTTCACCCTTTATATTATTATAGACGAGGAAATTCTTACCTTCCATAGTTGTCTTGAATTTAAACTGTGGATTCTGTGTATTATATGAATTAAAAATTGATGGGGACATCTGACCGTCATGTCATTTGATCCTAATTGTCTGCTTCATCTAAAACAGTAGTTACTAGCTTCAATATTATGTACCGGTCTTATTGACGACTACTCCTGACTATCCCTTTCGTGTGACATCACCACCACCTCACTGTACTGTATTCCGTTCATCAAAAAGTCTTGTCGTTAACTATCTTCCCTTTTCTAAAAGTGTAATCATTTACTATCAAAAACTTAGCATCTATGTTACTTATCATGTATTCTCATTCCGTTAAGATATGGCATAGAAGAATGTGGGCTGGAATCTAGTTCACTGCCTTTATTCATGTTTTATATCGTTTTAAATTCTAATAAAACAATGTATTTTAAGCGTCTAGATGCCAATTTATGTTATGCGAAGTCATGTTCTCTCATCAATCCATTAATTGTAACGTAATTTCATGGTTTTTTATTTTCTAACACTTACAACTGTCAGAAGGGTTTCTGTGGACATTATAGTAATATTATTGGTTGAGATCATGAGTCAACCACCGTGGAAAGCCTGAAAGCACTGAACGGTCGTTTCGTCCTGTTATGGTACTCCTCAGCAGTGCGCATCCACGATACCATCCCTCGCGAGATTCGAACTCTGGACCTATCAGTCTCGCGCGAGAGTACTTAACCACTAGACCACTGAGCCGGAATCCAACTGTGTTAATTCATCTTCATATCCGCCATTGTCTTCATTGAGCTTCTATCTGACAACAGACCCGGTTGAACTCCACTGAGGAGTCCCACAATAGGACGGAACGGCCGTCCAGTGCTTCCAGGTTTTCCTCAGTGGTCTAGCTTTAATTGACTCATGATTTCTACCATTGAACTTACAACTGTGCTGACTACTCAACTAAGTCATTTTGAGACGAAGTGCTAGTTATTTTTATTTATTCCATTTAAATACTTACCACCATAGATGGAAATTATTTATCCAATGCTTTCGTTTAATTTATTATATTCAGTCAGTAAATATATTAGTGGCATATTTGTAGTATTTTAATAAGTCATGTTTGATTCTCACTACTACTGATGCAAACCCTTTCGAAGCTTGCTCATCTGTCCGTTGCCCTTACTAATACTCTTCGTTTTGCACGCTCTTACGAGAGTAAACCATTGAAAATATATCATGTGATATTTTACTTCCCACCTGATGCTCAGATGATTTGAAATCACCAAGTCAAGCCTTTATATTGGTGCCTATTAACAATAAAGCTAACTTGACATGACAGCTGGAATAAGTTTTGTTTTCTGATAAATCTAATAACACACACGATTATTTAATTAGATAAATAATAGTTACTGCCGTATATAAATATTTCATCGATTTCACATCATTAAAAGTTGCTTCCGTTTTCTTCATCTTTTTTGTTACCATCAATATCTCAACGTCTATAAACAGGGACTTAATGAATAATAAAGTATTCTTTCAACATCCTGATTTAACACGTTGTTTAGCTGTACATGAGACAGTTATGCAATTAATGGTACAAACATTAACTAAAGCAACATTTGAACAACCAGGTGGAAATGCCATTTCCAAAGATGCAATACACTCATCCAATCAGGCGGTAACAACTGACATTACAGTGACTAGTGTCACTGGTTCTTCATTACCTGTTCTACATGAGGAAGGTTAGTTAATCTTGTAATAATAACGATAATGACAAAACTAATTCTTTATTCTATACTTAATAATTTTTGCTCGTCATTTTTTGAGCTAATCTGTCTACTACTTTAGTATTTTCAATGAATCAACCCTTGAATCCACTTAATGACGTAAACTATGTACGCAATCAATTAAGCTGTCAACTGTGTAACTTTACTATTAATTTACTTAATGTAATAGAATGTTATTTACTCTTAAATACATAATTATTTAACCATTATTACTTAAATAATAATTTCATCTTGGAAAGAAAACAACAAATATCTAAAATGAATTGTTTATTAAATGGCTATTTAACCCAAGTATATTTTTTGAACCTTTGAAATTCAAGCAATTGATGGTAATTTCTTTTCATGTAAACTAATGAAGATGTTTATGTTAATTATGTGTAATTAGTCAAATAATGAAGAGTAGTTTGCTGATTCCAAGTCAATCTACAAACTCCACTGGTTATGAATTCTTAATGGAACTGCGGAAAATTTCCTCTCAAGATTAGTAGTTAATGAAAATGTGATATTTATCAGCATGGAGTTATGTAGATATTTTTAATTATTAGTGAATTATTTAATTTTATGTCTAAAATATTTTAGCCTTGTATCTTTTACTATTTATAAATTGTACTACATTGTGATCTAGTATTTCACGTGCATGTAAATATGTGTAATGTAATTAAAAATGATAAAAGTACTTATAACTTATTATTTTGTTGTTTTAACTGAAGGTTTAAGAAAATTAGAAATTTATTTGCCGTCCTGATTATTGTGACAATATAATGTAGTTGAGAAATTATTGTGCGTGAAGTAGTGAACATAACTTAAATTTCCCATTGAATAATTTCATCTTCACCCGTTTTATTTTATGACTCTTATTCAGGTTTAAATTCAACTACAGGTCATGGAAGTCATCACCAACAACAACAGCAATCGCAACAACAACGTGGTTCAACTGGACCAACTGAAATGGTTGTTCAATGTTGTCGTTTTCTATGCTATTTTTGTCGTACATCAAGAGATAATCAAAAAGCTATGTTTGAACATCTTAGTTATATGCTAGAAAATTCATCTATGCTACTAGGTAAACAATACAATTTGTTAGTTGCATTAAATTATGCTTTATTAATAAGTCGAATCATGATCTCAGTCAAAAACTTAATAATCTCCACAACCCCATACTGACAATATTTACTGTCTATACTCTGTATGTAAGTAAATTTAGATGAAATATATTGCGAGAATATGATGATTTCCTTTCAAATAGTAGGTAATTCTCAACACTAAGTGAACAAGTTTCGTCCATTAGTTAACGGAACTGATACTTTATGCACAATAAATAAGTGAAAATGTATGATATTTTTGTCGGTAAACGTTTTGGTAAATTGACTTATTGTTCTCTAGTTACTTTATCTTGTTTGATAATATTAAGTAATTACAAATATTATAAAATCAGTTTTCCAGTTGATAAGAATAAATTGGTTTCATAAATTTTTAATAGATGATTGAAAACGGTTGATAAATGCTAATTTGGCCAACTGAATTAAAGTGACACTAACAAACTAAACAATATGGTCATCGAATTCAACGAAGCATTTTTACCGAGTGATCGAGTTGGTTTTGAAGCTTATATAGAAACCAGAGATCTGTCTACAAAAACCATTCTTATTATTAAAGACTATAAACTACAAGGGTTACAAACCTTAAGTCGTGAAATATCTAAGTCGTTTTTGGTCTTCCAAGGTATGATCAATGAGGAGGTGTGTCCTTTAATAATTATATAAGTGATACACAAAATATCTAATAAAACCAAGTGGTTGTGTTAAAATATATAGTGGTAGCCAAATATTGAAACGAAAACTATCCAACGCAACATTGGACATTGATCCGAATAAAAAATGTCCAATCAACACAGATGAAATGATGACAAGCTATCGGCAACAATGAGAAAATACCACTACTATTATCAACTGTATCGAATATCTGGAAAGAATGTAAATTCTTAGAAATATCACATATTAAAAAAAGTTGCATATTAAAAGATTATTGATAATAACGTGAACTCTTGATATCATATATGCACAACATGTTTTAAAATAAAGGTAATGGAATTAAACGTTGAGAACTGAATTAACAATCACATTAATTACCATTAGCACAACTAATCAGTGTATAGTAGAATGGATGAGTATATTTTCATGACTTATGGTTTTCAGTACGTGTGTAAACATACTTTTATCTCACTGTTTGCATACGTCATTCTTTCTTTCTTAATATTGCAGTCATGAGGTCAACATTAAGAGTTAATTCATAACGCCAGTTATTAAAGCCTTATTATGTTGTATCCTCGATGGTCTGGTCTTCGATTTTGTTGGGAGCTTTGAAGTGTTCTGGATAATTTCATAAATTTCATCTTTTGTATAGTAAAAATTGCAGGAATGACCATACCTACTAAATCATTAGTTCTGACTTGACCCAGCCTAGTTTAGTCAACTTTCTTAAATGTTAATACATTGTTGTAATAACTCATTTAGTCGTTTTTTAAATAATCACCCAGTGAGTGTGAAGGTACCACATAAGGATTAATGTTTGTTACGTTATAATGGAGAATTGGAAATATTTAGAATTAACAAAGCTCTTGAGTTAAGATTTACAATAGTCTTTAACAGATTATTTCTGTCATTAGCACTGACACCGTCGGTTTGGCTTAGAACTTAGTACACAACCCTACTTCCATTTACTTAATCATGTAATAGAATTAGATTTTACAATTTATGTTAACTCTGTGTTGGATGTACTTTTTACTAGTCAATCAACGGGGTTGTACCTTTTATAAAATGTACTCAAGCGTAAAACAAACATCCATTTCCTCATTTTTGTGAACTATTTCAAACTGTGAAGCGTAGGTTTCTCATACTATGATATCTAGTTTTCATTCTAAGTGATAATCTTATTACCGCTTTCGTGATATGATAGACTTCATTTATTTATTACAATTCTAATTTACGTGAAACACTTGGGTGAGTATTCTGATAGTACAAACTTCGTAAAACATTAATCTTCTGTGTACAACGTATTGATATTATGATTAATTTCTATAAATATTTTTTCTGTGATATTAAAAATTTATCTTATCAGATCATTTTAAATAAAATTTTAAAGTAACAGGTAATGTGATATTTATTAATTCACAGCTCGTCCAAGTCTTCGTGGTACATGCCCATTGGATGTAGCCTATTCTTCTTTGATGGATAATAATGAACTGGCTTTGGCTCTACGGGAAAAACAACTGGAAAAGGTAAGAGACGAGTACGCTTGATTAAAGATGACTAGGGAGTAGACTGTAGATGGATTGCTTCTAGCAGTAGAATCCAGGACACATGTATCGTCCAATTCAGGACTGATTATCTGTGAATAACAGCACAGGGATAAAAATCCTAATTCGGATGAATGCAAAATTCATAAATAAATTGTATTAATGAGACATTCACTCGGAATACACATATGCTAACTGGGATAGATCAATTGCAGTCCTCAGTGTCAAAAATAGAGATACAGAAAAACTTACAAGTATCCTATGGTTTTTATGAGAATTAAGTTTTATTTTCATAATGTTCTTAATCCTTTAATTTGGAAACATTAATCAAACAATTTAGTCAAGATTCATTACCCTTTACTAAACGTCCACTCACTAAATAAGTCCTTTGAATATATATCAACAAAATGACAAACGTGACAACAGTGTAGTAAAAGTTTAGATAATTAATTAAACGTAGAACTTACGGATATGATGATATTTAAATTAAGTCCATCATTATTTCTTCTAATTCTGCCAGAGGAAAGTAGTCATTTTCATTAAAATTCATAAATGGATACAAATTGTTATCTGTTTATTTTTAAAGTTTGTCAAGTTCGCACTGTTTTAGGAATTCAAAAGCAGATTTACCCTCTTATGAAAACTTATATTCCGTTTAGCTAATTTTTTGCTACTAAATTATATATTCTAGGTTGCTATCTATTTATCACGATGTGGCGTTCAGTCAAATGCTGAGTTATTAGCTAAAGGTTACCCAGATATTGGATGGGATCCAGTGGAAGGAGAACGTTTCCTTGATTTCTTACGTTTCACTGTTTGGGTTAATGGTAAAAATATTTTGTTCATTTACTTTCAGTTATTTATAAATTCTTTAATTATTTAAATTGCTTGAGGCGAAACTAGTTGTCAGATAGATTTTGTATTTCAGAAGTGATGATGTTTCACTGTTAACAAAAACGTGCACCACTTCACCTACTTTGAGTGATCAACCTGCTTAGTCAAATTCTCATAATAAGTTTATAAATTGATCCTACTATTTCTGAACTGTTTGTTTGAGACTATGTTTCATGTGTTATGAACGTATTGTATTAGTTATTATTTGTATGGTCAAATTTAATTGTATGCATACTTTTTAATAATTAAAATATACGTTAAGATTTGAAATAGTCACTGAAATATTAGTCATTGTACGTTGATTTTTTAATACTGTAAAGATTTTTTAAAATAGTTTTGATTCCATATGATAATCCCAAGTTTAATGCAGCTCATAATAACCGTACATCATATTATACAACTTTAATTTTAGGTGAAACAGTTGAAGAAAATGCTAACTTAGTTGTTCGTCTATTGATTCGCCGACCAGAATGCTTAGGTCCGGCATTGCGCGGTGGATCGAAAGTTATGAAACATTCTACTGGAAATACGGGAACAGACGGTTTAGAAGTGCCACCAGGTGGTCCAGATGGATTGCATGCTGCAAGCGAATCAACTGGACAGCTAATTAGCGACACAGATTATCAGCCTAATTTAGCTGGTGGTGGTCTTCTAAAGGCAATGAAAGAAGGTCTAGTAATGTCAGCTCAAATTAAACTAGTGAAAATGGCTCAAGAAGCTGAAGCAGCAGGCTTGAATCCAGAAGAAGAAGATTTAGGGTGGCGAACTGTCTTGATGGACTACGAAGACGCTAATTTATTTACACCACTACCATACAACTTTGAATCACTACCGGTGAGTAAAAGTTTCACAATAATTTTTCACGTATCGGATTTAATTGATGAATATCCTATACATATTATCTATAAATGCGTGTAAATTAATATAATGAGAGTTGATAACCACATCGTAAGTACCCCGACTCATCGATGTTTCACACTTTCTTAGAAATCTGACCCTAAAGTTAAAAATTATTATCTTACTGAAGCACTCATTATTGATTGATGAATCATGACGATAATGAAGGCTCAAATCTTGATTTCATAATTTCTATAAGGAAATCTTTCAAATAACGAAATAAACCTGCTAAGTTGATAATCTTTGTGAAACTAAAGCATTCATAAAGGTGTTTTTTTATTTATAAATAGACTTGGAAAAGGATATGTTATTAGTCTATTACACTTTGAAAGATAAAGCAGTTGTTTTATGAACTGCTTATCTCATCTGGCGTAATACTCACCAATCCATTGTAATAGCGATTTTCTGAAAATGCGTCGAAGTAAATCATACGTTTGTCAGTCAGTCATCTACAATGTAGAACCAGGCATATATATGCATCGGTCTAAGTTGCCATACCTCATTAATACAACCAGATGAACATCAAATTCATAGAAGCAGTTACTTTAGTGGTAGTAAAAATGATTTCATGTAAGGAGAAGGAATTAGTTCGTAGAAATAATGGTATGAAAATTTTTAATCACACGCTTTAAGGGAAGACAAAGAGTGTATACATCTTCGCCATTGTGATCGATTCTGAGCCATGTTACCCAGAGTCTCCAACCACTGGTTACGATAGTCACGCTGACCCCCCAATCAAGTTGTCTGCATCTAACAGCATGGCTGAGACCAAAGGTTGGTGGTTTTATGGACCGATGCAACGTTTTAGTTTGGCCAGTACGTTTGTAGGTGTAGATCTGCACAAATAACTCGGATATGTCTACCTAGTGCTACTGATTACTGGGTTTTCTTTAATCGCTCACTCATATCGATCAGTAATTTTTTATGTGCGGCTAGTATTTCCATACGACAGAATGAATACGATAACAAGAATATTCTTTAGAAAAATATTCATCTGAAAACTAAATTATTCTTTCGATGTTTATGTTTAGCATGGTTTTTTTTCTCCACTGTCCCAATATTCAGCCTGAAGATGATCCCGATTACATCGATCTGGGTGCTGCAATATTGACGTTTCATTCAATTTTGGTAAATTTATTGGGATATTGTGCACCAGATATGGAAACTGTTAAAAGTGAATCAATACGTGCCAGGTCAATTTTACAATCACTTGTTAGTATGGCTGATTTAGAAGGAGTTTTATCATTGAGATTTATATTACCTCCGCCAAAATTAGAAGTCCAGGTAAGTGTGTTCACTATTTTGTTTGCTATAATATATAGCTGCATCTTATATTATTAGCTAATTACACGCGCCTTCCAACACATATGATCAGAGATGTTAAGAGAATATTTATCTTCCATTCTAGTCTTATACAAATAGAGATATACCCACATTTAAAGAAATCCATAATGTTGCGAGATTACATACTATACAAAATAGGTGAACGGATAGCAACATACGTATCAAGTTCACTTATATATGACATGACTCATTCATTTTTTGGCGAAATTTGATAATATCCGTTTACTTAATTACTATGTAGATTGTTCTGTTTATCAAAATAACCTCATTTGACATTACTATATCAGTTGTTTCAATTAAATCCAAAGGAATCTAGTACACTATAAGTTAGACACAACATATAACCCCACCCTATTCGTTAGTCATACCTGATTTTTTTTTAAGAGTCTGTCGAACCTCAAGGTCATAATTTCTCACTTGAGCATCAAGAAACCAGTCTCCAAGCTAGCCACTAATAAGAGTGTGGTTAATATAAAGCAAGGATTATTTTTTATCCTGCTACGGAATTCGCATTCAGTAATCAGAAGATAACACGTTTACTGTGAACTGAATATTCTAAGGTTATAAGTATGCGAACCTGAGAAGTCCAACGCTGTGAAAAAACAACTTGCATTTATCAAAATTATTTTTAATCGGTAATTTCTTTCAACGCAAAATAAATATACTGAGTTAGATGAAATTTTGAATTGGGAAGACTTTCGAATTATCATCGTCAACGCAAAATAAGATAATTTCAAAACAAGAAATAACTTTTCTGTATAATATTGACTACGAACTAATGTTTATTTCAATATTAAACATGGATTATTATTATTATTATTAGCTTTATTCAACATTATATTTTTGGTACAACATAGAATTCTCAGCATAAAGTATTTCAACAAGTTTCCTTTTCTTATACCTTGATCGATTGTGACGATAAATTTTGAATGATGACCAGTTAGATGTTAGAAGTTCGGTAATCCACATTTGATTACTGTTCATTCGTTTCAATGCATATTGCCAGCCACCATGATGTCGCTGATTGTACCTTTTTGTATCGCCTATAGCGAAACTTTGTAAACTTTTCATAAACGCCCCTGAATAGGTTGTGCGCACAATAGACATAGTGATGTGCTAAAACAAACAACAAAACAGATAACTTGATGAAATATCTAGATCGGAGGAACAGGTAGCCCAGATATTCAAGCAGGCCGCCAGTTGTATATGGATAACTTCAGTGTTTTGATGTGACTCAAGTCAGTCAAGATTCACCAAGCAAAATGGGCTAATTCCAAATCACTGAGTAAAATACTCGTCTATGAGATGCATTAATAGGAAAACTATAATTAACAAGCAATTCAGGATTCATACGGTTATTACTTGTTCTTATCCACAGTACTGTTGTCAAATCAGGTCTTTATGCTTACCTCATTGGTAATAACACTATAACAGAAAATATTCAAAGGTCAGTACTCGTCCTATTAATCATTTTATTTTAATATTTGTAGGTTATCAAAACATATAATTCCATACACATTTCACTGTTTCTCTCTGTTTCCTATATTTTCAGTCACTTTCGGATATTTCATTATGTATTTGAACATTTTTTAATAAGATTTCTAGTTTCATTTGTATATATATAATATATGATAGATTTTGTGTTTTCCATCCATCATTGTTCGATAGACTAATGAAGATGGAGAAGATGAATGGGTTGATAAAGCTGGTATGCCACCTGGTCTACTGCCAGAGCATAAAGCATCAGTTGTGTTATTTTTAGAGCGAGTTTATGGAATTTCAGATGCTGCGACATTCTTAAGATTATTAGAAAATGGTTTTCTACCAGATTTACGTGCAGCCACATTACTTGATTCAGTAAGTTTTATTTAATGATTCAGTGATAAACACTTCAAATCATTAATTTTCATACAATTTTCACTTCAATTACTAGATCGAATTGGTTCATCTATGAAAAATCTTTAATTACATATTTGAAAATAGAGTTAACCTAGTTAGTTTAGTGATCATCTTTACGTGAGTAGAATTATGATCATTTTCTTTACATTTAATCACAATCACTAAAACAATAAATAACAAGATTCATTCTAGCTATGTGTAAAGCATGAATAATTGTTTTTATCATGTTGTAAAAAAAGTTGTACAATTATTTTACTTATTTTTTTACTGCCACACTTATTCGGACTGGTTCATTGAAAAGTTTAAAGTTCATAAGTGGCAACAGCATTCTTATCCAAACAATAATAGTAGTAATAAAAATAATACCATGATGACCATTTTGACTAGATCCTCAGACAGCTTCAGGTTTATTTTTTAATCACATAACAGTTCAAATCTTTAAAAACATCACAAAAGTATGGGAAAGTGCTTACGGAATTCATCTTGACTTGTAAATGTTGCACAATGGATAAACTTAGCAATTAAATTTATAAATTTCTTCATTTGGTGAATGGCAATTACGCAGTTACATTACCATCAGTCTTCTCAACAAATGCACTTATAAAGACTTTTTTAAAAACGTCAGGGTATATTAATTGCGTTCCCTCAAAAATACTCTCCATTTTTGGAAGTACACTTGTCTTACCTCCTTTTCGACTATTTAAAGTGTTCTTGAAAGTTCTCAGGAACCAGGATATTCTGTTGTATCTTTGTATCACATTCTGTCACTTCCAAACCATTTCGATGTTGCTCATATATTACAGAGGATAAGACGAAATAGCAAAGGACCGAGTGTGATGGCCGGGAACGATGGTTTCTCACGGTGATCAAAGTACTGGGAGGAAATCCACTGATATTCACTTCTGAATTTCTGGTTAGGATACAACAATCATTCTTTGCCATTACAAAAATCTTGTCGCACATGATGTATGTTTTCATAAGCATTTAAAAGCATGCAAGTGGAAAATAATCTTCAATGTACGTTCTTTAGGATGAGATTCAACGTGGACAATACTAGAATTATCCCTTGTCTATTAGATGAATCATGTATATTTAGATTGCATAAAATCAAATTCTCAAAACGACTGCTTTTTATGTTATTCTTTGAAGTTTATCTATTTTAAGGTAGCTTTCTAATTTGGCCGACCGACTGGTGAGATGCAGGAGCTGATAAAAAAGTTCTACCATACATCTATGAATCCAAAAAATAGGAAAAAATTATCTGAATAATGAAGCTGATATTTATATTTAACCTTCCACTAGTTATAACTTACTCGATGAACATGAAAAAATTACAAACATATCATACACAAAAAACAGAAAACTACAGAAATAGACGATTTATTACACTTTTAGAAACACATTAACCTGAATCCATTTTTCTCCACTTATTAATTTACGCTAAACGTTAGTTCATAATCTAAAACAACAAACTGAGCTATTTTGTTAAACATTCACAACCAATTTTCTCTATTACTTTAGTGGACATATATCCGACATGTTTATTGCTTGAAATACTGCTCCTACTTGAAACTCAAAATCTAACTGCGACCTCAGTTCCGTATAAAAAACAATACTTTGAATCTATTAGCAATCTAATTTTTGTAACGTTTTGTATTTTTGGGATTTTTATTTCTCATACCTATGCATTTAGGCAAAGTTTTTGTATTTACTTTGAATATTTGTTCATTTTAGGCATATATTTTATATGGTAGTTTAAATGTAGTGTAGGTATTTTTATTTTATAATCATTATGTAATGAAATTGTTCTGTTTACTTAGACTGTTGTTCCAGACAGTGATATGGCTTTGGCATTAAATCGTTATTTATGCAACAGTGTTTTGCCATTACTCACACGGCATACTAAATATCTTGGCGAAGAAGGTACAACTGGAGGATTATTTGAGGCAACATTACAAACGGCTTATCGTTTATCAAAATGTCGATCCATTACTAATCATCAACGTGAAGTCGTTTGTGACTTTTTAGTTGCTTTGATGCAACAAATTAAACCACCAATGATGTCTGCTCTATTAAAGAAAATGGTTTCTGATTTACGTACATTATCAAAAGAAGTAAGCCACATTTGTTCGACAATTTAATGACTAAGTTTCAACTAGTGTTTAATTTTCATTCATATATGTAAAAAAAAATATTTCTATCATACAGTTCTATGTTAAGTATATATTTAGTAAATCAATCGCTGAGAAATGGATAATCAACTTCATCGAGGTTTGTAAAATAGAAATTACTGGATTCAAACCAGCAGTATTATAGATGTTGAAGAATTTCTCTCGTATAAAGAATTGATTGTAATACATGGCTATTTATATTATTAAACATTAAATGTTAACTAAATCAAATGTAAACAGACTCATGTTATTATATTACACAGATGGGTGAATTTGACCTAAGTTTTTGTTCTTAATTCAACTAAACCTCAGTTATTATGAGGATCTGTAACAACAATCATGTTTGTGAAAATAGCTTTCATCCTGATGATAATCTACTTGAACAGTTAGATAAAGCAAATCCATTGTAATTTATTGTTTTACAACATAAAAACCATTCTCCTAGTTTAAAGAGAGGAAATTAAACTACTTACTTCGCTGAGTATGATACTTGTTTGAATAATGTTAAGACTATGGAAACTCAATAATCTACATTAAGCTATATTTTTTTGTTATAAATAACTGATCTGTTGTAGCTTAAATACAAAATATCTCTACATTACTTCAGCATCATCCCACCTTGTTTGTCTGATACTGATCAAGTTAATTTTACTGGGAAGCATTTATATTCTTATTATTTCATTTCTCTGTACTTATTTTTTTAGTCCGTCGTATCACTTCGAGCGTTGACAGAATTTTACCAACGCTGTGGAACTTATTATAGTTCAGATGGATGGACAGGTGGCGCACAAAGTTCACCAGGACATAGTGCAACATCAGTTGACGATGATTCTGGATGTACCAGTAACGAAACCGGTAGTGGTGCTAGTTCTGGTGGAGCTGATAATGTAGGTAGTCGTAGCGGTGATGGTGAAACATCAGCATCTGAAGAGGAACGAAGTATCACTGCTCATCTATTCATATTAATATTCGAAAAGTTATCCCGACAACCATATGAACCGGAATTATTTTCTTATGCATTACCATGTCTATGTTCGATAGCATGTGCTTTACCACCGGATTATTCAATTAGTCAATTGAATGCGATGGGTCAACAAAATGACAGTTTAGGGCAAAATGTTGGGCAATCAGTATTCACTGATCAAATGAGTACGTTCGATTGCGTTTTGTCATAAAACTGACGTATCTTTGTAATAAGGCACTTCTATTCCGATATGACTGGATAGATTTGTGATATAATTTTTGGTTAATATTTTTTAATTAATTCAATGGTGATTTTCTTTCAATGTGACGCATATATTCCCTATGTCAGTTCAGGTGCACTATGTTCGGTGTTTGTTTACAGTGAACCTGTGTATATAAATGAGTGTATTTCGGTCGTATGACAATATGGTTTTGGACTTGTTTTGAAGACTTGTTCAGGGAACGTGTTTTGGGAAGTCGATAAATCATCACTAGCCCAGTCCTTCTTGTTTCCACTTGCACCTTGTGAATTACAGTGTTTTCTGATTGTTAGATTAAGTAATAATACTCGAGATATAATAGACATTTTAGAGATACATCTCATTTTTTTTCACAAATTAGTATATACTTGTTCTTGTAAAAAAAACTGATAAGATTTTTTGAAAATCGCCAAAAGGTTTTACTGACTTGCCTACTTTTCATTGTTTAATTTAACAATTAAGCTGTCATTAAAAACAATCACCACTTACATATCATGGATGATCTTCCATCAAGTTTTTTCTCAGTTTTATTTGAAAATACTTAGAAGCTTTAAACTGTTATAGTTAGCCTAATTAGATTGGTCAGAGTTATTATAGCTGTTAGATGAATGTACATATACGAGGTGGAAGGCAGACATATCGCGTCCTCAACTGATTTAGTTAAATCTAAGACGGAAAACTTTCGTTTCAGGGATATGGGTAGTAGGCTGAACGAATCAGTATAGATTACACCTTCCGTACCATACGTCCATAGTGATATGTAAGTACATTTTCCACCTCATAAAAGTCACCAGCCACATGTTCCCGTCAGGGTCGGTCCAATAACCGGAATACGCAAATGATTTGTAAACATATTCATTTGAATTTTTACAATGTGGCTTCTTATCCGGTTTTGATTTATTTTATCCCTGTATCTGCATGGTCAAGTATGAGGTATGTAGCCGTGACTAAATTGAAGTATTGAATGTAAAAGCGTGATGCATATGGATGGTAAGATGAATAAATCAACAAACAATATGGTCTTTAGGAAGAAAAATATAGAAAATAGTTTAAATTAATAATAAGAATGATTACATTTAAAATGTAAATATGAGTTTAGCACGCTCCAGTCAACATAATAATGAATGTCATTTATCAGAAGTAAATTATATTTGAAACTATTTATTTGAATAAAATGCCGGCTTGAAAATAGTAAAACGGTTGTGAGTTAAGTTTCAGAGCGATTTGCATTCTCCTTTTCGGGGAACTGTTAATATAACAAGGAAATTCATGATGCGAATGTTGCGGCTTTATCGCTGGGACACTAGATACTATACCACTATATTAGCTCACAGTATACACGGATACTTTAAGTCTCCCCTTAACCAGTTAAGTCCTACTTTCGCCGATGCATCAAATACTTAAGTACCATAAAATTCTATCATGAAATTAATTTTCGAAGTTTCGACTGTGTTCATATTATTAGTTATCAGATTAGTTCAAACTTGTAAGATTTGTACACAATTAAATCTTTGTGTAATTGGAATAATGTATTCTTTCCGTTGTTGTAATATTAACTATACGTGAATTTCTTTATAATCTCCAAGGTAATCAAAAAACAAGCAAATTATTGTTCACTTTCTTTTTCCATCACGATTTTATGGAGGGAATTAAATTTTACATAAAGTTTGTGGTATTTAATTTCCAAAAATAGTTTAGACACCAATCTATTTGAATAGCACCTTAATTTTTTTTACTAAGCTTAATTTAGCCTAACTTCGTTTAAAAAATTCCAATACATACTCCTCATTTTTATTTATTATTAGTATAAGGTTGTGAAGATTATTAGGTTTTTTATCGACATCATTAATCGATTCATGTTAGACCACTAATGAAAACCCCAAAGCATTGGACGGCCGTTTCGTCTTATAATAGGGTTCCCCAGAAGTGCGCACACGCGGCTCTGCCCGCCGAATCCGAACCCAGAACCTTTGGCCTTGCGGGCGAACGCTAAACCTCTAGACCACAGCCAGTATCTAACGGTTATCAACTGAATATATGACTAGTCAAAGATGTTAAAGTTAATTATATTAAAAGTAATTTTTTTCTTTTAATTATTCTTTCTTCACAGATTCTTTACTAGTTCCTGGGGCTCCTAAATTAGAAGCGAATGATTCACTTGATGAACTTGTTCATCACGATGTATTTCGCCCTCAACCTATAGATACATCTCAAGTAATAATGTCCTTCTGTTTTATTACATTCAGCAATTAAATTTGATTTATACACACGTATTTTTATGTTAGTATTATTTTATATCAATGAAAACTCATTGACAAAATGTCCCACGAAATATAGATTGTGTTCCCAATGAAAAGTAAGTCTGGTGCGCTACAGTAGTCATCTCGCACATACTTGGCAGTATATATTCCTACTGAGTATAATTGATTTAATCTAATAATCAATGTTAAGAAAAATGTCTATAACTAATTATTTGAGTTCAACAATAAATTGTTTACTTGAAATAAAGTTATTCAGTAGAGCTTTTATCTAATGCTAAAATAGATTTAATTTGTTAACTTTAGCATAATACGATTTAGAAAAAGCAAAAGACATTTAAAACAATCTAACTGCAGATCCAAGCTCTACAGTTATTGGTCCAAAAGTAACAAACTTCGATAGCCAGTATATTAGGCACTCTTATAAACTGAATGGATTATAGCTTGCAATGGAAGTCGGAACATTACTTTGTCTTATCTGGAATTCTTCAGCTGAATGTACCGTCGTACCATTATTAGTGTTCACACATTTTTTTATAAATGCTTAACATAATATACTTTATCGTATTTTACATTATGGATTGATTTTAGTCAGACAACATCGGAAACCATAAATCACTGGATTGCCGTTTCATTCTAGTGTGAGACTCCTCAGTAGCACACATTCACGACCCTACCGGGGATCGAACCCAGCACCACCTCTTTAGCTAGCAAAAGCTTAGATTTAAGACAACTGAGCTGGTATCTAATGCCTTAGATGTCTAACTTTACCTAATCCACAAAATAATGCGACCATTTCCTACATCCTGTTATGGATAACTGCCGCACAAACGACATGGCTTTAATCTGAAATGCTTACGGTTATGACATCATATGATAAGAGAGTGATTATCTCTGTAATTTAAATCCTAATCACCACATTTGTCACTCTGAAATAAATAGGGCAACTATAATTTTTTGTTTAATGAATTATGCTCTATCTGATTATTTCTAGGTTCGTCTTCCAGTAGCACTGAATGGCTTAATTCAGAGATTCGCTGAACATTGCCATGATTCATGGGCTTTAGATTTGATTGAACAGGGTTATACATTTGGTGCACAAGTTGATGAAGTTCGAAGAACACACCCAAATTTACGCTCTTTCAGTCAGTTGCCAACACAGGTAAGTTCGCATTTGATTTTGGATCAATGTAATACGACTGGGTAGATCAGATTTATACTGTTAACAAATAATATTGGTAGTCCCAGTGTATACACAACCAAATTAAAATTATAATGGAAAAAACTGTTGACGGATAAATGCAGATTAGCTCAACAATAAAATTGATTGTCTAACGAGACCATACAAATCGTGAAGTAATATGAGTAAAAATGTGAAGTAGGGAAATTTCTACATTGTTAGCCAACAGGGTAAAATGTTGATTTCTAATTTAATCACTGCTTACCAACATGTTTAGTTGTGATATAAGAGATAGATATGTTAATATAAGATTATTATCAGGTGTTTCTTTGATAAATGAAAACACTTGATAAGCGTTGAAACAAATTGTATGAATGTTTTATTTAGATTATGTTAAATACTAGTTGTTATTACGTACAAACGACAAACATTGTGGGAGTGTGATGAATTCATTTCATTTCGTATACATCAAGTGTTCCATATACACACTACTCTTACAAATAAGAAATAGCTTTGCAAACATAATATTGTGGGCAAAATAGATAAATCGATTCAGCTTACTGATCAAGAATAACCACAGATATTTTACACTTATGTAAAAATTGAATAACCAGAGAAAAAGTGATTATAACTTAGTCAATCACAGGGAACGCGTACAAAATATTGCCGTTAGGGTAAAGAAAATAATTAAGTTGTCACTAATTAAAAAAGTAATAGTGACGTACTTATAATATTGGTGTAGCTAATAATAATGATGTTAATTCAAGATAACACGTGGTTTTTTGAGCAGATCTAATGAACTGAGCAGTTAATTGGTGGTGCCATATATATTTCTAGCCAAGTAATCCTCAGGATAATCGGGCCAATAACAATAACAATGATTAAGAAATAAACATATAAATTCAACTAAGATCTCCAAGTTTGAGCGGTTTTTATATAATAGTTCATTTTGACAAATAGAAACCATTTTCATCTGTTCCAAAAGTATAGGAACAAGTGTCATTAAGTAAAGTCAGAAAAAATTTCATCGTGTTTAGTTTGCTTAACAGTGTTACCCGTTATCCAAAGTAAGGTATGATTGGTTTAGAAATTTACTTGTTTCTCCGATCCTACTGACTTCTAAAGGATCTACAGTATTATATATTGAACAATATTGATCAGCGAAATAGAAACTGATAAAATGAACAATACGTTACAAAACTTTGTTATTAGAAGTACCAGTTAATAACAAGTGTTTTTTTTCCATTCTGACATCTAAAATTGATACATGTATACATTTATTTACTTACTCATGTATACTGGTTATTTTTTAGAAACTAAGCTATTTTATTATTTCTTCTTTGCATAGGAGCAAATGAGATATATTCATCCTGTAACAGATACACTAAAAACGATGTTAGCTTGTGGTTGGTCTGTTGATGGTGATGAAAATCGTTACCGTGATACACCTGGGGATACAAAACACATACGTAGACAAACGATTACAGTACGTCTTCTTCTTTTTATTTTTTTCTCAAACAGACATATTTTGATGATATTATCTGGGAATTTTCGACAACATAACTTTTCTATGTTTTTGAAGTAGAATTTAAAAAAGGTAATGCTTGTCATTTTTAATGGAAATTCTTTAATTTCTCATTCTGTTTACAATCATTGATAATTTAACTAATAAGGTATGTTGATAGATCGGTTAAATTATGTGAAGAGATTTCATCTTTTCAGAGATGATTTCTATTATAGAGTGATATAACCTGAAAAGAAACTTGAAAAACGATGAGACAATAACGTTTTTTTCGTTTCACTTTATAATTTTTCAACAATGAATATCTGAAATCCCATATATGAGACAAAACACAGAACCTTCAGACTGATTTTAGTAATAAATGTGCTGTTCAGATATCTAGTCGATATTCAATGCTCCACATGCTTCAATAACGGTCGATTAGCAGTATAAGGAAACTGTTATCTTATTTCATTCATTCAACAACCATGTATTGCTTTGAATCTTCAATTACAGATTAATTAATATCGACCTATCCCAGTTCAATTTATTCAAATTTATCTGGTTAGAGTTTCGTTAACAATGTTAGTTTTTATGGAATGAGAATACTAAACTCGCCCTATCCTTCTTTATCCGGGCTTCAGACCGGCAGTAACTCTAGAAGGACTCTGAGGGGCATTGAATTTTTTCGTTGACCAGAAATCAAAATTGATATAAATCGCATTGAAATTTTCAATGTCGCTTGAATCAATTACGGGTTTTCGGTTGGTGCATAATATCCTCTCCATATATAGTCTTACTTTACGTCTTTGTTTTGAGTAACACCAATCCTTGTTTCGTCATACAACAAATAGTAATTAAACAGTTTCATTTCCAAGAAATATTAAACAGACATCAGTATTCCGATACGTAATTGAAACGATAAGTTAACAAATGAATGATATTGAAATAACCGTCCGTTTATAATATGAATTAATAATGATTCATTAACATGTATTCATTTATCTCCGCAAATTTTTTATCTATAGAGTGATAATTTGTTAAATTATAATCCGAGTCCAAAAGATTTACGTGGTGTAAATGTTACCAAAGAAATGTTAAATATGGCTGAACGTCTAGCTGATAATGCACATAATATATGGGCCAGACAAAAAATGAGTGATCTCGAAGCAATTGGTGAGCAGTTACTAATTGAAGTTTATATATACATGTTATATAATGATCAAAGAAATTAGTATTTTTAAAATTACTTATTTTATGTAATCAACTGATATGTTATTTGAAACATTAACTATAGAGGTTCGTGTTTGAATGATCTCATAGATTATTGCTTATTGTAGTTCGATTATTGTCATTCAGATTGTCATAGTTTGTTGTGAACAACTTTATATATCCATCCTAAAAAGCAGGCTTTTAGACTATCGGAGCACGGTGGATACAGTAGATACCTTACGAGTTCAGGCTTATAGTACATTGCATATATTTCCTCAGTAACTATGGTATTGCAGATAATTTTGTGTTTTTGATCCCCAGATTTCATGCATCATCTAATCATTTGATTATAATTTCAATAAGAATCAACTCACATATATAGCTTTTTAGTGAAATCGGATAAACCAACAGACCAATTTGGTATATTTATTTTGAATGTGTTCTCTTTAAATATAATTTACTGATTAATTGATTTGCGCTTCAATTTGTGTTCTCAAAATATATGGCCAAGGTTCTTGTATCTATTATCCAATTATCCATACGTTTGGTACAATCAGTAAACTCAACCACATACTTTCTGTGACTTTTTAATTTCTGAAACATCATTTCATTCGTGAAACTAGGTCATTTGTCAACGTTTTCGTTCGATATGATAATAAAATCTATACTTCTTTAGTTCGGAATATACTTTTAATTGATCCTTAAAACGTTCACCATGGTCCCAAATATGAATACCTTTGATACGTAACAAACTCCTGTAAAATATCACACAACTCTATTACAGTATTTATATACTTTGCTGACAATTTCTTTTTCAAAATGAATATTTGAATGAGTCACATAACCACTGAATTCCGACCTAATCAAATTTTCTTGGATTAATCGTCAGAGAGAAACTTGAGGAAAAATTAACAAATAAGGAGATAATAAACCATATTCTCCTAAATTAACTAAAGGATTCTATTATAAATCCGTTTATTTCATCCAAAATACTGTGTTTATATTCCTAATAATCAGTAAAAATCTACTTTATTGCAAATTTTCATTTTCTCTTCAGGTGGTGGAGTACATCAACTACTAGTACCATATGATATATTAACAGATAATGAACGTAAAAGATATCGGCGTCTAACCCATGAATTGATTAAATATTTACAGTATAATGGTTATAGATTAACTGTTCGTACTGGATCGAATTCAACTAATACTAATACAAATAAAGGGAATGGAGGTACTAGTAATGTTAGACATCATGACAACAGAAGTAAGTTTAATTCTAAAGCAAACAAAAATGTTGTCTCTCCAAAAACTAATTTTTCCTTATTTCCAGTTTGCACTAATTATTGAGCTTCTTCAGTTTTCATCGTTACCACTCACTTTTTTTCATTAAAAACAAAGAAGAAATGAGATTGCAATCTGAATTCATCAATCATATTGATAATTTAGTGGTGTTGGTTATTCCTACGACTGCTCAACAAACTAATAAACTGAAAAGCTTCCGATAGTAAAATAATATTGTTATTCATCAAAGTGTAAAATTAATAGATCAAGGTAGAATTTATCAATGTTCATCGTTGCATATAAAAATTCAGTTGTATTCTTAACAGTTTATCAAACTCTTTAATACTATTGATAGATAGACAGATAATATTAACAAACCTTGTAGTTTAAGAAACAATCAGACAATTTATTAATAAGCAAAATTAGAGTGACTAGCTATGTTGTTATGATTATCCAGCTGACAACATAATATCTAAAACATCATTACAAACTCAGATAAATCCAGATTCAATAGTTAAACTCGTATCATAGAATCAATTCATTAGTTTTCAAAGCCAGAACATTTTACAGAACTAAATTCAACGGGTAAAATAAGTATATAATTCAAAGAATAAAATAAAACGTTATGTGAGTGAGTTGTACTCTTGGGTTGTAAAGCAATAAGAAATCGTAACTCTTTCTAAATATAAAAAAATAAAAGTCCATTTAATATTTCAAACCAAATATAACTGAAGATTATTGCCTGAACAAACATTAATAACATTTTGGAAATAATGAAAATGATTACCTAATAAGAAACGCCATTGGGACTGATGGGTATGAATCAGTTAAGAATATTAATAATGACTGACTCTTGGTACAGAAAAAAGTGAGCAGTAAAAATAGAATTAGAAAATTCAGAATGAGGTAACAGTTACACCTTATAATTTGATTTTCAACAGTCAAAATTTGAAGAAATAATAATTTTTATTAACTGTAATGTTTATTAAACTGACACTCACTATTTCATCACTTTCACAACACGGTTCTGGAGAATAAATATGTTAATAAAAGCCTAATTTGTTAGCTTATGCACTGTTACGTATTACAAATGATTGATAATTCATTCAAAAAGTAGTTTTTTGAAAGCTATTTCGCTTTATGACGAAACAATTATACTTTAAGAAGGATATTTTCAAGATTTAGTCTTCTTATTTTCATTACAACTACATTATTTTGATTTATTTTGCTATTTTTATTTTCATCTCATCGTACTAATTGTGGTACAGCCACTTGAGCCAAGACATAAATGTGTCAGGCTCTGTGTTAATGCTAACTGACAGGTTAAAATTATACATTTTAGATTTAGCACCAACATCACGATTTGCTTATGGGTTATTGAACAAGCTTTTGGATTATGTCGATTCAGCCATGTCATCAGTTCGTGAACCAATGCCAAGCACTCGTTATAGTACTAGTCGTTCTTGGTTAAGTTCAAGTCAAGATATGAAATTCTTTGTTAAGGTTGTACTACCATTAGTTGAACGCTACTTTGAAACACAGCAGGCATACTTTTTAGACCCAGTAGCAGGTGCTTCAATTGATGAAAAGAAGATGGCTGCCACGTATGTTATTGAGTAGCTTGTAAATCGTAACTTTGGTTATTTTTCTCTTTTATTTCCCATGTTGATATCCCACTACATGTTGGAATGTAACTAAAAGCTTAAGTGTATGTAAATAAATTACTATAAACGCAGTATTTTAATGCTGATCAATATATTACAACCTTATTACTTAAACTATTATAACTAAAAATTAAACAAACTACGATATCGGTTTTTCAGACCTTCAAAATACATTACTATATAGTATGCCTATGCATATTGAATATTCTACACAGCTACTGCATCTAACTTCTCAGTTCTAATGTAATTTGTCTGTATACAAATGTGGGAAAACATATGTTTAATGCTATATAAGTCTGTGTAAGACTATGATTCATAATCACAACGCTTTTAAGGTAACTTTTTTAAAACTTGATGCAAAACTATAACGCTATGAATGATTTCCATAATTTAAATCTTTAGTTTCATTAAGCACAGAAATAGTATGGTTACATTGAAAGACACAGTTTAGCTCTGATGAAGTTTATAATTTTGAAGTTATAACTTTGGTATTCAAGTGACTGCAAATTTACTTATTCAACTGAATAATGGATTACGAGATATGGGTAACACAAACTGCACTGTCGCGACTTACTAGGAGTAAACAGTTCATACAACTGAGTTTATCAACCTGTTAACAAAATAATTATGAGCTGAAAAATAAGATAAAATTTCCTCTGTCAAGCTGCTATGGCTATATATCGGAAGCATTATTTATTGAAATACTTTAAAGGCATATTTCGAGAACTATTTACATGAAAACTAAATTTTAATCGTGTCGACTAATTAAAATTCATCGGAATGAATAGCTTAACTAAATAAATGATACTGAAATACGAAGTTTATATTAAACACGATGCAATATTTTCTAATTTATGAAACAAACAGGTATGTTGTAATTAGACTATTTGAAGTAGTCGAGGTTAGGAAACTTGATTATTAGTTTGGTTTGAAGGGTCTAGTTATAGTTTGCCAATAAGGTCTAGAAGCGAATAACTAAATAACAAGAAATACGGAAGGTAAGCATGGATTTCTAAATGTTTCAAAAAGTATTCTAGTATAAACTAGTATCAACCTGTAGTGCCATTAATCGGAATCTGACTACAATTCAGCGCTTTCTTAAAATTTCATTCACCATTATTTTGTCATATCATTATTATTATTATTATTAGCTTTATTCAATATTATAATTTTGGTACAATATAGAATTCTCAGCGCAAAGTATTTCAACAAGTTTCCGTTTCTGTCTTCTTGGTCGGTCCTGGCGATAAATATTGAGGAATCGCCAGTTAGATGTTAGCACTTCAGTGAATGAACAACTGAATAATGTACATTCTTTTCGTTGTACATTGCCAGCAACCATATTGTCTCTTATTGAGTTTTCTGTAACTTTGACAACGAAAGGTTGTACACTTTTCAGAAATGCAGCAGAATAGGTTATGCGATTAATAAACATAATGATATATTAAAACAAACAACAATAGATAACTTGTTGAAATATCTAGATGGCAGGAACAGGTAGCCCAGATGCTCAAGCAGGCCGCGTTATTTAATAAACTGATCATTAAAAACTTTGAAATAATATTTTAATTAGACATCTAGTTCACATTCATCTGATTTGTTTAATTAAAATTTATTTGTCTAGTTTATTTTGTAAACTCTTCTCGTTACTTCGAATAAAATTGAACACATTTGGACATGATGTAAAGATAGCTGTATCTTGTCTTCAAGGTCTTGTGCAAACAATTGATGTAAAGTAAGTTAATTTGTGTATATGTGTATATGTTCAGTTTATAATGGTTACCAGCATTATATATATATATATATATATATAAATGGTGTGCCCTCATCTTAGCGTTTGAATCCCTTGAAGGAAGATTTACTTTTCATTGAGACAGGTGACAGGTTGGGTCAACCAGACAAAAGAATAATAAAAAGTGAGAAATGCTGGCAGATGTACGTTATTCACTAAGATTTGACTTTATTTTCTGAGGAAATATACATACACTAATGGATAAAATTAAGACCTTATTTTCTTAAGGGTGTGTTATAAATTGTCATCTATTCTTGATTTGGTTAGCTAATGTAGAAGCTTTCTACTTCTAGTTTTTTTCAGTCATGTAGCTTTATTTATTTATTATTTATTTATTTGAACACATAAATATTGGTACAAGAGAGCGCCAATATATATGCGCCACACAAAACAATGAGAATTCGAAGAGAATTCGAAAAAAAGAAAGAGAACAATAACGAAGAGATTGGTGTAAGGTAGTGTGGTAGTAATGAGGGAACGGAAACGTACAATCGGAAGAAATCTTTCAGGTAAGGGAGACACAACCACTTTTTATGAAGAAAGTAAAAGAAGATTACAGCAGGATCGCCACTGGTTTCTATTCTGAGCCATATCTGATAACGTCTCTAGCCACTGTGTAGCACCATCTCTCGGACCCCAGCCAGGGAGTCGTGAAGGACCAACACAAGCCAGTCCTTTGCAGCTTTCTTTCATGCCACGACACCATGTCATGCACTGACCACCTCTCCGCTTCTTCCAACCAGTCCCAGAGTCGGTAAATAATGCACGACGTGGAATTCTCTGAGACGACATTCGGAGAACATGTCCAAGCCACCGAAGTCGGTGTTTCAAGATGGTGACACCAATTGAGTTATCATCTCTGTGCCCGAACACACGATGCCGAACCTCTGCATTACTGACATGGTGTTGCCACTGAATGTCAGCAATCCTTCGGAGACAGCGATGATCAAACACAGAGAGTCGTCTAACGTCCTCAACTCGGAGAGGCCAGGTTTCACAAGCATAGAGCAAAACTGCTCTCACCGACGCGTTGTAGATCCGGCCTTTTACAGCCAGACTAACATCACGAAGGCGCCAAAGGTGGCCCAGATTGGCATAAGCCGCTCTGGCTTTCACCATTCGTGCATTGATCTCATCACTCACACCCCCACCAGCACTTATGCAGCTACCCAGATACACGAACTTCTCAACTACGTCTATCTGCACACCGTCCAGGGTGAGTACAGGATTAGAATCCTGCCAGTCTTGTAGAAGTACTTTGCACTTCGAAGGTGCAAAGCACATACCATACCTACGGACACTGATTGTCAACTGATTAAGTGCGGATTGCATGCCTTGGGCATTATCGCACAGTAAGACAATATCGTCCGCATACTCAAGGTCGAGAAGTCTTTCTCCAGGCAACAGATTCACACCGCGATTACTTACATTCATCAGAGCTGTTTCCAGAATGTCGTCGATGGCAAAGTTGAAGAGGAATGGTGAGATTGGGCAACCCTGCCTAACCCCACTTTTCGAATGGAACAATGGAGAGGGGTGGTTGTATGCTCTCACTCTGCCTGAGGTGTTTGTATATAGGGCTTTTAGGATGTTAATGAACTTCTCAGGCCCACCCTTCTTCAATAGACAATCCCAGAGAACAGTCCTATCCAACGAATCGAAGGCAGCCCTGATGTCAAGAAACACTACGATTGTTGGCCTTTGAAAAGTATGGCGGTGTTCTAACATTTGGCGGAGGGTGAAGATATGGTTAATACATCGTTAACTAGAACGAAACCCAGCCTGCTCCTCGCGAGTCAATCTTTCTCGGGTTTTGAACAACCTACGAAGAATGACGGAAGCCAATAGCTTGGACGCAATCGGAAGTAAACTTATCCCCCGATAGTTGTTACAAGAACGACGTGAACCCTTTTTAAAGATAGGGACAACTATCGACTCATTCCATGACGTTGGTACACTCTCTAGTTCCCAAACCTTTGTAAACAACGTCGTCAATTCCTTAGTCAAAAAGTCACCACCATCTTTAAAAAGAGCCGGAGGTAAGTCATCTGGGCCAGGTGATTTGTAACGCTTCAAGAGTTGGAGTTCCTTGCGGACTTCCTCCTCATTTGGTGGATCAGTCGTCACCGTCCATGGAGGGCAGGACAGTCTGACCGATGTTGCCGGAGCAGCAAGCCAGTTGAACTGCCCTTCGAAAAATTATGCCCATCGTCCAAGACGTCGATGGATGTTAGTGATTGGCATCCCATCATCCTCGCAGATTGTTTCACTCACATCAGACTTCTTGCTGCCAGTGGCTCGGATGAGTTGGAAGAGCTTCCGGTAATTACCAGATGCAGCTGCTGCTTCCAGCTCATTAGCACGCATCGACCACCAGGCTTCTCGGTCCTTACGCAAGCTTTGCCCGATTTCCTTACGTAAAATCCTTCGTTTATGGTCAAACTCACGGTTACCCGGAGTAGACCGACGGGCTTCAATGAGTTGTAAGGAACCAGAAGAAACCCAGTGCTTAAAAGCGGGACGTTTCGCAAACCCACAACTGACTGTTCCCGCCATTTTCATGGCGTCATGCAATTGCAACCAATGCTCATCTATACTTTTCGGTGGAGTGGTAGCTAGCCTAGAGGCTAGCTCGGTTCGATACTTACTTGCAACAGAAGTTGCAACCAGCTTGCTAACATCAATCCGTTGATGGCGTTCACTTCGTTGTCCACTGAAAAGTAAGGCAAGATTGGCGCAGACCAAGGCATGGTCAGAGTCCAGATAGGTACTCCAAAAGGAGCGGCAGTCTTGTACACAACCACGCCAGCGGTAGCTGATCGCGATGTGATCAATCTGAGTCCAGGCTTGAGATGCAGAGGGCGGACGCCAGGTGGCACATCGGCGATGACTGTGCCGAAAGTTAGTGCTAGCCAGAAACAGGTTGTGGTCTGTGCAAAGTTGCAGTAGACGGTCCCCGTTATCTGACCTGCGACCAACGAGTCCCCATCGGCCACCTAAACGACTCTCTTCTGTGCCTAGACGCCCGACCTGAGCATTCAAGTCTCCGGCTAGTACTACAATATCTGTCGAACGCACTTTCTGGAGAAGAACTGATAACTGGTGGTAAAACTCATCCTTGATTGCATCCGGGCTGCAATCTGTCGGGGCATAGGCGGAGATGACGAAAAGACATCGCTTCTCCCGCCGATTTCTTCTCACTTTGATGGAACTTTCTAATCTAACAGCACATAACCGACTGTTAATGGGGATCCAATCGACTAGTGCTGCCTCAGCTCTAGCGCTTAGTGCGACACCAACGCCAGCAAGACCAGACGAAGATGCCATAGGGTCCCCGGATAAGCGCACGTAAAACAAGCTTTTCGAAGCGACAGATGGAGACCGAATTTGTAGTACTTCGCCAGAGTCTTGAATACGGGTCTCGGATAGACAACACACGTCGATATTAAGACTTTCCAAAGACATAGCCAGCCCTATCTGTTGTCCGACCTGCATAAATGTGCGAACGTTGAAGGCAGCCAGTTTGAATGGTGCACGTGGTTTCAGAAAATCTGCTTCAGTCCTCGTATTCGGTGGTAACATACAATTTTCAACCGGACAGTGACTCGAGAACGTTTAGATACTGTCGGAATTCCACCAAAGACGAGCCGCTGTATAAGTATAAAAGAAGGTGAATAATGTGGAAAATAATAATAATAATGATAATAATAACAATAATGACAATAATAGTAGTAATAATAATATTAGTATTAATAATGACAATAATTGTAGTGATCATAATTTGAATCAATTGATTGTTTTTCAAAGCGACAAAATTAATTTCCATGGACATAGAGTTCATCATTTGTGTGTGGGCTGTGATACTGCCCGGGTGCCCAAACCGAAGCAGGTGGTTATCTTAGGGGGCCACTCCCCGAGCCTTTGACCTAAAGGTCTAACCCACAAGGCAGTGGAGCATCGTAAGGAGATGCAGTCCCATGGTAGCCGGTGACCAACGATTGGTTCATACGCCATTTGTTCCCGCAGGATACTGGAGCCCATGTGCACCATTGATTTGGAATCCGGTTAAAGCGCCGGACATTCGCTTTTCGTCCTCTCATTTTCGTAAACAACACCCCCGCCACGAGAAGGCAATGAGTAGGACTTCCCTGGCAGAGGCTGTATACGCGTGGCCGTGTGAGAGTATTTCGAGAGGGAGAGCGGACTTTCCCCACTCTCGGCCGTACCAGGGCATTCAGGGGGCACATATTTAGGGAGAGTATAGATCAATGGTATACTCGAACGGTCGCACAATATGACAATATATGTAATCGATCCATTAGTGACAAAATTTTTAATCTAACTACTTAATTGTTAATTGTTTTGTTTAATCTAGGTTAATGTAAACTCCATCTCCTCAGTAACATAGTGCAATAGCGTCATTTTCTTAAGAATGTCTTTATACTACGTGATTAGAGTAAAACGAACTCCACTGTTTTTGGTTCTTTTTTTTGTCTGAAATGAAATTCGAAGTTTTAACATTCACACATCAAACAGAGTCAACAATGTTCACTTTTCAAGTGGCCTTTGACTAGAATAGTATAATCGTCCAGTGTCCTTAGTTTTCAGTTGTTGTTCAGCTAAGAAAATTGTATTTAAAATAATATTTTCTAAGAAACAATGTGGTCGAAAAAACTAGATAATAATTATTTTATCTTACTAATGGGAAACAACTGCGACTTATCTCTACTGATTTTACTTTTCATTTGATTAGAGCTATCTTAAAGATGGGTACTGCAGAGGATTTTGTTCGCAGTCGCATCCTACCGTTTTTTGTTAATGCGGCTGATGATTTATGCGTTGTAGTTAGAAATCTTGATGCTAGTCGATATTCACATGTGAAAGTAAGTAAATATTTATGTTTACTAATAGACCATAAAGATTTGTCGTTTTTAGTTCATTTAAATGTCTGTTGAAAACAATAGATTCCTGCAAAATATATATCTTTAGACATTGCTTTTTTAATGTTCTATTTTTGAAGTTACTTTTCTGTGTACAGAATAAAGTTGATGATTGTATAGGATGTCATTGCAGAGTTAAAATATATGCGAGGTTTTTTCTCTCGACATAATATAGTAGGGTAACTCAGAACCGTGATCTATTTTTTGTCCGAATGCTCTTTACAGGTATAAATAGTTTATTTAAAATAAGTTCGTTCATAAATGTTTTCTGAAATCATAAATTCAATGGTTACTCCTGAGTATCCAAATCACATATTTACTTGCTAACCTACGTACTTAAGCATGTTACGCATCTATGGGCATGAGCTGTTGTCCAAGATTTTTTTCTTATGTGAGTTTTCGTAGCGGATTGTTTCTACAAGATGCGGTTGTTGACCTTCCACCTAACTCTCCTACTTTACCTGATAATAGAAACGGCAGTAGTCATAGAGAAGCTGTAGGTGAAGTAACCCAAAATCACGTTCATATAACTAAATTATGTATAAATTTAAAAAACTACATTTTAACATGAAGTGACATATTTGCTAATGTGAGATGGGGTTAAAAAAGAGAGGTCTTAATACATTCCATAAACAACTTCATCGTCCTAGACTATCTTATGAAATCTTTTACAAATTTTAGATGTTTAAATATTCAAGAGCTTTTCATTGTTTCACAATTAACCCAGAGCAACTATATAGTAGTATTTGTCCCGGAGGTTAGGGGCAGCCAAGATAAAACGTAGAATCAGTCCCTCAAGTCGTTAACAGATAAAATGAGGCACGTAGGTAGGTACAGACTAATCGGTAGGTGTATTTGTCATTATCGTAATCAGTGTTTAGGGATGTTTTGGTGACATAACTCATAATCGATCTCACTGGCTCAGATACATTCACCAGTTGTCTCCCCTTAGGTCCTTGGTCTCGAAGTCCTCATATGCTTCTCTTTTTATTTTTGGATCTAATCTTTTCTTCTTCTTCTTCTTCTTCTACTACTACTACTACTACTGCCACTACTACTGATGGTATTACTATTTCTACTGCTGTGGAATTTCTCTGGATAATTTTATCACGGTATGCTAAGGTGATGCAATAACTTTGACCGATGAACTGATGTGCCAGGTTCTGTGGTGCACACGACTGACAGGTTTTTAATTTTCTAAACTCAATTTAACCTTTTACTGCAATAATTAACTATTTAGAGGTGACTTAGTTTTGTTCAGATTTTGGTGACAATAAACTTTATGAGTAATAGGTTAATGGGAATCACTGCTCTATTAAAACTTTTTAAATACGTTTTACAGTATCTTACAACTAATCTTTAATAAGTGTTCTATTTGTTTATATAGAATCTACAAATAAATACATAAGTGCGGTAATCAATATGCTGTTTGCCTTTTTTCCTAATTGATAAACAGGGTACAATTAAACGTGGCGCATGTTCAGTAGATTATATTCACATGGTATTATTACCTGTACTGAAATCAATGTTTGAACATTTGGGCAAAAACGAATGTGGCGAATATCTGCTAGGTAATAATGATGGTTTTATGTTCATCTGGATATTATTATTATAAAACAAAAGTAACGTAAATTTTGGGTGTTCACTACTAATAAATCATATACTTGGACGAAATGGCTGTCCAATGCATCTTGGTTTTTAACTGCTCTCTAACTCTGATCAGTCCGTGATGCTAAATATGGAAATTGAAGAATCTCCACGAACACATTTATATTAATAATAATCATCTGCTTACTAGTGGCTAACTTCGAGATGCAACCGCAGGAGTTCTAGTGAGAAGTCGTGACAAGAAGAGTTCATCCATATCGATCGTGAGACAGTTATCCATTTTAAACAATGTTAGGTGTTAACGCAACATTGAGACTTGATTACAGTTAGACATTTACACTATTTAACCCAAAGCTTAAGAACTCTCCATGAGACGAGAGCCCCTGGGGTGAGTCGTGGGTGCCCACTGCTGAGGATTTATGTACTATAATTAAACAGTCATTTAGTGCTTCTTGGTTTTCACTGGTTGTCTAACTAAGATCGTTCAGTTATGTAAACTATGAGAATTCAGTAATTTCCACAAACTTCCTCTATACCGAAAATAAATGCTTAATTCAACAACAACAAAACACATAAACAATTACACATAATGAATTGTTGTAATTGTTTACAAACAAATGAACCAGCTTCTTTGAAGTTATTTAGACGACAGACAGTATTTTATGCATTTACTGTTATTCTACAAGGTATTTTTCAAATAAAATGAAGTAATCTACGAATATATTGGTTGTTTGGATCTTTCCATTAATGTTAAAAATTCCAATTGACCAGTCTCTTATAGGCATATGTGTATCCTGTGCGGATTGCTTCGAAATAGCCTTAATTCACAATCATTATGAGCAGAGATGAATGGTGACTATCCCTGGAAATCCGAACGCTCGTTTCGTCCTATTTCGGACTCGTAAGCTGTATGTTCCTACATCCCAGAGTTGTTATTCATTGCAGAACCCAGTACTATTTGGATAAAGCAATGGTGTTTAAAGCGGACAGTACTGAGTTCGAATTTCGGGGCGAATATCAACTCCGATATACAGATGCACACAGATGAACAGTCACAAATAAGATGAAATGCATGTAGTGGATTCCACTGTTAGCCACCATCCATCTCTGTTTATATTTTTTGAGTGGCTTATTTAAAATAGGACTCGCCTTTCTTGAATATTATTGCTAATCAGAAACTACCTTCCACAACTTTTCTACCGTACTCAGTCTTAAAATTTGTTTCTTTAGTCCTTTATTGTTGTGAATGTATCACGTCTTCTGTTACAGTTTGACATTTATACTTTATTTATGTTTAACTTATTCAGTAGTAGGAGAGAGCGCGTGCAGAGCGAATGTTGGTGAATATGTTTTGTAAAACGTACGTGAATAAATGTGATAAATAATGGAAACCGATCAACAAACAGCTCATCACTCATAAATGACTCACATTTATGGGCAATTTATTTTGATTTTAGCCTAAAATGTAGCATCGTATACTTGTTAATATAAACGGCCTAAACTAGTGTAAAATTCTCGCTTCATAATTTACAATCCCTTCGATGAGTCTTCCCTTCTAACTAAAAATGTCAACTCTATTTATTTCCATTCTTTTCCATCTAGTGGGTAATGTCCAAGTCACGTGTTACCGAATACTCAACGCTTTATATAAACTAGGTACTACATCATCGAAACACGCAAATCGGTGAGTCTGTGTATTGAAGTTATTTTCTTAAAAAAATTATGTTACCTAGCTGAAGTTCAGTTTAGATGAATTATTAGACTTTAATAATTTATCGTGCCATATCAATAATTCATTGAAGTTGAAAATTCGATAGGCTGAATTCTGGTTCAGTGATTTCAGTACAACGCTCTGCCACGAAACCGAATGTTTCGGGTTCGATCTACAGTATGGTCTTGGGTGTAGAACCTTATACTGTTCACTGCTGCCTAATTGTCACCGACGTTTCAGTCTAAGTCAACCTGTGAACAGAACTTTCTATATATTATGAATCTTGTTCGTTATTTTTCCGAAACATGATATGACTGTAAATCCTAAATGAATATCTCCATCGTGTTACTTATTTCATTTTGAAAATTTATTAACGCTCATTACTCTCCAGCAAAGTGAAAGGAGTAAATAAACGGCAATTTATTTAGAATGGTATTAGTCATCATTCTTTCGTTTTATGCAGAAATATTTGTGCAACACTTCATAACTTGTGATCATGGTGTTTCTCGCGGTTGTTATAAATTATCTTGTAGATAAATTTTAGCATACCTTCCAACCGAATACAACGTCAACAGAAAAAGTTGTTAGTCAGTTCTGAGGAGATTCTGATAGCTTGGTTCTCTCTAATCACATTGTCCGGGAGAACGACGACAGACTCACAACTAGGTCGTTCAGACCAGAGTAAACAAAACGTCAAGTACCCTCATTCCAAGCTACAAACACTTTATCATTCCGAAACTTGTAAATAACTAGTTTAAACCAAACTGATGCACAAGTTTTCTTACGACTTTAACCATTATCTCTGTAAAACTACATATTTTTTCGTATTTGATTATAATCATTTTCGCAATCGAAAAAACTTAATAGAAGCTTTTTATGTTCAAAGAGAGAAATACTCTGAAGTTGCCAACTAATATATATATATATATATATATAATTACGTGGTCTTAATTATCTCACTTGTTGGTAACGTCAGAGCCAATTTCATGAATCAGTGAGCTTTCCCGTTATTCCACAACTGCTATATAACTTTGTTCTAGTTACATTATTTGTCGTCAGCTTTCTATGTAGTTTTTATTGTCTTTGTTTATCCCTTACATTCACTTTCACTATATTCGTCAGCTGACCTCTGGCTTTGTGATAAATGAACACTTTCCATATATAAAAATATGTATACAGCTACCAAGCCAATCAAAAAGTCTTGGTTTATTCATCAGCAAGTTTACTAATTACCGTCAATGAATAACGGTAAAATCACCAATATTCTTAATATAAGCTCCATAGTTAACTTTTTGACGAGAAGTTATTAAAAAGAATAAACAGTTTCTTTTCGTCATCTTTGCATGAAATCATTCATATTAATGTAATTTACAATAATCACTATTTATTTTGTTCCTTCCTTTTTTGTTTTGAAAAAATACCATAGTCAAAGCTTTGTTGATGAACTAAATAGGTAAGTTGTTTTCATTTCATATTTAATCAACTCACTGTTTGTATTCATTTAGTAAGTCAGAATAAATTTCCCAGTATAAATATGTTGTTGGACAAACTTGAGATCAAACCGGTCCAATCAATTAGAAGGCAGAAAATATGACTGATTAATTTATACTAGAAAATGAGGGAATTTGTTAAGAAAACTCTGGTATTATATGATTAATCATCTTTCTAAGTTAGCTATTTGTTTTTAAGATAGGAGTTAGGATCAAGGTTCAGAATTAGTCTATGTATACCATAACTCTAAACCTTAACTCTAATTCTGACTTAGTTTTAATCATAAACCGAATCCTGTCCTTAATCCTAGCCTTTGAAAAAGTGCTGTGAAAGAATACTTCTATAAACTCGTTCGTAATCGTTTTATTCTCACGGTCACAAGCGAATCTTTATTTTAGAAAATATAAAACTCTGTAAGCTCTAAATGATGTTTCATTCATTAACCGTCGATATCTAACATGTCGGTTTGATATATGGGTCATGAACTTGAGGTCAGTTTTTTTAACATAACTGGCTCAACAGTTTACTTTATGTTAACCAGTTAGTCTGATACATTGTCGATTAGTATCATAACTTGAGAATGATGTAAACAAAACTGTATTCAGTTTTTATCATTGTCACCCCCCCCCCAATATTTAAAGATATACATGTTAATTAATTTTATATTCGGATGTTTTCACTTTAAAAAGGGGTTCGTTTCTCATCTGGAAAACCACAATCCATTGATCGTTTGAACTTCATCGTTTATATATTTTTTATGGAATATTTCTTGTTAATCGTGCAATGAAATACGAGAATAAAAACTGTCTTCTCTTTTCTTTTCATGGGTTAAAGAAGTTTTATTATTATTATTATTCCTTTTTAAGATAATCGATACTTTTAATGATAATAAATTATTATTTTGTTCATTGAACAATTATAAGCAACTAATAAATTGCTTGGTTTTTCATGGAATACTTAAAATAGCTTTCGAAAATATCAGTTAAATGTCACGCTTTATACGACTCCAACATTATAGATATATAAAATAGAACAATAGGATTTTAGTAATTTATACTGACATATATTAATGCTTCAAAAAAGATATCTCTTTACATTCAGACTGGAAGCTGTTGGAAATACAAATCTTAAAGAAATATTTCACTTTTTTGTGTAAATAATATCAATTTTCGGTAAATATTTACTTTACAATTGTCATTCATCATATTAGATTTACTGTCTTTGTTATTATTATAGTATATTTCACACACACAAACTCTTCTGTATTTTTCAGACATAGAGCTTTAATTGGTGATTGCCTTGCTGCACTTGCATCTGCATTCCCTGTAGCTTTTCTAGAGGCTAATTTAAATTCTAATAATCCTCTTTCAATTACATTCAATAATCGTGGTGGTGATTATAGTCTTGAAGCTAGAGGTTAGTGATTCATTGCTGTAAATCTATTTTGTGTAAATAAAGGATGTATTAACCAATTTGTAGACTCACATGCACAGGTGAATTTAAGACATAACTACAGTTGTATCTCTATTTGATATCAATCATTTATCCATATGTGTTTCATCTTACGATTGTAATTAGATAACTAAGGGAGATGTGTTTTCAAGTGAAGCTTTTTCAAGGAAGGAAATTTACGGAAACCGACGAACTATGGCTGTTATCCTATTAACCAACTATATGAGATATTTAGCTAAAATGTTTTTATCGAATCCTTGATATTCCATAAAGGGTGTTCGGATACAGGTGGAGCTGAAAGTAATAAATCACATTCAGTAAAATACCACAAAATAATTTCACTACTTGTTTAGCGATCCATATGACTCAACAAATTTCTGATCCCTGAATTTTTTTAGATCGTGTGTATTTGTTGACTTAAAATGCATTTAATCACACGATATCAGAAGTCAAGTTTGAGTGTATTCAAAATTCAGATGTGTTCATACATTCGTTCTTGAAGACATAGTAAGAGTAGTGAAAATATTTGATTCCGATTATAACTCTGTGCTGAAAAACACCGGACTATTTCGTGTCTCAGTTCCGGTATACAACATATAATAGATAAAATAAATAGGTACAGGTGCACACTGACATTACTTACACTTAAAAACGTATGGTATCAACAAGGATAAATACCTAAAATTGAACAAAAAATTATTATATCAAGAATAACTCATTTATCACATCCGAATTATTATTATCTTCAACGTAACAATAAATTTCATTAAATCGCTTCCTTTTATGACTGAATAAAGCCAGAACAAAAGTTGAGGCAGAATAATACGAATTCACTGTATTTCGTGGTTCCTCATCCACTGCTTACAACGAATATCATCAAACTCACGGCCATTTTTGTACAATGATATGTTTATTGAAAGATAACATTGAAGTATGATATAAAAACAATTGACATAGATAACGAAAAGAATTAGAATGACAATGATTATCAATAATAACTACATACTGATATGTACAAGAACAAGTTAGAAGTTATTTAATGCTGGAATTTAAAAACATGAGAGGTGGGTGATGCAGTAATTAAATAAGATCCGGGGATAGATAAGATAGATTGTGCGATATAGTTTTAGAGGGTAGGAAGACTTTATTTAGCATTATTAGGATTAGAAATTGATAAGACGGGTTATGTGATAATTGGACAGGATTCGAAGAGTTTACATAAGTTAAGAGGATTAAGTGAGTGAAAAGGATGGTTTTGGTGTACATAAAATAAGAAATAGTCAGGGAAAGACCGCATAACAAAATAAACACTAATAAAATAATGATTACGACAAAATAACTAAACAAGGTAGTGATAAGTTTATTATTGTCTCTTTGTGAACATATAAATCAGGTTTGCGTTTTTTACTACTATTGCCTTGGCGAACCTGAGAGACATTGGGTTTTTTGCCTCCTAATAATTTTGAAGGCTTGTGGAATGTCCACAATATGCCCGGCGTCAATTAAATGCCGAGTTTTAGCACTGTTTAAAGCTGCTGCACCTCTCAGTCTCAAATCCTTTGAAATGTGCTCAGAAATGTGAACATGAATTCACATATGCGTATACAAAGCATTTAATTCTTACTGTTCGCAGTGTTGGGTCATAACTGCAGTAATCTATCATCTAATATGTCTCCTGTAATTGGAAGAGATGATTGTACAGTTTATGCTTCAAATGTGGCTTATATACTACTAAAAAGACTCTTAGTCCAGGAAGTATGTCATGTAATATATGAGTCCAACTGTACAAATGAAGTCAAATATTGAGAAAAAGATATCAAGTGATAAACCTTAAGTGGAAGCTTTACCGTCTAACTGATCGTACTTCCAGATAACATCATTAATATTGCTAAAGCTTCATTACAAAGTAAGCGGTTAAGAAACTATGCTCAATTTTTTGGACATTCTGAAATTTCCATTTGTCTACACTCTAGTAAGAGTATTCTAGTATACTCTGTTCTCTATGATCTTTGATTTGTTTCAGTGTCACCAACTGTTTCTAAATTTCATCAATGTCTTACACACATGGAGCCAGTAGTTATCATTGAAACTTGTAAAATGTCATTACAAGTTTCAGAAATCGCTTTTCAAACTATATGTGCAGTACTAATACCAAATCAAAGAAAAGATCTCGCTAACAAAACCTTAAGGTTTCATCCCGTAATTATGTACTGTGTTTCTGAGAGCAGTGAATTTAGAGATGATAAATAGCAGCGTTTCACGTAAGACTTATAAAAAATCATGGTGTTATGGATAGACAGCCTATAATTTTTATTGTTATACAGTTTCTAATTAGTAAAAACTCTTGATTTATTTGAAACAATATTTCCTAAAATATTTGGTTACATACAATTGATTAATGTTTATTCCATTTTAGATGTACTTGAAAAACTTTCTAAAACAATTGGTGATCTACAAAGCATCATTAAGCAAGTGGAACTTTTAGCCGAATCTGGAGCAACTGGTGCTTCTGAAGCGCCATATCTTATTGAGGTTACTTTACCTATGCTTTGTTCATATTTACCTAACTGGTGGCGTAAAGGACCTGAATGTATGAATTTAACTTCTTGTAATGATGGTTCCAATGAAGGTGGAATAGGACAAGACAATAAAACTGGTAATTTAGTACCTAAAACAAAAGGAAATACCTTTCTAGCTAGTGCAACTGGACCTTTAACAACTGTTACAGCTGATCTAATGAATCGAGTTCTTGGCAGTGTATTGCAATTAATTCAAACAAACATTGACTCATCACATGCACCTTGGATGACAAGAATAGCCAGTAATTATCTTCTTAGTTTTAAAAATTAGTCATGTTTTTAAAATGTTTTTTAAAGAGAAATTTAACCATTTCAGTATACCTGTTGGGGACGATAGATCCCCAAACTCATATTTTAAAATTTATCTTATCGATCATCTTATTGATTAAATGTTAGATATTTTTATTGGGGTCAATTGGTGAACTAATCGATTAAATGTTTGAATAGCAGTCAATGGATGAACTATCGATTAAATGCGCAAATAGGTCAATTAATGAACTCATTGATTAATGTTTAAAAATTTTCTATCGATTGTAAATAATTGTATAAATACGCTTGACTTGTATGCTTGATCTGATCTGCCTGCCTGACTTGTTATCTGCTGTTTGTCTGTAGAATACACTTCTACACCTTACCCAGACTTTTTGATCGAGTCAGCAGAGTTGGGGACAACGGACCAGAATAGTCTATCGAGTCGCTGAATCATTGATCCTTCGTTCGTTCGTTCGAGTAAGACGCATCAGTAATCGCATTCAAACAATAACGAAACATAACAAATTGGCGACGGTGGTTTTTCGATTATGGACCCTGCAAAACTTGAACTGTTACTTGAGCAGCAGCTAAAATTGATGCAAATGTTAATGGAGACCAAGGTTACGCCTCCCTTACAGCCAAGCTCGTCTAGTTCAACCACGGCACCATCAGTAGATGGCATCGCAAATAGCATAGCTGAATTTCATTACGATCCTGATTCTAATGTTACTTTTGAGATGTGGTTCAGGCGTTATGAAGATCTATTTAAATTTGATTTCGCCAATCAAGATGATGCTTGGAAAGTGCGGCTGCTACTTCGTAAACTGGGTGCAAATGAGCTGGACAAGTATTGCAATCTGATCTTGCCGTTGAACCCACGTGATCGATCATTTGCAGACACAGTTCAAACATTAATCCAACAATTTGGCGATAACTCGTCATTGTTTAATACTCGTTATCGTTGCTTGAAGCTGACCATGAACGAAGATGATGATTTTCTTACGCATGTGGGCGTCGTCAACCGTGAATGCGAACGCTTCCGGTTAAAGTCCTTGACTGAAGATCAGTTTAAAGCCCTGATCCTCATTTGCAGCCTACAGCACCAAAAGTTCAGTGACTTACGAACAAGGCTACTAAGTCGTTTGGATCAAGAACCGAAACTCACCCTGAGTGATATAGCTAATGAATATCAACGTCTCATTAATCTTCAACGAGACACTTCTATGGTCCAGAGTGGTGGTTCTAGCCGATTTGAAGTACGAGCGGTGCAACAGACACCTCACAAAAACAAACACGTCCCCGCTTCATCCAGTCCATCTCACTCCAGCTCTAGACGACAGACTAAAGCAACTCCTCCTGCTCCTTGCTGGCAATGTGGTGCATGGCACTACGTTCGAAACTGCCCATTTAATCAACATCGATGCAAGAAGTGTAAGGTTATTGGCCATAAGGATGGGTTTTGTCTGACGAAGAAGACTCCAAGTCAATCAAGAAATACCAAAAAGACCTGTCCTAGATCCCGCACCAGTTCATTGAGCTTAGTATCTTCGTGTCAAAGCTCATCACGAAGTCAGAGAAAATTTATTACCGTTAACATTAATGGGCACCCATCTAGATTGCAAGTAGACACTGCATCTGATGTAACAATTCTCTCACGAAAATATTGGATCAGAATGGGAAGACCACGCATGGTTCCAACAACACAAAAACCTCGAACTGCATGCGGTAATTACCTACGTTTGTTGGGACAACTAGATTGTAAAGTGTCTTTTCACGATTCGACGTTTACCGGTGTATGTTACATCACACCAGCTGATCTTAATCTACTTGGGTTAGACTGGTTTGACCAGCTACATTTAGCTGACGTTCCTTTAAGCACCGTATGCCATCTGGTGAAACAACCTCATGAGCCTGAAGCATATTCGAAAGAACTAATGACGGAGTTTTCAACCATTTTCCAACCTGTATTGGGTCAGTGCACTGCTATGAAAGCAACACTTCGGTTGAAACCTGGAGCTAAACCTGTCTTTCGTCCAAAAAGACCAGTGCCGTACGCAGCATTATCGAAGTTGACGAAGAACTTAACCGCCTTCAACTACAGGGAGTTATTACACCTGTTTCTTATTCTGCCTGGGCAGCACCCATTGTGGTTATTAAGAAGGCTAATGGCACAATCCGAATATGCGCAGATTTTTCCACAGGTCTTAACGCAGCTCTCGAACAGCATCACTACCCACTGCCAGTCCCTGCAGATTTGTTCACGATGTTAAATGGTGGGAAGTTCTTTGCAAAGCTGGATCTCGCTGATGCTTATCTACAAGTGGAAGTGGCTGAAGATTCGAAAGAGTTACTTACCATAAATACTCATCGTGGCTTGTTTCAGTACAATCGCCTACCATTTGGTGTTAAAACAGCTCCATCTATTTTTCAGCAACTAATGGATACCATTCTATCGGGTATCCCGGGGGTCGCAACTTATCTCGATGATATCTTAATTGTTGCCACATCGTTAGAACAGCTTAGAGAACGCACGAAAGCTGTACTACAACGCATCAGCGATAACGGATTCCGATTACGCCCAGAAAAATGCCAGTTTTTCTTGAAGTCAGTTAAATATTTGGGATTCATCTTTGATGCCGCAGGTCGCAGACCAGATCCGGAAAACATCCGAGCTATAAAACAGATGCCAACTCCCACTAATATCTCTGAGCTACGATCATTCCTGGGACTAATTAGCTACTATTCAGCTTTTGTTCCGTCGATGCATGACATACGCGCCCCGCTAAATCATCTTCTGAATAAGAATACCAGCTGGAATTGGACAAAAGAATGTGAAGCTGCATTTTGCAAGCTGAAAACCATCATTAGCTCTGAACTATTATTGACGCACTACGATCCGTCCATGCCTATCATTGTCGCTGCAGACGCTTCAGCTTTTGGACTCGGTGCTGTCATTTCACATCAGTTCCCGGACGCAACAGAGAAAGCTATTATGCACGCATCTCGCACATTAACTTCAGCAGAAAGAAAGTACAGTCAAATAGAAAAAGAGGCTCTGGCTCTTGTGTTTGCAGTACGCCGTTTCCACAAATTCTTGTACGGTCGAAGATTTACTCTTCTCACTGATCACAAGCCTCTTCTCACAATTTTCGGTTCGAAATCTGGTGTTCCAGCCCATTCTGCAAACCGTCTCCAACGATGGGCTTTGATACTTCTGGGTTATGATTTTGACATTCAGTATCGGCGCACTCAACAGTTTGGTCAGGCTGACGCCTTGTCACGACTTATCAGCGAACACCATACGGCCGGCGAAGATACAGTTATCGCCTCCCTGATGACAGAGGACTACGCGCAGTGCTACCTGACAACTGCTATTCGTGCTTTGCCAGTCTCAGCAGCTGAAATACAATCTGCATCCAAGAACGACTCCATCATAAAGAGAGCGATGAAATACGTCACAAATGGCTGGCCGCCGACTGGACTCGATGGTGACTTGAAACAGCTTTACCATCGTCGGGACTCATTATGCGTCGTAAACGAATGCTTGATGTTTGGAGATAGAGTAGTGGTACCAGAATACCTAAGATCAAAGGTGCTAAAGCAATTCCACACTGGTCATCCTGGTATAAAGCAAATGAAATCCATCGCCAGAAGCTATGCTTATTGACCAACATATCGTGGATTTAGTAAGCAAGTGCACACAATGTCAGCAAGCAGCTAAGTGTAACGCGAAAATACTACCAGTCCCATGGCCACAGCCTGAGTATCCCTGGTCCAGGATACATGTCGATTTCGCAGGCCCAATTAACGGAATCACCTATCTAGTTGTTGTCGACGCCTTTTCGAAATGGCCTGAAATCAACCCTATCATACCGCCAACGACAACTAAAACAATACAGATCCTCACAGAAATTTTCTCTCGAAATGGTATACCAGATGCTATTGTGTCTGACAACGGGTCACAGTTCACCTCCAGCCAATTTCAGTCATTCTGTCAACGACTAGCCATAAAGCACTTACGCTCGCCACCATACCACCCGCAGTCGAATGGGCAAGCAGAAAGGTTTGTGGATACGTTTAAGAGAGCCTTGGCTAAAACAAAGGGGGAGGGGACGCCAGCAGACGCGTTGCAAAATTTCTTATACGTGTATCGAACAACACCAAATGAAACGTTGCCGGAGCGAAAGTCCCCAGCCGAGATCCTAATGGGAAGAAGACTCAAGACAATCCACAGCCTGATGCATCCAAGGAATGCACCGACACCAGTACGGACAAAGTTTGAAAAGCAATCCACGTACGAAGTGGGATGTCCGGTGTTTGCCCGTGATTACAGACCGACCCATAGTCCATGGACAGAAGCGCGAGTGGTCAAAAGAGTTGGCCGAGTCATGTACGAAGTTGAGGTAGGTAGTGACAGGTGGCAACGCCATCGGAACCAGTTACGCAAACGGTTAGCCCCAGACCGCCCATCAACAGAATCAAATATTCCTCTTGACATTCTGCTAGACACATTCAACTTACCGGCAACCCCACCACAAGAAAAACCTCAACAACAAACTGAAACACGTCCAAGACGGTGGCCTATCCGAGAACGGCGAGCAACAATCAGGATGCAGGTTGACCCCAGGAAAGCCCGCTATTAAAAAGGGGAGGAGTGTTGGGGACGATAGATCCCCAAACTCATATTTTAAAATTTATCTTATCGATCATCTTATTGATTAAATGTTAGATATTTTTATTGGGGTCAATTGGTGAACTAATCGATTAAATGTTTGAATAGCAGTCAATGGATGAACTATCGATTAAATGCGCAAATAGGTCAATTAATGAACTCATTGATTAATGTTTAAAAATTTTCTATCGATTGTAAATAATTGTATAAATACGCTTGACTTGTATGCTTGATCTGATCTGCCTGCCTGACTTGTTATCTGCTGTTTGTCTGTAGAATACACTTCTACACCTTACCCAGACTTTTTGATCGAGTCAGCAGAGTTGGGGACAACGGACCAGAATAGTCTATCGAGTCGCTGAATCATTGATCCTTCGTTCGTTCGTTCGAGTAAGACGCATCAGTAATTGCATTCAAACAATAACGAAACATAACAATACCAAACAAAAATAAATTCTTACAATGGCAGGTTTGATTTATTGTACTTTTCAAAGGATGGTATTTTTAAGATTACACAAGAAATTGAAAATAATCATGAGAAAATATCCTATTTTATTGACTCATTGTCTGATGAACAAGTGATTTGGCAAAAATGCTTTCAGTTAAATAGTGATTAATATATAGTAATTATCTGGCAATGCAGTTGTATAAGTAATCAAATTGTAATAGATTTTTTCCTCCTTCTATTATGAAAGAACAACTGTCCAACTTGCTTATTAATCAATTTTCTTCAATTAGTAGTAATGATGGTAGTATTAGTAGCAGTAGTAATAGTAATAGTAGTGATATTATCAAGTGTTCATCTAAAACAATCATAATCTATCATTAAAACAGTCAACAGATCAAAGTTAAATAACCATTGAAACCACTGAGCGGCTTTTCCATTCTAGTATGGGACTCTTAGTCAGAGGGCATTCACGACCTCGCAATCAGTGAACGCTTAACCTCTAGACCACTGAGTCGGGATTCAGTGATACACAAACCTGACTTCAATCATTTAGGCGTTTGTGCATGAAGTCGAAGGTTCTGTGTTCGATTCCCGTTTGAGGCGTCGTGAGTGTGCCCTTTTGGATCGTCCCATGCTAGAATGAAACGACCTTCTAGTGCTTCTAGGTTTATAATGGTTGTCTAACGTTTACCGGTTGATAATTTCAATGAAATCCAGCAATCCCAAAAACTTCATACTGACGAAAAGTAGTATAATTTGCTCTATTGACTACACTATAGACAACTTTAATTATTATGAGCCACAGACCTACAGTGCTGAACAAATTTAACTAACTTAGTGAAATGGGTGACTACTTTTAAAGACTACAACTGTCACCACTGCTCTTTGAATAAACTAGAGTAACAGACTATGTTAGATTTTACGGACAGCGTTTTATGTGAAGCATGTCAGAAAGAATCAGTTTGCGAAAATCAATCGAATTATTCAGGTTGAGAATCAATTCATTCCATGGATTCCCGCGACACTGATTGAATTCAGTTGTCGGACATGAACTTTTCACATTTGATATATCTTAAATTCACCCCTTTCCATAACCGACTCCATTTTAAAGATAAAAAACGCACTATAGGATGAAAACACTAATTGTATTTATTAATTACAATCCAATATCTTCGTGATGTTGCAGAGTATGGAAGTCATTTTATGTACAAAACAAATAGTGATTTTGAAAATGAACATTGATGTGTATTATCAATTAATTTATTTGATGTATACTTCATTTCCCGTTCTTTTTCACAGCGCGTACTCAACCCATTGTAGCTAATTCTACAGCTGATATGCTTGGTCAATATTTTTTGCCAGTATCTGAAAGGCTACTTGAACATGCTTTGATTGTTGAAAGAGTAGAAGAGGCGTATAGAGCGGAAAAACGTGCAGGTATGCAAGAATAGTGAAAAGTTTCATAAACGATACTTAATAGTAACTTACAGATTATAATATAAAGATGTTATCTTACTATATAAGTTGTATAAAGTTCCACTCCAAAAGTGCATTTCATTAAAAAACCGATTTAAGTATTTTTGTTGGTTGCCCGGTTAGACTTACTGTTTCGTAATAATATTTATTACTCAGAAATAATAGGTGGAAAATATGCGAGTGATGAAGGACTCACTAATGAAGAGCTATAAGCATCATACAAATTACATCTCGAAAACACATATCAAGATGTCTCTTCACTATTGTTTTTGACGTGTAAATTTTGAGGATGATTTTTTACATAGTTCGATTTAATTCAGATAGTTGGCCATCATTATGTATCTGTTTAGCTTTTATTTGGCTTTTCTTTGAAGAATATAAGTACAAGTATCCCTAAAATCTTGCTGGAGGCATCAGGACTCTATATGGGATGATAATAATATCTTAAACTTAATGTAATGACCATACTTATATCTTAAAGTTTACTGATCACACGATGTATTGTCCCTTGCTGTTTGAAATATTGATCGATAAAAGTAAACTGTACTGATGCCCTTAGATGGACCAATCAAAACTAAGGTAGCCCTTCGTATACTTATGAACGGAATCAAAAACATAATGTTAAACAGATTGTATGTTGAGATTGATTAGGTAAAAGGTGGCAATATTTGTTTCCTAACAGCTTGAAATCGATAAAAGGTATTTACTATGCCGTGAATATGATGTGATCCTTAAGCCAGATTACAAAAAATACCTACTGCTGGGACAGATTTGAATACACATATGCATTGAAGTACTTGATGTGATTCAGGACATAGTCAAGAGTGTTTGTATAGCTAGGTAGTTTTCTGCCTCTCTAAATCTCAACCCCAAAGTTTACAAACAAAATGGTGGTAAAGTACCAGTGTATTACATCTGATGTCATTTCGTGATGAACACCCTAAACCTAATTCATAATCCTAACACAGGTACAAGTTAACTTCTATTACATAACCCTAGCCATTTTCCATTATACCCGATGTCAGTTGGTGATGAAAACTCTATAGGATTATAACCATAACTCACAAAACTAGCCCAACTCCTGATTTGTGAACCTAATATTTTTCTTTCACTATAATGTAAGAGTCAATCAGTCATTTTAAAACAACTATTCCTCTGCAATTTTATTATTTTTCATTGTTAGTTTTTTCATACTTAACGTTTCCCTGATTGTTTGATAGGTCGCTTGAAGCTGTCCGTATAGTACGCTTTTACCTAATAATTCTTAGTCATCACAGATTATCGTTTTTGCCCTTGATAATACCTAGCTAATTATCGAAGCATTTCAACTGTTAAATTAATATTATGAAAGTTTCAGAATGCTTTAAGGAGGTGTAGTGGAATATCTTCGCTATATTCCCAATAATTCGTATATTAATTGCTCTGATAACAGCTATTACAGTGATTCTACAACGGTGCATAAATTTAAAAACATAATAAGAATTAATGACTATTTTATTTTCACACAGCACAGAATGAACGACCAACAAGCACACGAAGAGAACAGGAATATGAATTAATAAGTAAATGAATAGAAAATAAAAAGCACGTTATATATTACTATGTGATCTGATTGTCACGCGATTTGAGTAACTAATATTTAAGCTAAAAGAGGAGTATGTATGTGGTCTGGGATAAATGAATTATCATATATGATCATATAAACTTGTGAATAATAGTGTAAAGATTTAAATAAGTTGATACCGCTATAAATAACAGTATTTGTTAAATGTTAGTTAAATAGCTTAATACATTTAGACACAAACAGACTCAAGTGTAGGTGAGACTGTTATAGAAGTTTTGGTGTTATTTATTTCTATAAAATCTCAAAATAAGAGAAAATATCAATGAAATAGGCTCTGATATTTGGGTGTTTGTAAATGAGTACTTAGAAATCCAAATACGTTTATGTTAAATATATTTTTCTTACAATTTCTCAGGTTCTGAAAGTGTCGGTGAACGTGAAGAAGAACTATCACGTTTAGTTGAAATACTAGTACGAAATTTATTTGCGTTCTATCCCCTTCTAATAAAATTTGTTGATCGTCATCGAAGTGCTTGGTTGAAAAAGCCGACGTATGAAACGCAACGTTTATTCTCAGCTGTTGCAAGGATGTTTTTAGTATGGATCAGAGCAACGGTAAGTTAAAGAGCTCTACAGTCTACAATATGATGTACTGTTGATTTGGTCCAATAATTAAACATAAATTCTAAAGAATCCTCAGCTAAAAGTACCTTAAACTAATTCTATTACAGCTAAAGAAGCTTTCTGAGCATTGAAGCACAATGACCAAGTTATAAGTAAAACCTTGAAAAAAGAGATTTGTATGAAAATTTGATACAAAAACACTAAAAATCTACAGACCATTAACTATCAGATGTTCGGGAGTCAGTTACGCTATAGAAAGTACAATTACAGAAGTGTATCCTATAAATAATTGAGAAAGAACGAAATTGGGATGTGAATTTCAGATCTTAAAATAGCACATCTCCTGTGACAAGGTGGAATATCCGAGATTTATGAATGAAAATTAAGCGCTGTTCTGAAGTTTGGCAAACGGTCTGGAACGAACTAGACTTAATATAATAAAGTGGATAGACCGTTCACTAGATCTTTAAATTTTTTCCCTGATCATTGTCTTTGAGATAACAATAGCTCCTTTAACTTCTCACGTTAATACAAATTTTGTTGGTCACAACTAATCTTCGTACTTATAAGCTTGTAAGAATAAAACATTGAACTCCAATAAACGTCATATTCCAGTAGTAAACAACTTAGAAACTCGCATAATTGTGTGTCTATCATAGTTGGTTTATTTCAAATCAGTGCATTCGGAAAAAATGAAAGCAAAATAATCGTATCAACGATTGTAGAAACCAACCTGCGAATATTTTTTGAAAAGAACCAATTCAATCTAAAACAGTGAAGCGTGAAATAATATCACAACTATAAATTAAAAAAAAAACTTATTGTGTTTGAGCCACCTCAACTAATTTCGGGTCAAGATTATGAAGATTTCTCTGATGAAGAAATGAACACATATCCTCACTCTCCAGTCTCGAAGTTAATGACTTAGTAGTTCTATTAACTAAGAAATTGTATAAGAACGTAATTATAAGGAGTTATCTCTTGATCTCACTGAATTATATTTATAATGAATACTTAAGTTAAATGCCAGTAAGTAGTTGATTTTTCCTGGTTAAATTAGTTTAGAATTAGGAACTGTCCCAAATCCTGATTGGCTCATGTGTACAAACAGATGAAGACATTTTTTACAATAATGTTAATTCAACTTAGTTCACTTTTTTTTCAGACAACATCGAAAGTGTTGAATAATAATAATAATAATAATAATAATAATAATAATAATAATAATAATAATAATAATGGTAATAAAATCAACCTTAAGACAATAAATAATGGAGAGATTGATCAATCAACGAAATACACAGCATGAATATTTTGACAGCATACACTGTCACTCTTGGGATTTGGTTAGTTAAAAAGAAGATAAAACATCGGAAAAATTCAAGTATTTCCTAGCCAAAAGAAAATACACACAAAAAATGAAAAGAATGAGGGTTCTGGTGAACTAATCTTACTTTTCTAGTCATTTGTTTCTTTTATTTCTTTGTTTCCTGACTAAACAGATCTATTCTTAATCATAATATAAAATCATTCAAATAATAATTCATTTTTACCACCCGAATTCAATAATCTAGAATAACTAATTTACTGTTTTTTATTTGGAACCTAATTGTATAGAAATTTAAACGTGAAGAAGAGAATTTTGTAAGCGCTCATGAAATTGATCGGTTATCATTGATTGTGCCAAGTGGGGGAAATTTAACACCAGGTATAAATCGAAGTCGAACTCACACAAATGGACGTAATGAATCAAGTAGTTTGAAAAATGGTATGTTTAACAGACATAGATGAAAAAAGCAGTTTATTATTTTTGATATGGAGACCCAATTAGAAGTAGCCCAGTGAAAAGGATAGTCAATGACAATCAGAAGTCACCTAAAGGTCAGATGGATTTCATTCGATAATCAAATACGTTTTCTCGCCCACTTTTGTGTCCCCGCTCAAGTAGTCAGTTGGGGGGGGTTAGTGCATAGCATATCGTATATAAGATTTCTGACACTGTAGGTCACAATAATTTTTTTTAAAAAGCAAATGTTGACAAGACATCAATTGCTTCATCATGTAAAGAAAAGAATAATTCTGAAACAGGATTTTGGGAATTCAACTATTTAACATTGAGTAACAATAGTGTTAAACTAAGTGGAACTGTTATTGAATGGATTATTGTGTCTCGTGTCTGTAGACTGATAATGAATTCTTATGCGTAATTATTTATTTTAGCATTGATAATAAAGCTAAATCATAGATTTCCATTTAGCTATTGATGCTTTGAATCGAGTGTAAAAGATTGTTTTGTGATGGTGTAATCAAAAGATAAACATATTGATTGAGCTAGTTTAAGCATTACTGAATTGTTAAACTTATCATTAAGATTTTGTAAATTAATAACATACAAGAGTCATTCGTCACAGTCATTTTGTTGATTCACAGTGACAATAAAGTTACATTAATCTAACATTTATTAGTAGTTTATTTCCTATTATACTACTAATGATAATTGTATAACATGTAGTTGAGTTTAGCTAATCAGGTAGAATATATTTGTGTAATCAAACAATTTAGATGAATGGTGAATATCTATTGTCCATACTTGGTATACGAATTAAATCATACCATATTATACAAATAAGGATTGAACGTTTTCTATGTACTAAATATTAAAGATTTCAAATGTTCATTCAACCACATGATTCCGTACACATTCATTAAATTAAAAACATATTTTTTTCATACACATAGTTCCCTTGATTATTTTTAAGAGAGCAAGAACAAAGGTTAGTGCAGAACAATATGAATTCATTTTATTTCGTTAGGTTCTCATCAGCTGCTTACAACCTAAAGTATTTGAAATTCAAAGTTATTATAGATATTGACATACTTATACAACAGAGGGCGATGAAGGATGAATATATGTGACATAATGTAGCAAACATTTCGTTAGAGTTAATGAGGTCATAAAATTTTTGTTTCGAATATATAGAGTTTGCGAGGGAAAGTTCCAGAAAATTGAGATAATGGTTAGAAATAATAGAATTAAAACACATTAGACGATTATGTAATGAAGTAACTGAAAATAGATTAATGTTAATAAAGAGAGATATGAATTGAAATTGGTCAGTTACGAATGATGTAATTCTAAAATTCAGAAAGAGTTGGAATGACGTAATAAAAATAAATAAAAATAAAAGGGGGTGGGGTGAAGATTTATTACTGTTTCTTTTTTTCAATATGACAAGTTTTTTTAATACTTAGATTGATAGAAATAATGAATACAATTATAACAAATGTTGACAAAATTAAATTAAAATGCTAAATAATCAAATCCAAACACTTCATACTGGTTATTAGTTATTCATTTATGTTAAAAACTAACTTGATATTTAAATTTATCTATCGTAACACATTCCATTAAGTATAAACTCTGAAGGTTTTTTTGTCGCGAATCATCGTTGTACATTGAATGAAGTTTATGGGATGTAAGATTGAAGGATCATAATCTAAAGGCATTAAACTAATGTCATGACTCGAAAGTCTTGAGTTTTTTATCACATAGTTTTGTTAGTCCTTAATAGTGATTGATTTATAAATAATAACGAAATAGCTATTTAATACTTCATAGTTTTCAATGGTAATATTTACTTATTATCAATATGTTAGACGAAACTATACTTATTAGGCTATAAATGCTTCGTAAAAATAGTTTATTGATATTTTAAAAGGTATTTATCGGGTTTGAGATTGCTTAGTTCTGTAGTATAACAGACAAGGTATTTGTGATTAATTTAGATAGTCACTCTTGTGTGTATTTTATACTCTTTCTATGCTGATAATGTCTCAGTTGATTGAATTATTATTCGGATAATTAAATTCATAATTGCCCAGAATATAGATTATCCATGAAGTTGATGTAGAAAGAAATTAACGATTTAGATGGGCAATTTGTAAGTTACATGAATAAGTGTGTATTAGAAATGTTCACAAAAATCCACTAATTTTATAATACAAACAACAGAACAAACATTTCATGTACATTTTTTTATTAACTTGGAAACGACATGAATAACAGTTTGAATGACCATTTTGAAAGAGAGAGAGAGTGTGTAAATGATTAGCTTTTAACAATCAACTATACAAAAAGCTATTAGATCAGTTATCCAAAAATGATCATTTCACTTTCATTTTCATTCTAGATTTATTATCTTTGATGACTAAAATCTCTCTTATAAGTAAAGATGGGTTGTGGCTAGCAGTGGAACCACCTTATTTGGGACCCGTCAGCTGGACGTACTTGCATTTCAGAGTTGACGTACACTCTGGGACTCGAACTCAGCACCGTTTGCTCCAAACGTCATCGCGTTACCCACTCAGATACAGAGTCCTGATAAACACTTGATTGTGTAGTGTGGTAAAGTTTAAATCCACTTCGTATTGTTTGATTATATCTTCTCATTGTTGTTTAGAACTGCATTTGATCAGTCTCTTGTTGGCATATGACTTAAGGCAATATCGAAGCAGTCCGCACAGGATGCGAATATGCCAACAAGAGACTGATCAGTTGCAGTCCTAAACAACAATGAGAAGTTACAAGCAAACAATGCCAGATGAATTTAAAATTTTCCTTGCTGAATAATTTATGAAATCATAAATATAATACATTTCATTCAATTCACTACTGAATTTCACTAAAATCATCTATTTTTTTATTGATGCCAATAAAATAGTGTTAGGTGTAATAAAACAGATAAATCATTAAGTTTTACTCTATTTTCTCATCTTTCACGCTTTATTCATGAACAACGCATAAAGTAAAAAAAGCTAAAACTGGTCCCCATACAAGTTTAACTGTTGCATGTATTAAACGTCTCCTACCAGTTGGTAAGTAAACATGATATAATTAATTTTATGTATAAATGAAATATGTTCAACTTTATATTTTCTTAAATGATTTGCGATCATTCTTAAAGACATCATTTGAAGTTTATTAAATAATTAATGAATAGAAACAATGATACAGTCAACGGATTTGTATAGTTTACTTGATGTGACTGTAGTGAACATGGACTCAATTGGGGGAAACTAAATAATCGTTTAATGAAAAAGTACAGAATATCTTCGTAAAATATGAGAACCATACATCAAATACTTCATTTGCAAATCTTCCATGAATTGTCCTTCACATTTTGTATGATTATTTCATTTCACAATTTCTATTTCCCTTTCTGTTTTCTTCAATTCGATCTTCTTAGCCTTCTGCTACCAGGCATTCCTCTTCTGATTGGTGTTAATAGACCTAAGTAGCATACACCATATAACTATAATTTATAGATGGTCGTGAACAGTTGTAAAGTGATTTTGAGGAGCTATATAACAGAGTTAAGAATTAGTGTTTAGAATTAAAACTCAAAGTTACGGTCATGGTTAGAAATTAAGGTTAAAGTTTACGTCACTAACTGACGTGAAATATAGTGCAAAGTAATGTGTAAATGAATCTTAAATCCGACTGGTTCGTCCATATACTGTAGTTTCACAGTTCACTTTGCTCAAACTTGATAAACATGGGGCATAATTGTAAATCTTGATAAAAATACAGTGAAACCACTATTGCTCAAACTCATACTCAATCATTACAATCGTTCAATAATATATAGGCTTATCAAGGCTCTTCAATTATCCACATATTCATTCCTGTAAGACAAACTAGTTCACAAGAGTAATAACAAAATCATTTTAAACAATCAGAACAAATTTAGCAAAACATAGTTTCCCATTATAATCACAAATTCATTTCATATTACATCATTGATCTTTTCAAGTAAGTAAATCGTTTAACAAACACTTTAAAAGTTTCGTTTAAGCACTCTCCATATAATTAATATCCTTGAAGTCATAATTATCATTATAGTCACTAATATCAGTGGATTTGATGCTATCTATCACTATGGAGGAGGAGAGAATCAAATTACGGCAGAAACTAGACAAAACTCTGTGTAAGTATAAGTGATCGAATGCATTTTGGGCCAATACGCAACCTCTCACTCATTTGCTACCACTCTATGAGGTGGTTAGTCAATTCAATTAACAGACAACTATGTTTAGTACTTGTTTGTTATGTTATTATGCATTTTCAATGAAAAACAGTTGTAGTGAACAAATTAAAATTATAAGACCGATATTTATCTTGATGCGGTTACCGGATTTATATATACTGTTGCACTTCTCAGTGGAATACAAACGTACCTTTATGAGTTTGAGGAAAAACGCTCTCAGTATTTTCAAAAAGACAAGCATCAACATAATTCTAGAAGTAAGTGCACTAGATTCAAATGGGTGGTGGTTGTGTGTGGTTTGACGAATTCACGTGAATTATTTGGCACATGTGAAGCACAGTGAGATGAAACGATGTTATTGTTACATCAAATCTCAATGAGATTCATTCACCTAATCCATGATGCATCGTTTGCACAAACGGTTTGACCTAAACAGATTATGGCATAAATGTGTTTATAAGGTAGTTCGGTTCATGAAAAATTGAAATTAAATGTCGTGTAAAAGATGCACGGATACGAAATGTTATGATCATTCTGACATCACGTTTTGCACGTTCTTCTTTATGTACCAGTGACATTCGCTAGTTGATCCAGATAAATGTAATACATTTGATGGATAACTTTTCCTTTATTTAATTCTTTATCATTTGTTTACAAGACCTATTAGATCTGTTTCACCTAACATAACTTTCAAACAATAATATTCAATAGTCGCGCTCTATCTTTTCTAAATGACCTGATATATTTCTTATGAGCTATTTCATATAAGATACTATTGAGTCTTTACCGTGACAGTTATTTTTACTTTTAGCTTTTCTGAACTTTGAAGCTCTGTCTGTAGCATACAGTTTACGTAATCTGTATTTTCGGAGGTTCACTCACTGATATGCTAAATTAATTAAAAAGAATTACCAAGAACTACTTAGAATTCATTATTTAAGAAGGCAGCCTAATAAAAATTGAGATATTTCACCGTATATGGACGATGACCTTAGGCAGATACTCATTTTACTTACAACAGACCATCCGCGTATGAATTTCGTACACTCTATATTGCCGTTGAGGCAGCACTTAATCTGTTCTGCTATATAATAACATGTTTTCTGTCTGAAATCTCTCTATATATCACCTCTCACTTCTTAAAAGTAGATCATCCTTGATTTCCGTTGAACTGAGCAGATATCAACTAGCCATCTAGTAGTTAGTTCGGTTATTGAAGTAATCTCGTAACTTTTATACAACCGACAATAATATGTTGTTTTTAAATAAAAAAAATTGAATTTTTCTAACTCAAATAATCGAAAAGGTTTAAGTCAACTTGGTGGACGTGAGCAAGAGCTGGTATTATGCGCGAAAAGAAAGCTGATTAAGGTATGTTACAAGTGTGAATGTATATGTATTGAATTCTATTTTTCGATAAAATTTTGATAATTCCTTTGATTGCGTAAACTAACAGGAATAAAGTGAAGATGTGGGTGTACTAGAATGATTATACTACTTACAACTAATGGGACTTGGTAATCCCTCGGCTTATGTTTTATTTTGAAGATATAATTAAATGTTCATCTGATTAGTTTGGAAATAATTTTATTTACCCATTAATCATATATGATAAAGCAAAGAAACAACCATAAATCTTTACCCTATCTCCTTAAAATTACAGTTTCATATGGGATTGGGAACTGATCGTTGTACATCCATTTACTTGTGTTTATTTATATAAACGGCTGGTTTTAAAACCGATTGAATAAAATGGATACTTTTCAATGCTCATAATAAAATTTGTCTCAAGATAAACAATGTACATCATAATAATACAATAATATCACACATCTCCAAATCAGGTAAATTGCATAGATTAAGCACATAGCTTGGATAGATTAATATTTATATGGGGATTATTAGTTGATGAAGGTTCAGCAGTGAAAGATTTATTGTGTGTAGACATGATTCTCAATAGTGTGACGATTTAAATGAAAACCGTTTAGTCATATATATAGCTTGAACGCACATCCGATGTGATTTAAGACTTAGGTTTACTGAAATACTAATAAACATTTTGATTTAGTGAATTTCTCTTTATTTATATTTATTGTATAATCGTAAATCTATTTCATCTTGCAATCAACCCAATAACTTCCAAGTGTATTGTAGTTGATGACTGGTTTTTTTTATCAGTTTATCGTCGGTCCATTTCTTTGAACCATGAGTGCGAAAGTATCGGTGTGATTTCTTTTAATTCCTTATACACTTGGCTGCTTATGCTTGGTTTTAATCTGCTTTTTTATTTTTCAAGGATTTGTTAGAATCATGAGTTTGTAGACAATCACTGAAAATCAGAAAGAATTGGCTGGTTATGTTTGAGAAGTTTCATTACAAGACGATTTAGTTCCCTGGTTATCCGTATTTATCTAGTTAAAGTCGGTTCGATGTATAAACCATAAACTTGATATGTCTCTGTATAGATATAATTCATTGGATGTATTTACATGTCTTACACAACAAATTTTTGTCATCCATTGACTTTATCCTATTCACTCAGTCATTACTATTATTATTGTTACTGTTAAAAGGAAACGCTTAGTTTGACAGGTGAAAGAGGTTTGGAGCATTTAATGCAGGTATTTGTTTTCGTAACATTTTAAAATATATACAAACATATATGTGTATTAATCTGTCGTCGTGTGTGTCTCATTGTTCGCTTTTTTCCAATCTCCCATATCCGTTGAATGCACCTATGTGATTGCACTTTTGTGTGTATGCAGTGGATCAATCTATGAATAATAAGTTGTTATCTAAGCATCTGAACTTGCACCCACACACCCATACATACAAATTACGTTGATTATTATTGGTAATGGTGTTCCACTCCGCCCCCAGTGATGTATGCAGAAATATGAACTGTGATAATGCTTTGATGTAAATTGCCCGCCAGCTGCCTTAAATCATGATTCATTTTTCATGAGTTTTCCTCTTCCTATATTTCTTTGGTGTCCTCTTTTTCAATAAATATTTACTGGCTAAAGTTACTTTATTATTGTTATGTTATTTTTATCAGTGCTAACTATTAGGTAACACATGCATACACAAAGAATAGAGATTTTTAGACAAGATTTTCTTTATTACTCTTAAGTTGGATGGTCGTAAAATCTTTGCAGAAGTACTGGGAAATGACCTTTATTATGTTTATCTGTGTATATAATCCAAGTTTACTATCACATAGTGCATTTTATGTAGTAATTGTAAAGTTACTACATTAAATGAGCAGTATAAGAGAGGGTTTAGTGAATTAAGATGTGAATGAATCTAGATGACTATGGTTAACGAAAAGATAACAAAATGCTAGATTTAAAACCCGCTGTTTTGCATGACGGTTAAATTTTATTCTAAACTACCAAATTGTCCGTCAGTATCTCTTTAGAAGTGAAAGATACGGCCTCCAATTGGGGACAGAAACATTACCAAAAAATGACTATAATGAAGAAGACCTTATTAAACAGACAACAAAAGGAAGCTTCTGCAAATCAGAATGAACTGAAAAGTGTGGAAAACCAAGGAACCTATGAGTTGTTAGTGTGCACAGTTCTGAAATACTTGTATCTATGACTTAGTAAGGGATCTAATCTGTTCTAATATACGCATACGATTGCACACAAATGAGTAAAAAATATTTTCCTCACAAAATGGCAGTATGTAATATTTCAGTACATCTGTTAATCAGCGAGCACACAAGCAGTTTGTTAGACAAGTAATACTATTAAAGTTTATGACAAAATTGACAGTTGAGAATCCTCAACTACGCACTTGAGTAATCACAATTTCAGAACACTAGCATTAACACTTTAGGAGGTGAGAGCAAGTAAATAACAGCTTGATTGGTCGAAAATAAACAGCTTGATTTCGTTTGCTTACATGTATTTATATTTGTTGGAGTTATTCATATTAAGGCTGAGTATGTTTATAAGACGACATTAACGATGAATCAATAATTCACATCATAATTACTATCAAAGTGTGTTGTCAATTTTATGATGTTAGTTATTGAATAAATCAACACAAGCCGATAATTTTATTGAATCTAAGATTAATCAAATGAATATTTCAATATTCCTTTTCAAAAATTAATAGTTATATGAACCCATATTCTGACATCAAAGTCCTTGATATCAGGTTTTAAAGACATGTTACTTTTAGGTACATCGGTCTTAACTCTGTACACAACGTTCATAATTATCACTTTATTTGAAGTCTGCTGCAAGTGTCGATCAGTAGTTATCAAAAATATAGTTTTCTCGCTCCTAAATAACTGGGTTCAGCCGATTACTATCAAAATCATCCTTAAGATTAGATTCTTAGCAGTTATCGACACAATGTCTGAGATCTAGATTTTGTGCGCTGTTTTGTACTAATTCATAATAATTAAATAAAACCGTTCCTAAAAGATCTATGTCATGATTCAGCAGATTAGCTACTTAATCTACTGGTCCGTAGAATTGTTAGTAAAACTAGGTAGTAGAAGACTGGTTACTATTGAGTATATATATATGCATTTTGAAATTTGTGAAATATTTATATCCATATGTACATCAGAATTTTCTTCAATACTATGCTATTAACTATGTACATTTTTGTGCGTTGTCTGTATACTATTTTTGGCAAAGCATGGATAAAATACTGTTTGTATTAACTCTCTTCCCCCTTTATTGTTGAATATCAGTTAACGAAATGTTATCAATATTATCTCTTCACCTGTTAACTTGTTAACTTTGTGAATGTGATTTGATTTTGTGTTTTTGAAAATGTTTACCACTTTTACCCTACCCATATATTTGTGAGAAATATGAAATATTGTCATGGTTTCAATTAGCTCTTTGAAAATCGTCTAAAACTGAAAATTTAAGCAACCCTATTTCCCTTATCATTATTGTTGCTTCCTTAATTGTTGCATTATTTGCGTACATTTTCATTAATCAGCTTGCTCAAGCAACAATTCTAAACATAATAAGATAATAGTATGATATTAAAATAGTATATTTTCTTACTTCAACATAATACTTATCGTTCCCCATGTTTTTATCTTGCTTTCGTTATCTATAATACACCGTTTCATTATTATTCACCACCCTTATCATTATTATCATTGTTCAGTAACTGACATAAGTCTATTTGTGTCTTTTTTATATATGCAGAGAGAGAGTGACACTGCGATTGAAGCTTTCCTCAACAATGCTTTGGATCAAGAAGGCGATGTAAGTTTATATTGTCCAATATTATATTAATATATGGAAATATATTCTTCTTAAAAAAACAAATATATTAACAAATGAGTTATCATTGTCATAAATCCATGACGTCTGAAATTTATTCACACTGAATTCATTTACCACACATAGCAGATTATAGTTTGTAGAAAGCAATCAGTAATTCATGAATGATAGTGGCTAACTGAGTAGACTATTTGAATCAAATATGATAAAGATGATCTTACAGAGAAACCAGGAGTCAGCATAAAGATTCACATATTTGGTTGCGTAACAGCAAACCTAATCCTGTTATATAAATATTTACATCACTTTAGGCAATCGGTAAATGCTTCAACATCTTTAGTCAAAGCTAGTTGAAATAATCAGTTTTATGTCCAGATATTCTAACGTCGATCTACCGTGTTATATTTGCAGCCTAAAATCTCCAAGAAAATTACCGTCAATCTCACATCCTTGAATCAGTGAATAGATAAGCCTTCATGAAGATAACTGGCTAATTATTTCAATTTTTTATATTATATCCTTTAGTACAGCAGAACTGTATAGAATTCTGAATTTTGAGTTGGTGGAGAAGATTTGTAGCTCAGGTGGATGATTTTGGTTCTCAGAGAACAAAACACCACCAGAATTCTGAATTATCTGTATAACCATACCAGTTCGTAAAAGGTGATCATCATTTATGAGATGACAAATTAGACGATTATCCATAGTTGATTATGTATGGTTTTCAGTTATTTATGGAAATTTTCTAGTTATTTAAAAGAAATTTTTTATAAAATTCATCAACCTATTCTCTATGTCATCTATATTGAGTTGTTTAAGTTATTTTTTTATTTCAACGACTATCATTTATGTTGTTTAAATTCATGATAGATTAATATTAAATTGGTGAACGAAAATATTTATTTAAAGTAAAATGCTTAGTAGGAATAATGTATGCATAAAGCTTGTCGTAATGATAAGTTAAGAACAAGAATAATACTCGCCTATTACAACATACTTAATGTTTGTCATTTACATTGTTTTAGCTTGATCATAGAACTCAAAACTGGCAGAAATTATTATATAAAAAAATTGATCGAACTATTGCAGCAACCGGCCGACATGCTGAACTTGCAATATCAACAAGATCAGAGATAGTTGACAAGATTCAAATTTTATCCAAAGTAATGCACGGTCTTTACTTGGTAAGCACTAAACATAACACCTAGCCGTATGTGTTTATTGTTGTATGTTCAGTAAATATGCAAAATATAGTGGTATGAACATAATTTAAGGAAATTTAAACTACTTCAATATTTACTATTTTCATACACTATCTCTGTGGAAGATATTTTTCTTGAGAAATCTCATGAACCCCAAAGAAATGTGCAGCATAACCTTTATTTATATGGTCGTTCAGTAATTTAGTGGTAATAATAATATAGTACGAGGATATGTGAACAAAGGCAAAAATATTTCACCAAAAATGTTGTATATACATTAGTTGAATTAGGTCACTCTGTAATTAAGATTACTATTGATATATTGGCCCTGAGGTTGGTCAAGGTAGGAGAAGGGATTGAACGTATTTCTTTTGCACACGTAGTCTGAACTAAATAGAATAGTAATGAGGTGTTTACGGTCTTCATTACACCTCTGATTAGCCACACCGGAAGATGTTCGCAAGCACAGTTCAATGCTAGTGCATTTAGTGCAAACTGGTCATGGATGCAGAATAAGTCAACTATTTTCAGTAATCTTTCAGGGTTAACGATATTCTGTCCTAGTCAGTTCGATTCAAAATCCTCCAAAAGACAGAAGTACTAACCACACGGATTAAAAAATCGGAACTACGTGTGCAGAAGAAGACATTGAGAGATGATTGCTCAAAATCGTGAACTGACTGAAGTTAGACATGAACACCGTCAGATAGCTGCTCATTGGTCTGGAGGTTAGGCATTCGCGCGCGAGATCGAATGCACTGTGCTCGAGTCCCACGTGCGGGATCGTGGATGGGCACTCGTGAGGAGTGTCACAATAGGACTATTTGGACATCCACTGCTTCCAGGTTTCTAGTGATGGTCTAACATTGATTGGTTCATGATCTCAGTGAAGCTCGACAGCCTCTACAACACTATACTTATAATACATTAGTTTTCGTTGTTTCTATTCACATATCTTCGTATTATTATTAATGTTATTATTATTGATTCAACACCACTACTAATCTTCTGAACACGATTAGTTTACTTAGCGCTCACCCCGCTTTATCATTTATTATTGGATTCATATAACTTGATACACAATATAGTCTCCCACCAAACATTTGATCGAATTTGTAATTGCAT